TAAGTTTCTATCAGGTCAGATCCGGAATCCGTTGACCCACGTGTTTTCGCAATGTTCGATTTTTTCATGGAACGTCTCTTAATGAAGTAAAAAAAATATAATAATTGAAAAAATGCACAGTTGAATATTCCGACGCGTTTTGCGTTGTTTATTAATGTAAAAATACTCATCAGGCTTGCGCATTATAAAAAAATTTAAATTTTAAAACCACCAAGTACAAAAAAAGTAATATAGAAAAATTTAAAAGATAAAAAACAAAGACTGAAAAAGTCAAACATGTGAAGAAAAAGTAATTTTAGGAAAACAAGTAAACAAAAACAAATATAAAAGTGAATAATATTAATGGAATCAGAACAATAAAAAACTCAATTAACAAGATCAGCTAAAAAGAAATAGAATAGAAAAAATTCACGTAGGATATCTCAGACCAGAACTCGAGTATTTTCTGAAAGGATAGGGTGATTGTAGGTGGATGCAGATGTTATTGAGAGTGGATGTGAATGTTTGTATGGGTGTGAGTGAGGATGGGTGAGGATATGAGTGTGAGTAGATGTGCTTGTGGGTGAGAGTGTGGGTGAGAGTGAAAATGGGTGAGAGTATGAGTGTGAGTGAGTATACATATGGGTGGAAATTCGTGTGGTTGGAAATGCGTGTGGGTGAGAGTGAAAATGGGTGAGGGTAAGAGTGTGAGTGGGTGTGAATGTGGGTGAATGTGAGTGTGGGTGAAAGTGAGGGTGGATGAGGATATAAGTGTGGGTATGTATTAGTGTAGAAGGATGTGCGTGTGGGTGAGAGTATGAGTGTGGGTAACGACCAAACAGTCACACTTGCACCAACTTATTTACCAAAGCATTCGAAATTACTGTTTTGTAGAAGCATCATTTATAACTCTCATAACAGCTTTACTCTTTGTGAATCAATTTCAAGTTAGAAAATATTCTGAATAGATATTTTAAGAGAACATTAAATTCTTATTCTAACTGACTAGTTTTCCTTTTCTCAAATTACGTGTAAGTGACTCAAAACGTTTCCAACACAGGTTAGATATTGTATAATAAATTATTTCATGAAAGATTTTAATAATTTATTTATTGTAATAATAAAAGATTTTGTAAATCATCTTATGATTTTCTCTCAGTGTTAGAGAAATTCGTGATAGATCTATATCGCCCACAACAAAATATTGTGTATAATTGAGCATCTCTATCAAACTAATCAATAAACAGAAGCAAACCTTGAATGAATGGACAAAATGGATACTCAGATGAAAAGCAACGGCAGCATAAAGCATGTAAAGACAGTATAAAACGGAAAAAACGGTGGCCGTTTTCTAGCAAGAAAACGACTACGTTTTTAGGATGACGGATTACGGCAAAATACGGTGAGAAGTAATGTAGTAAGACGCCGTTTCCGATGGTCGGAATGATCATTCTGAGTATGTAATGTTAGTGTATGTTATATGCATTCTTACACTATCTCTTTTTTTAATACAACTTCTTTACTTTTAGAATTGAGAATGACTGATTTAGTAGATTGTTTATTTCAAGTCTACAAGTGCTTCGATAATGATGGCCATCAGACAATAATAAAAGTAAGTCGATATGTATATTAAAGAAAAATGTATGTAAAAGCAATTAAAATTTGTTTCGATTTTGAAGAATAATTACTAGAAGGAGCTTTTTTTTATTTTAGTCAATAACATCTGGTTTCAACACGTTTTTGCTAAATTCCATGATATACAATGTGATCACATTTTTCCTCAGTAAAAGCCTTTATAGTATGTTGGAAAATTTATCTTTGTTTTTCATTTTGTAGAAATGGTCGTCTCAATTGCAAACATTTAAACTCACGTGACTTATCAAATAAGAAATTTAAACGCTAAAAACATTGATTAAAATCCTTTTGTTGTTATTTGTATGTGAACAAATATTAATTGGTTGTGTGATAATTGAAAACCAAAGAATAGTGTAGAAAAAACTTTCATAATCTTGGTTTTTTTTTCATTTTTCAATATGTAATTTTTTTCTGTTTCAATATGTTATTTTCGTTGACTTTTGTTTGTCATGATGGTAATTTTTTTTGTTATTGCTGTTTGATTTGGAATGTCTAATTCGATATTGATTTTGATTCTTCATAATATGTGTACAATAGATACATATCTCAAAATAAATTATGTATGATTCACCATGTTTTACTTTTTGCTTTGTTGATGTAAAATATATTTTTCTTATGCTTACTATGATATTTGACACATCTCAGAGAATTTAATCAAATTATATATAATTATAATTAGCTGTTAGGACAATCTCAATACGATAAGGGTGTGGGTGTGGTGTCTGAGGAAGATACTAATCACATCCATAACCGCACAACGATTATCGTCTAACACGATCAGTCTGAACTTCGAATCACCTCAATAGTAAATATACTTTCAACTACAAAATGAGTAACAGCTCAGTGTCACTCATATTATTACATGAGAGCTATTGAAAAGATTTTATTTTATTATTTAAACATACGACACAACAGTTGTACAACAACAATACTGTAGACTTAAATTAATAGTCAGTTTGCTTTCAGACAATGTACATGTCATTAAGAATTGAATTGCCGTGGAGCTGTTCTCAGTGTCCAAGCTTGTGCATCGTTTCTGTTATTTGTTGTAGTCCCAATCGGAATGATGGTACGTCTTGGCCGAAAGACAAATAATGCTTTGCATTTTTCTCGGAATTCAGGCAATGATAGAACACAAACAAATGGAGTTAATAGTACAGTATAGTATCCCAAATACTGAGTTGCCCAGAAATAATCTGAACCACCATCCCAAGGTAAGGCAATTGCGTAAGCTGTATTATAAGCCATTGGCGGTAATAAGAAAACGAAATAGATCATTGAGATTGACAAGAGTTGAATTGTCATCTTTCGATAGTTCCGCCATGCAATGCGTCCATGAACACGGCATCTTTGATACAGTACCCGCACCAGTAGAGCCACACTGAAGATTACAATGAGAGAACCAGGCAAAAGAAAATTTATTATACTATCCCAGAAGCTTAACGATGCATTCCACGAGATACACGAGTAGTAGTTGCACGTTGCCGAAGTGTAATCGAATGGAACATCGCAAGGTAAAATGAAGAATATGGTACCATAGAACACTATGGGATAGATCGAGACAACAGCCAAGGGAAGATAGTGAAATAAGCAGCGTTTACTCTTCGTACCGATCCAGTTTGAATGAAAAATGAGAATGTGTCGTTCAATTGAGGCCCACGCCATTAACATTGCAACAATGACATACACAGCCCCATCGATAAATACCCAAATACGACAAAAAGCTGGTGTAGCTGACAGTAAAGTGCCAGTTCGATAGAAATGAATATACCAGACGAAATCTGTTACTTCGTACAATAGACCAAAGAAGATCATGACAATTACTACATGATTGTTGACTGCAGTACGTAATGCTCTTTGTGTGAGAAAATGATAAAGCACGAAGATAGAACATAAAATAGACGGAATAAGAGGCACAAGATAAACCCAGAAACGAAGAAAATCAGGTTGAGCCATTGGTTCTAGTATATATGTAATAGAACGTATCTGCAAAATGAACAATCGAAGTGTTGTCAGTAGTTCACTATGAAAATATAATTTGCGCGGAGGAAAAAATGACTGATTTCACGATGATTCTTTTCAAGAGAATAGCTATCTCTCTCAGTGTCAAATTCTCGAAAAACTTTGAGAAGCGATTTTTTTCTAGTAAGATTAATTTGTTAGATACCTCTATCACACATGAAAAAAAAATAGTGTGATGGATTGAGGATGCGACATTTGTTAAATATAATTCATTTTTTCTCTCATTATTTTATAGATATAAGAATAGTGTGCAAAAAAGCATACTTAATGCTCATTCTATTTTGACACACATTAGAAGTCGATAATTATTAATCATGTTTTTTTCTCACTTTGAAACACCTTAGTTATTTAACATGATTCGATGCACACCAATGACTCTTTTATGAATAACAGCATGAAAACTATCGGTGAGACCTGGTTTCACTTCGTTAATACACAAGGTGCTATTTTCGGACTATTGTCATTCATGCGCGCACAATTATATGTATAAAAAAAGAGTTGCAAAAGCCCGACCTTCTCCGTCGATGATAATAAAGGGCGGGTTTTTTTCATCTAAAAAAAGATGCAATAGTTTTGACGTCAGAACGATAGAGAGATTGCGCATTAAAGAAACCGACTCGTAAACTGTCTCAACTCACCACCCTACAGTAGAAATGTATATCTTTACTCGTACAGACGAGTACTAACGGATTGTGCTAGAAATGAAAATATGGATAGTTGTTTTTTATTATTCATCTATGTCAAATTTGTTTTTTGGAAAAGTATTTGTTTTTAAAGTTGGAATTCATTCTTTTATATTGAAAATAAACATATATGTTACAGCAGAAGGAGTATCAATGTCAGTTTCAGTCTAGATTGCATTGCATACATCATAACATTACTAACAGAACTAAAATTTCGTTCACTTATTATAGATTTTCTCAAGAATATTAATACGATCTGTTGATGATCGCTTATGTTTATAAAAAAAAGGACTATTTCAAATAATTTATCGTAATCCCGAAGTTACCAATATCAGAAACCAACAAGAATAGAAGAATTTTTTCATAAAGCGATGAATTTAATGGTAAAGTTAATTACATAGTTATAATCTGAGCTAACTTCGAGAATACGATTTAATGATGACATTTCTGATGCATTGAAATGTCCCTCAAGAAAAAACTTATTTTTTTAATGATTTTAACAACTTTGTAATCAGTTACCATCTTGACGATGAGGGTGTGGTTTGGCAGTACTTCCTTTATATACACACACTCGCCCTCAAGATGGTTTGCTTCGTAATGCAGATATAAAGCATAGGAAAGATTAAGAACTTCCTTAGTTATGCTGATCTAATTAATTTGTTTTTCTATCACCATCTGCCAATTTCAACTAAAATACAGATGCAAGGCGAAGTATGATATTTTATTATTATTCATATTGAAAGGGTGTTCAAAGCGACATCTACATGGAAAACAATGATTACTACAGAAAAATTCTGGAAAAAAAGATCTAAAATTAAATCAAATGAAGTAATAATTATTATTTAAGATTTTCATTTTAATTCAATATAAACGAAATTAATTCAATGATATGATTGGTGCAACGAAAATGACCATTAATACAATTGATGCTAATCAAAAGAAAAAAAAGACAACAAGAGATCTATTTCAATCGATATTGTAAGAAAAAGTATCAATATTGAATGGCTGTTTATTTTCATTAAGATTCATTGATTTTTCGATGATATATGATCATAAGAAGAGTTAGGTGTATTATATCTCTCCTGTATTCAAATTTCTATTTATCAATTACAGAAGTGTATGAAATCCTACCAACTGTTTTTAATGCCGTCTGGAATATAATTGAGGTACATAATAAATAGGTGTATGTAAAAATATTTCTTTTGATATAGACTTCGCTTGAGTATATAATCTTTTATTATAGTAAGCATCGTTCTGTATTCTAATTTCTTTGCTTTAGGGGATGTAATTTAGATCTTTTTCATTGATATAAAAATAATATTTGAATAGATAATATAATTAGATCTATTTAAAGATCATATCGCTAGAAATTATCTACATTAAATTTGTTATTAGTTATTTTTTATTTATTGTATTCTTATATCACATTTGTATTTAATATATAGTTGAAGGTCTAAAAATCTACTATGAATTATTGATAAAACCTGTTTCTGATGAATGGTCATTTCCCATGAACAAATGATATATATCTGACGAGAAAAATTACATCATCTATACATCAGTTTCTAGTATATGTAGGAAAGATGATAAATGTAAATGACCTTGTTTAAGAGGTTTACATATCCTTATGAGAAGTTCAATTTGGACATCTTCTTTTTTTTGTATAAAGTCACGCAATTATTTTTTTGATGAACACATTTTTTTTAATAATCATACACATGTGAATGAATAAGAAAGTCGGATATAGATAATGAGAACGACATTACCAAGGTCCCGACGTGTCAGTCTCATGAGAATATAAATGAATAACAGAATCTTCTCTTTCGAAATATTTCTTTTATCGACAATGATTGATCTTTTCTCAATAGTTTATTTCCCCTCAAGCATATGATGTTCATTTTGAACATTTAAGTATGTTTATTTGTATACATTTTCAGATGAATAAATTCTATTCATCAATTACTATTATCCATTGCTTCCACTTGTCATCGTGTCTCATGAACAAGAACAGCTGCCAACACTACCATTCTACCAGTATTTAATCCAACATCATTACCGGACACACTGAACACAAGAGAATAGAGAACGCAAAGAGAGAGAAAAAGAACGAGAGACGAGAACGAACGAGAAGACGAAGAAGAAGAAAGAGATGCCTTCTAGATGAACTCGACACATTATTTCATGTGGACATTTCCTTCAACGATTTCTCTGGTAAGTTGAATAGAAAATGAGAGAGATAGAACACCTTTTTTTTTTATTGAGTAAGCGACACACAAAGTAATTAGTGTCAATCAGAATGTCTCCAACTGAAAACTTAACATAGTAGACACAAGTGTATCTCATTAATAAAACGGAAGTTGCTGTCTAACTAGATGTTCTTTCTCTTTGAAAGTCATCGACATCGCTCTTGCTGTACACATAGTAAATCTGGTTTTGATGAAAAAAGATGCACGCACATACAATCAAATAAGTAAACATGTCCGTTCTCTCTCTCTCTCTCAAGTATGTATATGTGACAAATCGAGAAGCAGATGTCGGTTCTAAAGAATAGTAGAAAAAAAAGCGGCAGAAGATTGCCGAACTATGTAAGAATTATTTGATGCGTTCATCATGCTCACATCCTTAATATAGCTATGATTTTATTTATTATTCAATGAAATAGGAGATCATGAGATAGTATTAGGTTTTTATTGATGTAAAAATAAGTCATTAAATCGAAGATAGGTATAGCATGAAAATAGACGTTGTTCATTTTACATGAATAAATTTATTCTTTATTTGATGATGATGATGGCGGCGGCAAAAGCAGCCGTACATCATCATCATTATGATCATGTAATATAATGAGAGACGCAAGGTAGAACGAACTAATAGTATAAACACACCAGGAGACGAAAGCTGATCGAGGCGATTCTATTTCTTTGCGCAATTGCTCATCGTTCGATTTTCTCTTATGTATAAATATGAAATCACTAAAGATAAGTAGATTGATTCCGTGTAACTATTTCTTATATATATATATATATATATATATATATATATGTATATGTGTGTGTGTGAAGGTCGTTTTTATTTCTTACTGACGTAAGAAAACATATATGATTTATCTTTATTATTATGAACGTATATGAGTAAGTTAAGATAAGTATAATCCATCTAGAAGACATCAAACGTAGTGACTTCAGTCATCAGTGAGAAATCTGTCAGATTTAGTGATCGATCGATATATAATAACAGTGACACTTTCACAGCTGCATGATGAATCAATATATATATCTATCTGTGTGTGTGTGTGTATGCATGCATATGAGTTGTTTGTAAGCAGAAGGTTAATGATAAGTCTCGGCATGCGGAGATGATGTGCGGCCTTGATTGGTTTTTGAACGTGTGCCTGTCATATTTAATTTTGTCTTTGTTCCGCTTTTATGTTGATTCCCCATGAGAGATTTTCTAGTCAATCATTAAAGACAAAAAAAACGAAGAAAAATTCATGCTTGTACAGAAAGTGGTAGACAATTAATTGTGATGAAACATAAGATGCTTTCATTTTTATTTCATTCTTACTCGATTATTATAATTGTTAAGTATATGTCTATTGTAGATAAGCAATTGATCTCTTATATTGTTAATCATATTAATCATTAAATATTAAAGTATCAGGCTGATCGTAGCAAGAAACAAAGAACAATGTGATATGGCCGAAAATTGTTCGGCGACATTATCGAGGACATGCTTATTGTTGTTACTCGTCAAATCATTGTTATCATTAGTATAATTCTCCTTATCAATATCTCATTTGTTCAGCTTGAAACTATTAAATATACAAACGAATTTGTTTTACATATTAATGAAGGTGAACAAGCAGCTCGGTTATTAGCAGAAAAGTATCAATTAAAATTCGAACGACAAGTAAAACAATTTATTATTTGTTTTCTTTTCGTTTAATTTCAAATATAATTTTTTTTTAAAGGCTCTACCAAATGAAAATTATTTTGTATTCCGTCAAATAATTATAAGTCAACGACGAAAACGTTCATTAGATGGATCAGATAAAGATCTTATCGATGAACTTCAACTGGATCCTTTAATTGATTGGGTTGAACAACAACGAGTTAAAAAACGTGTTAAACGGAACATTATGTATTATAATTCTATGAAATCATCCTTACCTTCAACATTCAATGATCCGGATTGGGACAAACAATGGTATATGGTAAGTGTAAAAGTTTATTTCTTTTAAATAAAATTATCTCTTTTGAAATAGCATGATGAGAATGAACATGGTCGTGCTATGAATATCTCAGGTGCATGGCGTCTTGGTTTTACTGGTAAAGATGTTGTTGTAACTATTCTTGATGATGGTATTGAAAAAGATCATCCTGATTTAATACAGAATTATGTAAGTACAACAAAATATTTGATGTTTTGTGTGTTGCATGTTTGCATGTTGAAAACGAAACCAATTTCTAGGAACCACAAGCAAGTACTGATATCAATGGCTATGACAATGATCCGCAACCGCGCTATGATCCGACCAATGAAAACAAGTAGAAAAGCTTTTTTTTTGTTTTTATTTAATGAACATTTATATAGACAAGAAGAATTTGTTAAAAAACAATAAGTGTCGATGAGAGTTAATCAGTATTAATATTGTTTGTAGGAACCGCGTGCTAGTTATGATATCAATGGAAATGACAGCGATCCACAACCGAGAATGACAGCAACTAATGATAATAAGTATACAGAGAGGATTTGTTTTTGACAGAATATAATAAGTTTGTTTGTATATGTATATCAGCATGTCTAAAAATGAGAATGGTTTTCTTTTTTTTCTTATTTTGCTGTATGCATGAATTATTAGCATTCTTTTTTTTTATGATTAATGATACGATATATGAGTGTTTATTTTTATTCATAGACATGGAACAAGATGTGCTGGTGAAGTTGGTATGTTCGATTTGAAATTCAGATTTGATTAAATGAATAATTTTGTATATATAGCTGCTGCAGCAAATAATAATATTTGTAATGTTGGAGTGGCATTTAATGCACGGATTGGTGGTATCCGTCTTCTAGATGGAGAAGTTACTGATTTAGTTGAATCCATGGCATTAAGTTTTCGTCCAGATTTTATCGATATTTATTCAGCTAGTTGGTAAGAATGTTTTGTTTTTAATAATTTAAATTACTAATAATAAAAATTTATTTAGGGGACCAGATGATGACGGAAAAACAGTGGATGGACCAGCTACATTAGCTCAGGCAGCATTTGAAAATGGCATAAAATATGTAAAAATTCTATAATAAGAAATTTTTTATTTCTAATAATTTATTCTATGTAGGGTCGTCAAGGTCTTGGTTCAATCTATGTTTGGGCATCAGGAAATGGTGGTAAAGATGATGATAATTGTAATTGTGATGGTTATACAAATTCTATATATACGGTGTCAATTTCAAGTGCAACTGAAAATGGAAATATACCTTGGTATTCAGAATCTTGTTCATCAACATTAGCAACAACATATAGTAGTGGTGCATCTGATGAAAAACAAGTTGTATCAACTGATCTTCGAAGTCAATGTACAGAAAATCATACAGGTAAATTTTCTTAACAAAAAGAAAAAAGAAAATAATGAAAATTTACCTTATTAAGGAACATCTGCTTCTGCTCCTATGGCTGCTGGTATAATTGCATTAGCACTTGAAGCTAATCGTAATTTAACATGGCGTGATGTTCAACATTTAATTGTTGAAACAGCTAAACCAAAATATTTAAATGCATTAGATTGGAAAACGAATGGAGTTGGTAAACGTGTTAGTCATGCATTTGGTTTTGGAATGATGGATGCTGCGCAAATTGTTTTAAAAGTAAACTAATCTATTTAGAAATATTCTGTTTACAGTTTAATTTTCTTTCAGGCACAAAAGTGGCGAACAGTTCCTCCTCAACATATTTGTCAACAGAATGATCCAAATATAATTGCAAGGTAAAATATTATTTCGAATAAGTGAAAAACAAATGATATACATATGCAAATATTTCTAGAACATTTAAAAAATATGAACGTGTTATTATACAAATGTATACAGATGCTTGTATGAATACAGAAAATGAAATTAATTTTCTTGAACATGTGCAATCAAAAGTATCTGTTAAAGTAAAATATCGTGGTAAATATAAAATCAAACTTTTTTTTTTTGTTGATAAATTATTTGATTTTCATTCAAAAGGAAATTTACAAATATTTTTAACTTCACCAATGGGTACAAATTCAACATTACTTGGTCGAAGAGTTGAAGATGATTCACCCGATGGATTTAATAGTTGGCCTTTTATGACTGTACATAATTGGGGAGAATCACCACGTGGAATCTGGACATTAGAAATAGTTGACGTCGAAAACAATGGTTAGTAGATAGAATAAATATTAACTACTCAATTCTAACACTTTGTTTTTTTGATTTTAGTTATTTTTCTTAATTGGTCTTTGATATTTTATGGTACTCAGATAAATCCTTCTCATCAATTATCAACTACAGTTTCGTCTAAAATCGTTGCTGCAAATGTTCATCTTCATCCATCCGATGAAACAAATAATAATAATGCTCGTTCCCGTTCAACAAATCTCCACAATTCCTTTCATACTCGTCATCGAGAAAAAAATCGTAAAAATAAACAACAAAGTCATTATTATATAAAACAACATTATTATCCTTATAATCCTGATTCGTCTTCCCATACAACATCTATTCTTAACGATCAATATCAAATAGAAATGTCAAAAACATCACGGATAACTCCATGTTTAACATTTCTTATATTTATCAGCATAATTTTCACTTCTATTATTTAAAGATTTCTTTTTTTTCATTGTATTTGCTCATATACACCTCAGTATTTTTTACATCTTCTTACAAAAAAAAATAAAAAGCAAATCTGTTGTTTTGTCTTGTTGTGTGTTAAATGAAAGATAAAAAAAGAAGAATAGCAAAACATTATTTGTGTTTTGTGAAATAAAATTAAAAAACACATAATTATGACATATTTGCTTTTTAGAAAATGGCTGGTATAGCTTATTTTTTTAAACCAAAAATAAGTGCTGCTGATTCGACAACACCATCATCGACAGAAAAACGTCCTGGTCGACGTTCAAAAACAATAAAATCATCAGAAACACCATTAATCATAGAAAAACCTGTGGAATCAATGGAAACTGATGATAATGTAACAGAAACAAAAATCATCAATGAAGATCCATTGGATAATCCTCCAACACAAACACCAAAAATAAAATTAAAATTTAATTTACGTTCAAAATCTGTTCAAGATACATCAGATGATCCACATATTACAAATATAACTAATGAAACAAACGAATCATCTGATAATAATGATGATAATGATGAATCATCAGATAATGAAATACCATTAAAAATTGATGATAATAATGTAACTTTTGAAGAACAAGATTCACCATTACCCATAAAAGAAGATGAACCACCCATGACTATTGTTTCACCAACGAAAAAAAAACAACAATCATCACGTAAAAAAGTTATTAGTCATTTAATTGGTACAACAGCAAATACACTTTCATTTGATGAACCAAGTCCAATTAAAATTCCATTTAATGATTCACAATTTAGTGAAGTTAAACAAACAAAATCAGGTCGAACTATTAAATATACTCCTTATTTTAAAGAACTTGTTCAAGGTGCAACTATATCACCACCATCATCACCTGTTCATACAACATCACATTCAAAACGTCCATCAACATATACAAAAAAGAAACAATCATCAATTAAAGCAGATCTTGATGCAATTAAAAATGGTGGTTTACCAACAGCAGTTAATGCTAAAGGAAGAAAATCTGCTGGTTCACCAAAAAATAAAAAACAAACTACGTCACCTGTTAAACGTGTTGGACAAGGAAGAAAATCAACCACACCTAAAAATGTTTCAAATGGTAAGAAATATAATCTATTATATAAATAATAATTTGTTTGTTATTTAGCGAAATCCAAACGAGCATCGAATCAAATGGTTATGGATGAAGATGTTGAAAGTGATGATGAAAATGAACAATCACAATTACGAAGTGATGATGAAGAATTTCGTAATTATTTGTTTTTATGACAATCATCATTTTATTTCATTTCATTTTTCGTTTAGGTCATGAAGGACAATCATCAGAAGAAGATGAAGAAGTTCTAGATGCTGATGAAGATCATTCAACAGAAGTCGATACTGATGAAGAAGAATGGACAACAGTTGGCATTAAACCTGAACATGATCGTTCATTAGGATTAACTACAACACTTGGTTCAATTTCAAGTGAAATGCTTGATGGTTTTAGTTTATGGGCTATGAAATATCGTGCACGTCATCGAACAATGACACTTGATGATAAACGTCTCTATCGTACATGGAAAAAAATGAGTGCACATGATCGACAACGTTGGTGTCTTAAAGCTGAAAAAGAAAATTATCATTATCCAATTACAGCTGAATTATTAAAAGCATCATCAACTGGTACTGAACCAACAATATCTATATCGACAACAAAACAAACGAAATCAACAAAACGAAAAAAAGGTACAGATGAACATCCACCAATACTTTTACAAAAAACATTAAATCAATATTCAAGACAACAACCATTAGTATCAGCTATTCGTCCACCAAATGCGTTTGTTAAACAACCAACAGTTGTTGCACCACCAAAAAATTATGATATTATTGATATAGCTGCAGGAATTTATTTACTTGGAGAATCATTAACAAAAATGGGTGAAAAAGTTCGACAATTAGGTCATCTAAATCCCCGTGGTACATCAGCAGCAACATCAATTGATAATCTTGCAGCTATACTTTTTGATGGAACATTATGTGCATGTAATTTAATGGCTTGCCTTGGAAATGAAATAACATCAACAAATCCATCAACATCAAAATCAGATCCATTAACAAATAAACTTATGGAAAATGTTGGAATTATTTTACCTGGACTTAATTAAATAAAATGTTTACTGTATAAAAGTTTTGTGCACATTTTTGTATATGAATATAAATAAAAGAACATGGCAAAAAAAAAAACATTCATATTATATATACATATATATAGAGTTTATATTTCAGATGCAACGAACAACAGTTATCCAACCAACTACAACAGTTGAAGAACTTGTTCAACAAGAAGAGAAAGCTAATGACAAAGCAATATGGGTTGTTTTTCGTAAAATGCTGGTTTTTACTGTTATGTTAACAGTTGCACCACTTTCATCATTTTTCCTGTCAAAATATTACATATTTGAAGGAATGTTTGATATGACAAATAGCAATAGTCATATGTATGCCGCATTTGTTGCAGTTGGTATTGTTCATGTTATATTAGCTGCATTTCTTTTCGTTGCATTTCGCGATGATACACCTGCCAAAAAGTCAAAGCTCGAACTTTTAAAAGAAGCAGCCGGAAAAAAAGACTAAAATTATTTCTTTTTATTTCTATGTATCGTGTTTTTAACAATAAAAAAAATATTCCATTCTCTATTCGAAATATTTCCATATATTTAGAAATGTCAGATTGGGTCGAAAACATCTTATTCAATTTATGTTTTTAGATATGACTACACATCATATTGGTTTAGCTTTTGCTTTAATCGGAGATCTATTTCCGGATGGAACATCAAAAGAAGTTGCATCATATCTTAATCGTAAAGGTCCATTACCATTTGGTGCTATAGTTCGTGAAGTCAATCTTTCAGCAGTCAATATTGCACGATCTATAGCAACATTAGCTATGCATGATCTAATCGAATGTTCTAGTGATAATCGTTCAGATTCTAAACGTGTTCTATATGCCTTCAGTCTTCAACGAGCATTATATATTTTACATTATGCAAAATGTATTCATTGTGCTAGACAATTATATGGTTTTGATGGTGAATTAATAATTGAAGAACTTTTATTAAATGGTAAACAACGTATGAGTACATTATTAATTAAAGTATATGAACGTTTAATAAAAGCTGGCAAAGATCCAACAGTTCATAGTTTACAATCAATAAAAGAAACATTTAAATCATTAGTTTCTGCACATTTTCTACAACGTATTCTAATCGATGAAACTAAACCACATATTCCAATAACAATCGAAGAAACATCAACAAATCTAGTACAAATACCAGAATTAACACCAGAAGGATGGAAATATCTAATATCAAATCAACAAGAAGAATCAAGTGAACCAGCAGCAAAGAAAATTAAAGTACCTACACCAACATTTGGTGATGAGAAAATCTTCTGGAAAGTTAATTTTCAACGTTTTTTTGCTCATTTACGTGATCAAGAACTTATCCACGCATTTACAAGTCGAATCGATTCAGTAATATAATAAATATTTAGTTTCTATATCTATTCAATTTGTTTTATTTCTTAGAATGCTGGAGAAATTGTTCGAACAATGCTTCGTTTAGCTGAAATCAAACCAAATCCAGAACGAACTATATCTATATCATTTATTGAAGTAAATTATTTAAATTGAAAATTCTTTTTGCAATATATTTTCATTATTTATAGATTGCAAAAACAATATCAGCAGCTGGTTTACAATTAACCGATGAAACATTACAAAAATATATGAATGTTATTACTAGTGATGTGGTAAGTCGATATATAAGATTGATTCCAAAATATAATTTGAAGATTTTTTGTTAGAATAATTGTATTATAAAAATTGGTGATCAAGGAAGAGGAACATATGAAGTAGGTAATGAAAAAAATTGATTTAGATTTCGATTTATTAAGAATTTGATTGATGTTTGTATTTTAAGATTTTCAAAAAGCATTAAGTGGTTTAACTAAAGCTCATATACAATCATTTCTAAGAGAAAGATATGGTTCCAATGCATTAAGAATTTATAATATGCTTGAAGAACGTGGGTGTTTATCACAAAAACAAGTGAATAATTTCAAAAAGAAATTTTAATTTTTCATATTATTTTTTTTTCAACTTTAGATTGAAGATATGGCAATGATTAATGCAAAAGAAGCACAACAATATGTTTATTCAATGTTCATTGATGGAATGTTGTCATTAGAGGTAAAAATATAAACTAGAAGAAATGTTGATAATAGTAGTCAGTTTTTGTAATTCACTGTGAAGGACTTTTTCGAAAGAGAAAAATATAATACATTATATAAGACATGATAATAATACTTGTCAGATGACATAATTTAATCAGTAAATAGACTTGAGATGCCAATCAATTTTTTTAATTTGATTAAGTAACTGTATCGGAACAATGAACAATGATTATTTGTCTAGACAGATACCTTGACGACATCGTATTATTAATAGACTTTTTTCTTAATTTAGGAATTATCAAAAGCAAATGATTTTAATCCAACTCGAACATTTTATTTCTTTCGTGTAAATTTATACAATGGAGTTTTATCATTACTTGATCATTCTTATAAAGTATGGTTGAATCAAAGTTTTCCGATGTTTTTTGTTTCATAAAATATATGTTCTTTAAAAATAGACAATGTCCAATTTAATGCAACGTCATCAATTCGAAAAAGAACGTCATAGAAAATTAATCGATAAACGTGATAAAGTCGAAGCAATTATTCATAGTCTGCGAGAACAAAATGCAGATGATGAACAAATTAAAGAAGTAGAAGATATTTTATCACCTATTGAAAAAGAACAAATACAAAAACTTGATGCTGCCTTTCGAAAGTATGAAATTAATATCTTATATTCAAATGTCAATTCTTTATTTTTTTTTCTAAGGATTGAACTTGCTCAACTTCAACTTACAGAAACTATTCTTCTACTTGAAATGTTTCTATCCATATCAAAGAGCGTCGCACCAGCGCAAAAGAAAACTGGTGGTAGAGCCGTTGCTGCAAAATTATTGGAAACAAGATCTTAAAGATGATCTATAAAATAATATTCCATTTACTGTAAACCTAAATTGTGAACATGTGTTTTTTTTTCATAAATTGAACTTAAACGAGACAAAAAGAACTGAATGTATCTATAAAGACATGCTTAAAATAGAAATCGACTATGCTGAAGTACGGTGAAGTTAATCGGAAAGAGAGTTGTCTCTCAGATAGCTCATTTTATTGTGCTTTATTAGTACTAGACATGCAAATATGAAATTAACTAGATTGTCTATGGCAGAGATTATCAAAACTTATGTTGTTAATGATTTCTTATTATTGTGATGTATCAATTGTCCAAGCCATATTTGTATAGAGCATAGGCCATGTCGACATATAGAATTTTGTCTTTTGAGATTAATCCATTTTTCTATATCTTCATAAAAATTTGAGATATTAACTGAATAAAATGTAACACTTAATAATTGATGAAGTTGTTTAAGAATAGTTTTAATTTCTTCGAGATTTTTTATTGATATTTTTAAATGTTCAACTGATTGTGGAATAAGTGAACATAAATGTTGAGTACTCGAAAATGATTGTTCAGTATGCATATAAGTTATTTGAAGTGTATGAATATTTGATGTATCCTTAAGTATTGCCGATATATAATCACGTAGAGTTGAGTTTTGTGAAAAATCACAAGTAAGAAGATGTATGGTAAGACGAACAATAGAAGATAAATCAATAATTGCTCGAAGAAATCGTGAAGAAGTATATGGATATCTTCCATCAACATTTAACGAAAGACATGTAACTTTACGAAACATTGAATATTCGAATTGTTTATTCTAGAAAAGAAATTTAATAAAAAATAGATATTTATTTATTAATCAATACTTGTATTTCATCATTAGTTTCAATTGTTTCATTTAAATTTAAAGTCATTTCATATACTTGATGTATTAATTCATTAGAATTAATTGTTGGTGTTAATGTTGAATATGAAATCTTATTTGAATTCGTATAATATATAAATGATGAATGACATATAGGTAATGAATATAATCGAATTATTGATGATATTGTTATATAATCACAAGTAACATACCAATGATGTTTTTCAAGCCAAAATGGTGTTTGAAATGATTGAATATAGGATTGAATATTTAGAGAATTACGATTAATATGTATTGAATTATCGAAAAAGAATTCAAATTTAGTTAATAATGGTAATTTTTTTGAAATAAAATCTTCCCATTTCTTCCCATCCATAACTGAATCATCAGATTCAGTCCAAATAATTAATTTGATATGGCTAAGTTTAGGTGTACATGAAAGAAATATTTCCAATTCTTTCATATGCATAAAACAGGCACCAAGTGTTAAAGATGTTAATTTTGATGGATAGATTTCATCACATGATTGATAAATACTTCCATCAATATTATGCATAAGACATTTTGTTAATGTAAGTTTATGTAAATTCGTTGTATGACGAAGTATCATACAATATTCTTGAAATGTACAATGTTCAAGACAAAGATATTTTAATGTCGTTGGTAATGGTGGCCATGAAATCATATCTAAATCTCTATAAGATATATTTAAATGAAGTTTTTCAAGTTTTGATTTAACTATAATTGATGACAGAAGTACACGTATTGTATAATTATATGTTTCCCATGCTGAACAATGAATTGATAATGATTTAAGTGAATGTAAAGATATATTTGTTAATATTTCCAATAAATTATTTTCTTCAATTTTAATTAACTCCAATGATTGAAGATAAGAAAATTGATCAAATGAAAATCGCGATAAAAATGTACGAATTTGATATGGTGTACTAAGACTATTCGTAAGTATTAATGAACGAATTTTTTCCGGACATAGACGAGAACAAATATGATCGAAATTTATTTTTGATATTAATCTCATATCAAGTTTATAATAATCATATGAATTAACAATAATTTGAAAACGTTTACATACATAACGAAATGATAATAATATTGTTGATATATCAAGATATTTAAATATATAATAAATAAGTTCTACTGGTAATGTATCAAGTGAAGAAGACGACGACATTACCTTTTAGGATACAATCATGCACGTGCCTTTTATTATTAGATTAGTCTATACAGATCGATCAAGTGTGACCTAACCTTTGATTTTGTCTTGAACAAATAAGTATTCTTTGTATTCGTATAATAGAATAATTAATACACATACAATAGAAATAGCTATCTAATGTATTTATTTTTATTTCTTGTGTATTTTACCTCAATATTTATTCTAGGTTCTTTTACTTGAATTGGAACTATTAAGATTATATAGAATAATATAAAATTTCACTTTATTTCATAATACCAAAGAAAAATAGGAAACTGTAAAACAATCATTTTTTTTGATAAAAAATGGTAACTTGTTGTTTGGACGAATTTGATTGTATCGTTATGTGTTAACAATAATTAATCAATATTAGTTTTACTTTTTCTCTTGGAATCTTTTTGGTTGAAATAATTAGTATAAAAGAAATGCGCAAAAAGAAGAAGGTAAGACATATAAAGTGCTAATGATAATATAATATTAGTATTGGATGTATTACATATATGTTCATCTTGCTTATAATAATATGCAGATACATTTACTATACATCCACCAATCATTTGAATAAGTTGAAGAAGAGTAATAGATGGTTGAACAAATGCAGGAACTCGAATACGAGCAGCTCGTAATGCAAAATATCCATACATAATTGTATGAACACAATAATTCATGGTTACAAACCAATGACCAGTTGAAGCAAATAATGCATAACTTAAAAATATCAAAAAAGAATAAAATTAAAATAAATAGTTAACAATTAACTAACCTATAAAAACAATAGATAAGTACGGTTGCATGATGATACCAATGAAGAAAAATTAATTTTTGTTGTCTTAATACAATAAATAATGTATCAATTGTTTCAGGTACTTTAGACGCCATAAATAACCAAACCCTAAATATTTAGTTTTTCTTTTTTCAAAATAAATATAATGAAAGAATAGTTACCATAAACCAGTAATGCCTTTCATATATGTCGAGTCACATACGGAATACATAAATCCATGATGAGTTAGAGTATAAATTAATTCAGGTACAGATCGATATGCACCCCACAAACTAAATAATGCTAGACCAGTATTCCATAATACTAGAGGTTGACGTAATTCATATTTTTTATTCTTTTGTGCCATCCATGATTGACCTTTAAATACAAGAATAATGTAAAATAATGCATAGACAAGACTTGTCCACCACCAGTCTTGCATTAAACGTTTTACATAGTCGAAATTTTGTTTATTGAAAAAGAAGAGTTCAAAATCGAGAACCCATTGGTGAACATAGCCAGTTGGATCTTTTACCGAGCGATGTACTATCATCTTTGCACTTTGTGGTTTCCTTGTGACCTCACATATATATATATATACGCATGTCTATTTTTCTTGTTTTTTTCTTTCTCAGTTTTTTTCTATTGCGATGACTCATGTATCGTCACCAGATTCTCTTACTATTCTTCTTTATTGTACTTTAACCTTGACATGTACTACGAGCATACGGTAACAATGAAGTGCAATCTTTATCATTTCTTACACAACGCTTTGAAAATAAATAGTGTGCATACATTTAGACGTTTTTAGTGATAATCATTATATTGCAAAAAGAAAATTATTATCTCAAATTTCTTATATAATCTTCAAAGTGTTATTAAGAAAATACGATATCTTCTTTTTTTTTTTTTTGATGAGAGACAATATGGAATAAGAGTGAATCTATTCAAATGATATGTAAAAAAAATTAAACAAGATATTTTGATTAATTGCAACTAAAAATGGTTTCATCTAATTTATACTTGAAAATTTCTAAAAAAAGCATGGATTTCTATTTGTCTTGACTTATGTAATAGAATCCTTTCTTGATAGGGTATCTTAGAGTAAATACGAACTTTGTCTCACGTACGGATACTCTGAGTATTTTGTTCCGATTATAGTCCAACTATTCTTGTCTAAAATACTATATCGGACAAGGTCGCACACAGTTGTATTTGATTAGTACGATAGGAGAAATATAAAAATATACTGTCTTAGACAGATTTTTATTGAAATGCTTATCTGAGAAATCTGCATTATAGTAGAATCAAGTAAATATACTCATATTTGCCTGATTAAGAAGTTCTGATTCAGCATAATTTCCTCACTGCTATTATGTGTAATTCAAAAATTGTAATCACTATAATTTAAAGATTATAATAAGTAATTCTTTCTATTTATTCTCAAAATATAACTCGATTTTTGTATCGAACCAAAAAAAATAAAGAAAAAAAACATTTTATGACATGTAGTTATACGAATTTTTATTTAAATAACTTTTAAAAATAAGAATACATTCTAATTAGCTATTTATTTTGGTGATCGTGATAAATCGATAGGTATTTGATTGGGATCATCAAAAATTTGCCATTTTTCTGATGGTACTCCATCGAATGCTTTTACGAAACGTTCATCATTAAATGTTTCACCTTTAATTGCTCGAATAAAAATAGCTCGTATACGTTGTGGATATTCTCTTGCTATTGTTCCATAAATTTCAGGATCTTTTTCACCACTATCACCCACTAATACATAATCACGAATTGTATTTGAAAGAAAAAATCGTAAATAACTCATTTTATGTGTAAATGTTGATTGAGAATGAAGAAAATCAAATAGAGATGCTGCTGTCCAACCAAAATGTCTCATATGAAATGATCCATCAGGAAAATTATTAGTATCAATAAATTCTTGTGTTAATGTATATAACTGATCGGGCATACCTGACAGATAATGAAACGTACAATTATTGTTATTTTTAAACCATTTTTGATATAATTCGGCCATACCTAAATGAATAATAAAAGAGTATATCAAATTGAGAGTATCTACTTTTAATTTATTTACCAGGTACAGGTATGAATGGATGAATAAAAGTATTTGCAAGTAATCGTATTTTATCCAATACTTGAGATATTTTAATAGTATCATCAATATCGCTAATAATAGAAATACCTTGACGTGGTTGTATAAGTCGAATAACTCCTGTTTGTTTATCATCATTATCACCAGTAGCTTCATATGTTATAATTTCACCATTATACTGTTGTTGTTGTTTTAATTTTTGTATTTCATCATTTGTTAATTGAATTCGTTCATAAAATTGACCATATTGATCTGTTCGAAATGAACTTGTTTTATCACCTATTTTTATTTTTATTAATTCATTTTTTTCATCTTCAAGAAAAAATGGTTTTAATCGATCATGATTAATTGATCCATTAAGATATAAAATAGCATCTGCACTTAAGAAATTTTTAGCAAGTCGTTCAACCCATTGACTTACACTGATTCCAAGCCAATTCTTTCCTCTATTATTTTCATAACGCCAACCATGTACCATAATTTCCCATGTATTATCATTACCTAAAGATTGATATGCTACATCAGGAAATAGTAGCATATCTTCTTTATCAAAATGTCGAATATCAATATGAAATTTATTAACTGCTTTATCTTTAAATTTGTCTGTTATTTTCTGCCACAATTCACGAATTCGAAGTTCTTGAGAATGTCTTCGACTATGAATACTAACTACAAACAAGAATAGTATAATCAGTAGAAACGAATTCAATGCCATTGGTGATAAAATACAGGTAAAAATATTGTACGATGGAACATAAATAATGAAAGAAAATAATTCTGTTGCCGTTTTATATAACTAGAGTATATTGAAGAAGAAAAGAACGAATAAATACGTAGGACTTCAAGTTTTGCAAGTAAAACATTATGAAGTATGTATGAATAAGGATTTGTGCATCAGAATGAATGCATTTATTGTATCGATATGATTCGCTGAATCATTTTGATGTTATTCATGATTATATTATAATAAAAACAAATAAACACAGTTTTATAGTGTTGTAGTAATATAGGACATAGGTCTTTATTTATGAAGGTTTTTATAAATAGCTTTAGTATGATATCTATGAAGAAATGTCATAATAAAAAAGATATCCTTGAAAAATTATAAGGATCTGTTGATAACATTGTAATACATATATCAATAATGCCCTGAGTTTTGGATGCTGCTTAATATTGTTGTCTGACATGAAACTTAATATTTTTCTTGAAAATTAGAAAACATGCCTACGAAATCATTCAGTTTAAAAATGTTTATTTCAATATAAGAAAAAGTAATAAAAGAAATGAAAATCAATCATTGAAAAGAAAAGGGGGTACAGTTTATTATTGTGGTACCAAAAATATATTGCCTAACGAAGATGCATTGTCATAAATTCTTCTTTGGTTTCATAACCATCCCAGATACCTTTTGATTCAGTTTTCTTCAGCATTGTTTTATATTTAATTATCCAACTTGAATTAGGTGAAAGGGAACGTGGTGAGGTCGATGCTACTGATGATGAATCACTTGCATCAGAATTTTCTAATGGAGTATTATTTGAATTAATAACTCTAAATAAAGAGATTCAAATGTCTATTATTATTATATAAAACAAAAAGTTTTCATTTTACTTGAAACGAGAAGTCATTTCAGTCATGATTAAAATTTGATAATCGATTGAAAAGAAAATTAAAAATAAAATCGATGAAAATTACGGTAAAAGTTTTGTTAGTAAAAGGAGAAGAGGAATTAAAAAAATCGGTTTAAATTCAATCTTTGATAACAGCTTTACCAAGTGATGATGCTGGTTGCTAAAATAAAGAATAAATAATATGAAATCAAATTACTATATGATTACTTACATTTTTCCAAGTTTTACGAACGCGTTTAGTTGAGTGTTTCGAGATCAACATTTACACATTAGAATAATAGAATCTAAATCAATATAGATGATCAATAGACTAAACTCTTATTTTTAGACATAAATCTCACAAAGGAATAGATAGATAGATATAATTATGTGATTGTTATAAGAAATAATAAATGGTTATGTTAGTACTTGTGCAAAGAAATAAATAAGAAGTGTTATAAGAATAAGAGATGTTTGTCTTTATATACAAATAGAACGTAGCAGAATTCAGTTTAAGTTATAGAATAACTTTTGAAAAATAGATAAGAACGGTTTGAGTTGATATAAATGTCTTTTCTCTATTGTGCTTTGTTTTATCACGTGGCCACTGCGTGATATGAAATATAAACATGCGTGATCACTTATATTTTCCACGATTTAGAGATTTAATTTCTTTAAAACGTACTCATTCTGTTATTTTATCTTCGTTATCAACATGTCTTATTCATAACGTAATATAACATCAGACATCATCCATGTTATTGAAGCATCGCATTATATTATAAAAGTTTTCAAAGTGCATATCTTAGTATACTTCGAACAATTTTATCAAAGTTGAAAGTTTTGTTTCATTGAAATAGCATTTATTGATAAATTTTGTTCGTTCACTTAATCTTTGTATTTAGTCATCATATAAATTAATTTCTATTTTATTTATTCAAATAAAAAACAAATCTCTAGGACAAATAAGAAAAAACGAGAAATATATTTAGAACAATACAAAAAATGGGAAAGAAAAGTGCATAGTTCTATGTTATTGCACATATTCAATAAGAAGGACATAGACTTGTTCATCATGATTTAACGAAGATGCATTGTCATGAATTCTTCTTTTGTTTCATATCCATCCCAAATACCTTTCGATATTGGTTTATGTACACGTTTATAATTGATTCCCCAGCCTGCAGAGAAGGGTGATGTTGAACGAGGTGAAGCGGGCATCGATGATGATTCATGAATTAAGGAATTGATAGAGGATACACTGTTGGTACGAAGTTCTCTATTTAAATATATAATTATATTTTATCTATTAAAAAATATCTATCTTACTTGGGAAAAGTATTGATTTCAGCCATAATTCTCAGTTGATTCTTGGATAATGAAGAATGTCAAAGAAAAAATGAATAGAAATGAAAGTAAAGAACAAATGAAAAGAGAAGAGGAGTTGTTAAACGAAAATGTAAATTTCAATCTTTGAGAACAGCTTTACCAAGTGATGATGCAGGTTGCTATAAGAAAATGAAATTTTATTATGGATATTTTATGAATAAGAATGTGAACATACATTTTTCCAATTTTTACGAACAGGTTTTGTAGCACGCTTTGGGCTCAACATTTAGAAATACATTAAATAAACTGAGGAAAGTCTAAAAAGAATTGTTCTGTATTATAGATATGTATAAATGTATATCATCAATAAAGTGTGTTTTTTTTTCTTATGTGATAAAAGAGATACTTACAAAAATATGTTTTTGTTATGGTGAAATACGCGAGTGTGAATAACTGATATGAGAAAAATCATTGCGGTTTTATATATATACAGAGTTATGCGCAAAACAGAAACAACGCAATTTGTAAAAGATACGAGATAAGATAGAGTAGAGAGGACAATTTTTCCACAAAATGACCCTGACTGATAATTTTATCTAGGATAATTTTCATTTTGGACTTCGTCCTTCTCTCTTTCACATAACAATACTATCGATTTATGTGGACTCTTCTCGACAGCTCTTTGAAGTCTATGCTATCAGATAACACAGATGCAAGGTTGTTATGAAAAGAGCTGGAGTAAAACATGGCTCTTGTAGTCCTCCTCTCTTTCTATTTCAATAAAGCCATGTTTATTTTCTAAACAAGATCTAATCCATTGTAGATACGATGGAGAAATTTCATTTTATGCACTTTGAAATCAACGAATATGATAAATAATAGTCATTCAATGAAAACTAGTACTCTAGTTCATAGACACAAGCCGCGATGATCTAATAATTCTCAAAAACGATTTATAAATAGTATCTCATTGGTTTTTAAGGAAACATCTAATCAGACACTGGGACATGTCTTAGCTGATGTGAGAATCGAATCTTATTTCACAAATATAATTATCCATACATCACGTTATGCTATTGGAAGAATGGCAATGAAGAATGAATGATTAAAAACCTTTGATACTAGAGACCAATAGAAGTCTGGAAGAAAGTTGAAGAAATAATTCAAAATATCATGAGTATCGCGTGAATTTTTCTTCGTAAGAGTGTCGGTGTGTGTCTGAGAGATTATTTGAATCACATACTCTCAAGATAGTAACAAAAATGTGAAATGTAATTTTAATTTTTCGTGTAATGTAAAAAGATCATTATTTTGACATAGTCTATATGGAATCAGATCTAAAAATACCATAATTGAAATTAGAGGAACATTTGCAAGAAAAGTATTAGGATTAAAATGAGACAATATGATATAGAATATTCAAAAGTACCAAAATAGTCTATAATCTTTGAATATCATGATTATCCTATAAACAAAAATGTATAGGAACAGGTACTTTGATATTAATGAGATATATTATGTTCTTTGAGAAAAAACCTGAAACATAGTGTATATGGAATAAAAGTCAAGCAAAATGAGTTTATCAACTCATACTGTGTAATTACTAGAATTTTGTACTAATAAAGGAATTAAAAGGGCAACTGTTTTTGTACTTATAACAGAATATATAACATTCATAAGAAAACCTTGAAAACGATAATAAATCCAACATAGTTTTTACGTATTCTACTCAAAAATTGAAAAAGACTCATAATTATTATATGCTTATTGCTTGCCATCAACATATTCTTATCATATTGTCAATCGTAATGTATCAATAAAAATTCTTATTTTCAAAAGTAATTGTATCTTTAGATCTACCAATAATTGTTATATGAATGTGGCATATAAATAAGATTATAAAATAAAATTTCTCATTACACTTATTTTTTTTAACAAAAAAAATGAAGAAGAAAAACTACAAATAAGGTGTAGTATAAAGAATACTCATACAATGTGTTTTCTATATATATATATTTCTTTTTATAAAAAAAAACAAAAGTATAGACTAGATGAAAAAAAAGACAAAATAAAAGATGTAAGGATTAAGAGCGGCTGTTTTCGAAAAAACAAAAATCTGACTATAGTAAAAAATATAATGACTGATGAAAAACAAAAACATTTTGTCTCTTTTTTCTTAACTGGCAAATACTGAACGACATGTTCCTTTTGTTGATGATCTCGTAACAATAGATTTACATGAATTATTATCATCATCTTCATTTAATAATTGTTTATTATCTTCATTAGAAATCATTTTTGATTTTAAAGAATATTTTAATCCATTGGATTTTTTTCCTAATGTTTCATCTGTATGACTATATTGATGATTAATAAGATGCATTGAAAACATAAAATATACATCACATTCTCGACATGGATGTAATCGTGCTTTTGAACCATGTTGAACCATATGATGATATAATTGTGAAGCATCATCAAATGAACATTGCTCACAAAGACTACATTGATAATCATGATTTGGATATTGATGTTCAATTAAATGTATATGCATTTTAATTGCTGTATCAAAATTAGTTCGACATAAATAACAATAATGTACACGAGGTGGAGATGGACAACGTGAAGATATAGATGAATCAATACTATCAATAAGAAAACCACTTAAAGATGAAGACGATTTTTTATATTGATGTTGAAATATATGTTCACGAAATGGAACAATTTTATTGCATTTAAGGCTAATAATAAAACAAAAAGAATGATAAAAACAATTAGGATAAAATTTTTTACCAATGATACTCTTCAGTTGAATTTTTGGATAAATGAATGGATGTAAAATGTTGTTGATAAGTTTTAATACTATCAAATTGAGCATCATTTCGACAATATAGACAAGTAAGTGAATTTGATATGGATTCAATTTCTGGTTTTGTACATGGATCTATATTAAAATATAGAATGAAATATCTTTTCTATGCCTCGAATACTGACAATACTAGAGGAAATTTACATTCATATCCTTTCTTTATATGATTACCTTTACTATATTTGATTCATTTTATTGCAAATATGACTATTAAATAGTGATTCTATTATAGTAATTTAATTCCTTTAGAATTCTAATCGACGGGAAAATGTTGCTTCGAGGTATTTTCTAGGAGATTCTCTAGTTAAACGAGCTCATCGAGTTTCTATGAAGGAAAAAAAACGTCTTTTTTTTAATAGCTTAAAGGAACTCGGCTATTTACGGAAATAGGAAAAAATCAAATAAGTTCTTATAATGAACATTCTATAAATAAAATTTATGGGTAAATATTCTTTCATTAAATGAATTATTGTCAATTTCAAAAATCAAAATAATAAAGAAAAGCTAAATTCACTGTTAATTCCCATGATACTTCTAAATCTTTTTTTTTCTTACGTATTCAAAATAGCTATTCAGAGATTACTTTTAACCTATCATTATTATTATTATTATTCATCTAATCTATATAAATCAAGAATTTTTCTTTTCTATGAAATCTATTTTTACCTGGAGATTTTAAATCTTTTTCAATACAATTAAAACAATTAATATTAAATGATGGAAGTTCTAATAAATATTCTCGATTAGTATTTGTTGTTTGATGACATTGATTACATGTAATTGTCATTGGTATCAATGAAGTTTCTTTATTCTTTATATTTGCTAAATGAAATTTTGCATGTAAATCGATTTCATGTTCATTTAATAAGGATTGTTTACATATAATACATGTTATAGCAAATTGACTATCATTATTATTTGAATATAATCTTGCTTTACTTTTTAAATGATGATGATGATGATTATGTTCATGTAAATGACGTGTAAAATCTGCTTCATTATTTAATAATTGATGACAATGTAAACATATATTTGATGTTGTTGCTTTACAATGTGATAATTTATGTTCAGAAAGTATATCAATTGTTGAAAATAGTCGATCACATATATTACATTTTAAATTAGTACCAGATGATGCTATATGAATACGAGAATGACGATCAAGTTGTGTACGAGATGTAAATAATGCATGGCAACAAGTACATTTAAATGATGGTGATAGTGATGGCGGAGGCGGTGATCGATGTGTCTGTTTATTATGTTCTAATAGAAGCGATTCAGATGGAAATGATAGATCACATAAAGTACACATTATATCGGATGATGATGGTGTAGCTAAAAGATATCGTTATTTTTTGGAATTCTAAAGTTATTTTTCTTACATAATTTTTTTCCATTTTGATGCCAATCTGATATAATATGTCGTCGTTCATCATTATGTTCATGTAGAATATGTTGATTAAGATCAAATCTTGAATTAAATTTTAATGAACAATACGTACATGGAAATAATGTGTTAAATGATGGTCGACGATGATTTATATGAAAATCAATATTTTGATTGATTTTATGAATAAATTTTAAATGATCGATTAATTCATTTGTTGAATTCAACTGACATGAACATAATGAACATGAATATAATGTTGATTTATGAACTGTTTGAATATGATGAAGAAAATCTGTACAATGTTTATAAGATGCATTACATAATTTACATTTATATGTTTCAATTGTTTTTGATGGATGTGTTTGTTCAATATGACTAAAAAATAAATCAATTGTTTCAAATACATCTTGACATTGAAGACATTTTATAATTTGTAGACAATGTTGAAATGAATAATGTTGTAAATAAACTGTCATAGAATCAAATGAACGTTTACATTTATCACACCAAATTGTTTTTTCAATAAGTGCATATTCATTTAAGATTAAATCATCATTTTTATCTGGTTGTTTTGTTATTGATGGTATTTGAAATAGAGATATTTGATCGAGTGTTTTTTGAAATGGTGGATGTGTACAACGTATATGTGCATAATAATTTTCACGATTATTAAATTTTGCATTACATAAATGACAATATGTATCATTTGATGATGGAGATATACGTTCAGATTTGAAATGATCATTATTTGAATCGTCTTCAACAGATTGATTATGTTCATTTTGAATATGATAACGAAGACTATCATCGCCAAGACAAATACGTGGACAATAAGGACAATGTTCAGTTTTATTTTCATCTTTATTTATTTTATTATTAGATGATGATATTGGACGTTCTTCATATAAAGGTTTTGTATGTGTAGGAATTTTTAATTGAAAATCAAGATTTATCGATTTGTCGAGTGTTATTGAATTATTATTATTATTATTAATACTATTACTGTGAGTTCGAATATGAGCTTTAAGATGATCAGAACGTGCAAATGTACTTTCACATAATGTACATTTAAATTTACGTTCACCTGTATGTAATTTTGAATGACGATTTAAACTACGACGATGTTTAAATCCTTTACCTAATAATAAAATACTGATCATTTTATGTCAAAACAAAATTTTTTTATCAATATCAAGTTGACTTCATAGAGTTCTTTCAAATGTCGAACGATCTATATAAAAACTAGTCTAACTATACTTTTCTTCACAGTATTTATTATCTATGCAGGGGCGTATCGACCGGAGGGTGGGGGACGTAACGCCCCATTGCTATCGAAAATTACCTCCAAAGACAGAAAAATGTATGCTATGTCTATCTAACGCCCCACTACGCCCCTCCCTTGCTTTTGGCATCTTGATACGCCTCTGTATCTATTCATAGATTTGAATTTATCAAGATTAATCACTCCTTTTTTTCAAAAACGTCAGATGAATAGAATACTTACCACAAAATGAACATCGAAATGGCATTAATTCAACATGAACCTAACAATTAAAAATTATAACATACAAAAAGAAAGTAGTTTTTCTTTCTTTCTTTACTTGTTCATGTTTAAGTAAAAGAGCCATATTTGAAAATGCTTTATGACAATAAGCACATGGATGTGGATACTCTTCATTTTGACTTATTCCATGTGGAATCTAATAAAAACAAAAATGTATCTATTCGAAAGAAAAAAAAAGAGATAAAAATCTAAATTACTGTTTCTGTTTGATTAGCATATTCATCATAGGATGACGTTCGACTTTCATCACTATTAGTTTCGTCTAAAATAGAAACGAAAAAAGAAAACAAAACAGTACATTTAATATCAATAAATAATAAAAAATTCATTTAATAGTTGATTACACAAAAATTACCTGGGAGAAAAGAACATTGATAAAGACGATGATGATTAAATTGTTCACTAGTTAAAAATATTTCTTGACAATTATCACATTTAATAGATGAATTTTGTTGCTCATCTTCGGTGGTTACTGTTGAATCAATACTATTCGATCGAATTGATTCTGTTGCGAATTCTATGGAAGAAAAAAAAAAACAAATTCATAATTTTCTTTTTTTTCTTCTCATTAATCAAAATGATTTACTTTTAGTAATTAGTTCAGAATTTTCATCATCATCATCTTGAGATACTGAATATATAGAAAATAAAGATTAAATAGATAAATCGTTACAAAGAAAAAAATAAGAAAAAATTTACCATCACGTTTTATCGCTCTTGGATTTGTCTGTTTACGACGTGACATAGTTTTGTCTTTATTCTAGAATAGGATACTGCAATCAGCTCGGTAGTCAAGAAGAGTGCGTCTCCTTGTTCTAATCATACTCTCGGTGCATCTTTCCCTCTTTCTCTCTCTCTCTCTCGTTTTGCCTTCTATATATGTATGCACACACACTCGTCCATCGATCCCGGAGGGGTGCCGAACACAGCAGTTGTCGTCGATCTATGCATTCTCTCTCTCTCTCTACCCACATACTGTTTCACACACATATACACACATACACGTAAAAAGAGTCGACTAGCTCCCCTGGGATGCAGCTGCGGCAGGCAATACGACGTGAGCTCCCCAGTGACCAACCGACGACGTCAAACAGACAGCCATAGAGAGAAAAAGAGAAACAACTAGTGGCACAGCGCTCGTCTTTCTCTTTTGAAATTCTCTCGAGATTTTCTTCGACAGAATTCTTTTAAACGAAGAAAAAAGGAAAAAAAAAGAAAGAAAATAGAAAAGATTACAAACTTATCTTATCCATATAAATTAATAAATGAAAATAAAACAAAAAATTCCGAACATACAAATCTTTATTGAAAATATTTTGTTTTATTATAATGATATATAGATACAGAGACAGAGAAAAGAAAGTACATTTGAGATTTTTCTTTTCTTTTAGATAATAGAAGAAGAAGACGAAGACGAAGAAGAAGAGATGACACCTGTCTCTCGATGTTTTCTTCTTTCTCGGTCATATTCATTCTTTTTATTCTCCATAGGGAATAATGGTGTATAAGAGAAATAAGGGAGAAAAGAAATGAACGAAGAAGAGAAAAAAAAGAAAAACGTCCCATGTTGATAACAAGTAAAGGATGAAAAAGCTAATGGCTTGAATTAATTGAAGAAGTTCTAATAAATAACCTTGAACAATAAAATTATTCAATTTTTTCAAATTTCAAATTTGATTTTTATTTCAAAGAAAAAATCTTAATACAGATTTTTTAAAAGAGTTCCATTTCATAATGAATAACCAATCATAGAACGACGCCACTTTACAAGAATTATTGAGGGTAGAAACCTAGAGCAACAGCAAAGAATATGGTTATTCTAATAGAAATAAAATCATTTTATTTTATTATATATCTTTATTTGTGTAACTTATTTTGAAAAGAAAAAATAACTGTAAACATGTCAGGAACAATAAGTGATATAGCTGCTCGAATGGAACAACGAAAACAGCGTCTTCAAGAAGAACAACAACGTTTAGATCGAGTAAATTAATTGAAATATTTTTCTATATATTTTGATTTTCTAAATCTTTCAAAGAAAGCAAATGTTTATGCTCAAAATCCTGATGCAATTAGTGAACCTTCAGAAATGGAATCCAGTCGACAAGCACCAAAACCTAAACGACGTCATCATCGTTCATCAAATAAAAGTCCATTTGATGATGATAGTTCATTACAATTTGATTCTGGTGAAAACCAAAATATCTCAACAACAACAACTTCATCAAGTACACCTAGACAACCAAATAAATTCGTTAAGAAATCATCAACAATACCTGTTACTACTGAAAAAATTAGTGCAGCGCGTTCACCACGTGATGTTTCATCACCACGAATGGCAACAAAACCAAATTCTAACAAAAATGTTCAACCAGTATCATCATCAACTGGTTTTGTTCAATCAACTATTCTAGCTCGTGCTGCACATCGAACACAATTACATGCTCAAGGTATTGAATTAGAACCAGGTGCATTTGATCGACCTAAAGATGACGATGAATCAAGTTCAGATGCAACATCAACAAGTGGTACAAAGAATTTATTTGGTTCAGGAAAGAAAACTTTTCTAAAAAAACCAGCAAATACTGTTAATAACAATCAAGTACCTGAATTATTACATCTTAATAGTGAAACAAATAATAGTGAAATTGAAGAAAAAAAAACAAAACATAAAAAAAATACAAGATCATCTTCAGGTTCAAAAAAAAAAGAATTCATTATACATAATTCTATGATATTCTTTTTAGTAATTGATACAGAAGATGATTCATCATTAGATTTTCTTGGTGAAGGTTCATTGAGTGAAGATCGAAAGACACCAATTTTAACACCAAGAAAAAGTATTTTAAAATCTCCAAAAGTAAATCTCAATGAAATACTGTTGTTTTTTATTCCATTTTTGTTTTTTTTGTATCTTTAGGAATATACTGCAAGAGAAAAAGAAAATTTTGTGCAATTTTCAAAAGAATTAGTTGAAGTTCAAAGTAAAATTTTCTTTTTCTGAATAATACATAATACGAATATTTTATTATTTGATTTTAGCTGATGATGAACGTGTAGTAACTCCAACAAAAATGTCTCGTTCTACAACTCCAAGACGTGTACGAATAGCAAGCAAACCTACGAATGATTATGACGAAACAGTTCCTTCAGAAACTGAATCAATCTCGACAGCTATTGATACTGTCGATGAAGATGATACTACTCCTATTACTGAATATATTAGTGAATCACCTGCTAACAATATGTTTGACAATTTAATAATGAATGATGAACCATTAGTAAAACCTGATGCTAAAAAGAAATCTCCAAGACGAATATCTCCAGTAGTTACAATAAAAAGACCTGCATCACCATCAACTAAATTTCATCATATACAACGAACAGTATCAGATATTAGTGACGATGATAATACAAAAGTTGAAGATATTCCGGAAGAAATTAGTGTAGCTAGTTATTCAGAAGATTTCTCTTCGGTAATACCAACAGAAACTTCAACACCACGAGCACCAACAAAACCGAAAACTCGTGTAGAAAATCAATCACAGTAATAATAATTTTTCTTTTATTGAACTTAAAAGATTTGATTTATTCTTTTATTCAAATAGACCTACACGAAAAGTCTTAACAGATGATCACGGAGTACAAGTTGATCTTATGTCTGCTCCATTTCAATCCTCTTTAAATCAAGGTTTGTTCTTCATTTGTTCAATTGTATGTATTTTTGTTTTTGTAGTTCATTCAATCTATTTAATTAATCAAAATGATTTAAATGAAGCTCGTCCATCATCACTTATTCGATCTGTTATTGAACCAAATGTTCTTCAGTCTCTATTAACAACTAATCCAGTTTTATTAGCAGTTGATGATTTAATTCGAGAACAAAGTTCTCTATTACGATCATTTATTCATTTACAACGTACTTATTATGAATCAACAATACGAAGTATACGACCTGAACATGTTTACGTTACAAAAGATAATTCACTTCGAGTAAATTATTTCTTATTTTTATAACGACAAATAAAAATCTATTAAAAACTTTCTTTTAAGTTTATTGCTGAACAACAACAACAATCTCGAATGTATTATCAAGCGCACGATGATTCAATTTCAAATTGATTTTATTTTTACGTTATTGTATTTTTTTGTATTTTGTAAAATAATGTCTAGATTTATGAATTAGAACAGAAAATAAATAAAATTTAATTGATTTTAATATGGAATATGATCTGTACTCGTAACCAGCAGTAATAGTTCATACAGACATGAATACTTTTATTTGTACTGATGAACAAATTTAATTCGTAATTTTTATGTTAAATATTCGTCTTTAAATTTTGACATCCTGTCTACTCAGTACTTCTACGTATTAGTTTTTCAAATGTAAATGAAGCGATATTTGAGTACGTTTTAGATACACATCATCTCGATACAAATATTTACAAAAGACTTTTACCAACTTTTACTAAGTCATACAACAAATAAATTCATGCTTCGAGAAAATGCATATCACGCGCTGACGAAATGATAAAATACCAAGTTTCATCAGCATAGAATCAAACTTTTCTTATCTCATATTTATTTTTCATTTGCGCAGTTTTTATTTAACACATATCTCTACTTGTATATAAACCGACAACAGTTTCTTTTATATCAGTTATTCATAGTCGAATATTTCATAAAAACAAACACATATCTTTGTAAGTATATCTCTTATCACACAAGAAAACAAAAACCACACCTTACTGATGATATATTTTATTCTTTTTAGACTTCTCAATTTATCCTGTGCTTTTGAATGATTAGTTCAAAACGTGCTACAAAACCTGTTCGTAAAAATTGGAAAAATGTATGTTCACATTCTTATTCATAAAATATCCATAACAAAATTTCATTTTCTTATAGCAACCTGCATCATCACTTGGTAAAGCTGTTCTTAAAGATTGAAACTTATATTTTCGTTTAACAACTTCTCTTCTCTTTTCATTTGTTCTTTACTTTCATTTCTATTCATTTTTTCTTTGACATTCTTCATTATCTAAGAATTAATTGAGAATTATGGCTGAAATCAATACTTTTCCCAAGTAAGAAAGATATTTTTAATAGATAAAATATAACCATATATTTAAATAGAGAATTCCGCACCAATAGTGTATCCTCTGTCGATTCTTCAATCCATGAATCATCATCGATGCCTGCATCACCTCGTTCAACATCACCCCTTTCAGGGTGGGGAGTCAATTACAAACGTGTACATAAACCAGCATCGAAAGGTGTTTGGGATGGATATGAAACAAAAGAAGAATTCATGACAATGCATCTGCGTTAAATTATGATGATAAAATCTATGTCCTTCCTGCTGAATATGTGCGATAATATAGAACTATGCACTTTTCTTTTCATTTTTCTTATTTATCTTAACATTTGTTCTTTTTCATTTAATCAATAAACTAGAAATAAGCTAATTTATGTGAAAAACATTTAAAAATATATCAGTTTCATATTGGATCGTAACAGTTTCCCAAGAAGAATATTTTGTTTTTTCTTTTCTCTCATCAATAGTCATTTATTACTCATTATCTCTGTCACGAATAATACAAACTAATCTAATAATCATTCCAAGATCATCAATTATATTTTGTTCGACATTGAGTATGTAAAGAAAATATTCTAATTTGTTTAATAAACTTCTATACTTTATCATATTAACGTAAAAATCAGTTGGAACTAAATGAAAACGATAACTGTTAAGTTTACGAAAACTACAATATTATTCAATTGTATCACTATATTTGTTTCCATTTGTAATCAAAACACATACGTGCTATTTTACGTTGACTAGATTATTAAAATCATCAATTATTGAATATATCATTTATCATGTATAGGCAATTTACTATATAGCCGAACTCAAATATTTCAATATTCTATGCAACTCATTGTTGCTCAAAAATGCTAATGATGTCTAAAACATTTTGCTATAAATACTTCTTCTATAAAACTATGGTCATTCTTGTAATATTATCCTTTAAAATGAATACAATCAGTTGACAATAATTATTTATGCGATGTTATAATCAAAAGAAATCTACCATATAATCTTCATTATATTCGAGAAAAACAAAACTACAAATTAATAAAGCTTTATTTAGATTGAGAAAGAAAAGAATCAGTTATTTTTTCCCCGTTCATTATACTAATATTAGTTTTATTATAACATGAATATTATTATTTATTAATATTTTCATAACATACAGTAATTATTGTGTTCTTACATGAGATCTTCGAGACGAGTAAATTAAGATCGAACATCATATTGTTTAATAAATATACATGTAATAAATTCTATGGAAAATTCCTGTAAGAAACCTTATCGCCTGTTTCTCATCAAATACATAGTAATTAGAACAAATATATACCTTCATATATTCAGAAAATGCTCTGATGCAAATAAAAAAAAAATGATACTATAGACGATGTCAAGTAGACCTTACTAATTCTGTAATCTGTTATCATATATGCGAATGAAAAAAAGTACGTTAGGGAATACGAGATGAATGATTTGATAAGCAATAATAGTCAAGATAAATAGGGTTTTTCTACTTTAGAAAGAATAAGATAATCTTGAGAACTTACAAAACATTCTATATAGAATCTAAAGAGATCCGACATGTATAGTAAAGAAAACATAATTGATTCATTTTTCTTTATAATATCTAAATTAATCTTTTATAATGGTCTCTTATCCCCTTATTCATTTCGCCTGTCAAGTACATAATTGCCTTCGTTATTCTACAAGTTCTCTTAATACACCTTCATGTCAATCTTGTCGTTTTACTTGTCATTTATATTAGATAATATTTAAAAAATAGAACGTATACTTTATTTATTAAGTTAATTTCTATGTCTGTCATCATCAGTATCTGTATGTTGCGTTTCTTTTCTATAATTAGCACCATACGTTTATAATCTAGCACAAATATAAAATAGAACAAAAAAAAAGAAACATGATTCTTTTCATAAATCAGTCTTTGGAGGAGATGATGATGATGATGAATAAGAAAAAAAGTATTTATACACATCCCATAATAAAATTAGAATTAAAAGTGCAAAAATTATTGACAAAAGATACTGAATTCGTTGTAATTGTTTTGATGTTTGTGCAATCGTCGTTTTTTGTAATATTATTGATTCTTTTAACTAAAATAAAACAGAAAATTTGTAAATAAACATAAAACTAAAAATTCCTTACTATTTTTTGCATTTCAGTTATCGAAGAATCAGAAGTAGTTACTGGTAAACGTGAAGAATTTGGTTCAGTCGATGGGCTGGGTGTTATTACAGATGGCGCTTTGCTATTACTACTACTATTGGCACCACCAAATGAACATTTTAGTCTATATAATTAAAAATTATAATGATTATTTATAATATACATTTATATAGAAGATAAAATACCTATGTTCATAAAGAACAGAGCTTGGAACTTGTTTCCAAAAATCAACTAGCTGTGCTTGTTTTAATTCTTGTCCAATTAATGTCCATATAACTAAAAATTTTTCTTTACTTATGTTACTTGTTGATGTACAAAATGCTAAATAGAAAATGTTTTCTATAAATATAAATTCATACAAAATATATATGAAGCTAACCTTTCAATAAATAAACGGTTATAGTCGCTGTTTCACCTGGATAAAGAAGACTACATCCTGGTTTAACGCGAAATTTATCTGGGGATGTGGTTTTAATTTTAAATGTTAAGATTTTATCACCCATATTTGTTAATATTAATGTTTGAATACAATCATTTGTTCCATGTGGTGGTGCATCTAATCTTTCAAAAATCATTTCATCGTAAGGTCTAAAAATAAGAATATTTTATTTTTGAAATTTAATTTTAAGATTTAATATTCAAACCTTATTGCAAGACCATGATAAACTTTTTCTTCGCCTGTATTTCCATTTAATAGTGTTGGTTTTTGTAGAATAGACTAATATTTATTTAAATAGAAAAAATTTATTGATATATTTACATTGAAATATTTACTTTTCGAGTTATCGGGTGTGATGAATCTGATGTAGATAAGAAACCACTAGGTTCTTCTGGAGTAAGTGGATCATCATGAGGTGATAATTCAACTTTAAATGTATTATCAGTTGTTGTTATTGCGTCTATTGATGCTAATGAGGGAAGGGATAAATCAAGTGAACCAGTATCAGCAAAAGTAACCTAATAACATAATTAAATATAATTAAAATTTAATGAAAAAATCTTGAATTACTTTTTTCTTTGAATTGATATTCATTGAATCTTCAACAGCTTCATTTACTGGATCATGAATATAATTTGTTGTATCCTGAAATAGAAAAATCAGATTATATTATTTTTATTAATTAAGAAAAAAAAATGTTTTTTAATTTATTATGGCATTTATTATTTCCTGAATGAATGCAATATAATTACTCGATTAGTTTTCATTTACTCAGATAAAAATCATCATTCAAATATTTATAATCTGAGTACATAAAAAATAACAAAAAGAAGAACAGTAAATCTAATGAGTAGGACAGATAAATCTTCTATCACTTTGATCGAACATGTTCGCATTCTCTATTCACATACATTATTTAGATTGAGAGTTTTGTCTGACATGGTTAGATAGATAAGACACTAGAGAACATCATTGTAAGTTATCAAATAATCTGAAAAACGTTTGTTGTTGTTGTTATTGCTGCTGCTGTCGTTGTTGTGACTAGTAGTATACTAGACATTCTTCTTTTATTGTCGTTTTCTTCTTCGTCGTCTTCACTGCTGCTATTGATGTTAACACTGGTAGAGTTGTCGTTGTGTCGTTCATACTGAGAAAAACGGAGTAACAAGCTTTACTCATTTTTTTTTTGTGCCTATATGCTCGATTCTGATGGAAAATAACAGGACGAGAAATAAGAGAGATGAAAAACGATGACGCATATAGCGAAGTCGATAAAAATAGAAGAGAAGAAGAAAAAAAAACTAAGAAGAAGAAGAAGAAGAAATAACGGTAATACTGAGATAGAACAAAGAAATGGAATAACAACAACATTTGTATCTCTATACTAATGTCCGTAGCGTGTGTATATATAAATATAGTAGTGGTAGTAGGAGTAAATTTTGTTATATTTACATGCTGTTGAGAATGAGAGAAAAAAACGGATATGGAAACAATAAAATCCTATAAAAAGTCAGCAGGAACTATATATCTATTTATCTATTGAACCATGCTAAAATGCGTTGCATGTATCAGATGGAAATAAAAAGCAAATAGCGTCGTTTTTCTCTGCGTGAATATAGTATATGTCCCTAATTGGATCAAATTTTCTTCACTCACAGTGCCGCCCATTGCTGTCGGCAATTGATCGGTTCTCACGAATTGTGTGATTGATTTTATATCAACGAATTTAATAAATTGTTCTGCTTCAGTAGGCAACCAAGAACGAATTATTTTCCATGCAGCTAACAACAAAAAAATACAATTCTTTTATCTATCTTCAAAAAACATAAATATTTACCTGATAAAATAAATGGCATTTTGAAGATAATCATATAAGCTAAAATCAATGACATTTAAAAAATCAACGGATTAAATACGCATTAACATATATATACCTAATAAGCCAGGAAAATAAATTTGTCCACAACCAATAATAAACTTAATCAAATCATAGTCCTATGAAAAGAAAGAAAATTTATTTCGATAAATATTTTTGAATCAAAACTAACTAAATGTTTAAGACCAGTTTCATTCATATCGAAAAGAATAACAATTTTTTGACCCGGATGACGTCGAATATGTCTTTCAAAATTATATATTACAAAACGTTTAACAACTTCGTTATCTTCTTGACCTTTTACAAATGTTCGAACGACAAAATGAACTATAGCAAAATAGATAAGAACCGAAATTTAATTAGACAAAAAAAAAAAGAAGAAGAGTTATATTATTTACGTAATGGATTATTGTTCATGTCATGATTTTTGAAATAGATTGCATGTCGATCAAAATAATTGGCAGGAAATTCATCTGTAGAGATGTCTAAGAAAATGGAAAAATATATTTACACAACTATAAAAAAAAATATTAGTTCTATTTTAATCACACTAATACCATAAACACTATGTTCCTTTCTCCAACTCATTGATGCATTAAAAATTTTCAATGCTCGATCTTCATCAAAACTTGAGCCAAATTGTCCATGTTGAATAAACATGGTTGTAAATTCATCTATTTCATTGAAACGTTGAAGATCACGTGGATCATAATCTTGACCTTCATTTATTTGTTCTAACAAAACAAAAATATTATTTAGAATAAAATAATTAGAATTATACTTTCGAAATTTCTATTGACTAAGTCTCGAAATTTATTGACCTTGAATGAAAAAAAAATAAATTATTTGATTCGAATAATTTGTAAGGAATTATACTGAAATTAACGTTTGAAAAGTTGGAATCGATGACGCCATGTGATAAAATAGGAGAAAAAGTAAAGAGCAAGAAGGATATGTCACACACACTGAAATTTGATAACAGATACACAGAATGAATCAGTATGACTTAAAAAGGAAAACAATAACATACGATAAGAAATGTTTTTATGTTTTCGTTATAAGTGTTACCTCAGTTCACAAAATTTTCTTGTATATCATCTGAAAATTTATCAAATAAGTTTTTTTCTTCAAATAATCATAATTTTAATGATTAGAAAAATACATAATTCATATATACTTTATCATATTTCAACATTTTTATTACTAATATTTCACTACGACAAGAAACAAAATCTTTTCATAGGAAATGTTGCAGTATAAAGATACTTTTTCTAATCAAGCAGACATTATCAATATTGATTTTGCACTTAACAGAAAATGTTTCTTTTTTGAATATACATCAAATTTAACAATATAATTTATTATTGTAATGACTCTTAGCAAATCAGAATATGACTTCTAGTCAAATAGAAGAGAAAAAACTAATTATTGTCAATATCTATATAATTATCAATAGAAAACATAAATAATGTTAGATTAATAGAATAGATGAAGTTTTATTATATGTATATATATTTGACTGAATCGAATAGACCAAAATTTTCAACTTATAATAATTGTTGAAATGTGTAATCATTAACGTTCAATGATGAATTTTTTTTCTTTACATTTATATTATGAGATGATTAAATATTAACTAACCTGTAAAAGAAAAACAAATATTGATACAAGAACTAAACAAAAAAGACTACTTACATAATATATATATATACAGTAAACATTTTACGTGATATTATTGGAATTGTGTACATTCTAAAAAATTAAACACGTTACTTCGTAAAATAATTTGTTTTTTGTTTTTAATTTATATAAGATATTCTCTAGTGATAACCTAATTTCTGGATATGACAACTCTATTTTTTTGTTAATAAAAAAGAAAATTAGAAGAATCATCAAGTCAATATTCATTTTTTCGACATGTCTAACTATAAGAATGTATAAACTTGTTATTCTCATGGGAAATTCAAATGATTTTAATATTCTACAGATGAACACAATAAGATAGTATAGAACAAAACTAACCTCATCAATTCCGATTGAAAAAAATACCAGATATATATTTAGTAATAGAATCCTGCTAAAATTAAATTCCAATGGGTATTCTAATATTTCATGACATATTTTAAGATGGTTTCAAGTAACTTTATTAAATTGCTTTCAGACTTAAATTTACATTAGAAAAAAAAAAGTTAATGGATTCACTCAACCACTCCATTCTCATCATTATTAGATCTATTATTTCCTTTCGTCGAAATATATATATTTAGAAAAAAAAATTGTATAATGATGAAATATCTTTTAGCAAGCAAAAGCTTTTTGAAAAATCAGGATAAATAATGCAATTATTGTTCATCACTCACGGAAGCACTTGTCATTTGTAATTGATCAGATTGAACGAACTGTGTAATAGATTTTTTATCGACAAATTTAATAATTTGTTGAGCTTCAGTTCATTTATCATGAACGTTTTATTTCGCTAAAAGAAAAATCTAGAAAATAAAGATTTACTTATTAAAATCAATGATAAGTAAACAAAACAGAATATATATATATATGATCAAAATTAAATTGATATGTGGAATAATAAAACTAACCAGATATCTAAGATCTGTATTAGTCAAAATAAGCACATCGATATTTTTCGAAATTAAATATAAAAAATTGCTGGATAACTCCTGAGTCTTCAATAATCGTTCGAAAAGAAAAATATGTTATATGAATCAAATTGATTTATGAAAATATTGAAGTACTCTTCTTCCATTAAAGACACTACCATATATCGAAAATCTATTTTGAAAAGTTTATTAGAACATACTCTTGTCGATATCATGCGATAAAACAAAATGAAAGACCTTGAAATAAATTAAGATAAGATATCTAACTCAAACTAATAAATTTTCATAGACACAACTAAAGTGTTCTTATTCGAAAAATTATAGACATGACTATATAAATTATGTGTAGTTAAGAATATTAATGTAAATATATTTCTTTTTAAATTTTTTATATGAGTCTCGTCTATACTATGCTGAAATACATACATTTGGTTTTTGTCGTGCATATACTTCATATTGATATTTTCTGAAGATACAATCTATTGTCTTTTTCTACAAATAGATATTGAAAAAATACTTCGTATAATGAATTTATATTGTGGAAAAAAAAATATTGTCGTTTATCAGTTAATTTTATTATTTATTGTATACAATAAAAGCATAAATAAATTTTTTTTTTCGATAAAATTAAAGTTCTTCATCTCTAGTACCACCCATTGCTTTTGGTAATTGATCAGCTGGTATATAGTTTGTAATCGTTTTTTCATTAGCAAATATAACGGAATTTTGTGTTTCAGTTGGTAACCATGATTTAATTAATTTCCAAGCCGCTATACAAAACACAAATCAATAAAAATAATTTTCTTATAAAAATATGAACATTACCTTGTAATATAAATGGAAGTTTAAATATAAGCATATATGCTATAAACGAAAAACAAAATATGATTTACTTTCAAACTAAAAATCAACATACAAAGTAATCCAGGATAATGATACATTAAACTATTGATAATGAACTTAATAAGATCATAATCCTAATAAATATCAAAAACGATAATATAATGAAGAGAAAATTTCGGATATTAAACTAACCAAATGTCCAAGACCTGTTTCACGCATATCGAATAAAATAGCAATTCGTTGACCAGGATTACTTCGTATTTGTTCTTCAAAATTATAGATTATAAAACGTTTTACAGCTTCATTATCTTCTTGTCCTTTATGAAAAACACGAATAATACAATTTACTAAATCAAATTAAAATAAAATATATATTCTAAAAACATATGTATACATAAAATGAAAACTTACAAACTCGACTATTGTTAACATCATGATTTTTATAAAATACTGCATGTCGATCAAAATAACTCGATGGAAATCGATCAGTTGAAATATCTAAAAATCCTAATCTTGTTTGGAATAAATGTAAATATTCATTTACCATAGGCGTTATTTTGTTTTCGCCATGTCATTGCTTCGTTAAAATGATAAAATCCTTTTTGTTCATCAAATGTTTTACCATATTGTGCATGTCGAACAAACATAAGTGCATATTCATCTATTTCATTAAAACGTTTTATATCACGTTCATCATATTCTTGACCTTCGTTAATTTGTTCTATAGAAAAACACAAAAAAAGATACGAAAAATATAAAATAAGAAATATATTTACTTGCAAAATGTTCATTAACTGCTTTTCGAAATGCTTCAACCTTAAGAAATTATAAAATACAAGAAATGTTTTCTAAAAGAAAATTTACTGTAGTTAATGTTTGATATGTTGGTATTGGGGCAGCCATATGAATATGCAGGTAAAATAAGTATGTGACACAAGCAAAATAACAAGTGATAATGGAATGATGGTAGAAATAATAACAAAAGATAAGAAAGACATATCTTGATGCATGTTTTTATATGCTCGTATCTATAATGTAATTCTTATTTATTCATAACCGTGTCAAAGTTCGAAATAGTTCCTTTTAATCACAATAATTTTTAATTGAATATTCCAATCGATAACTATCAGCAATATTTCATTACTAATTAATAGTAAAGAAGAAACAAAATTATAAAAAAATTTGATTATATAAGGTACTCGAAATTTTTATACCATCAAGAATGTCAAGAAGACGCTGTAAGAGATAAGAAATAGCATATTAAATTAATTTTGCACATATTCTTCAAAATATTTATCATTTTCGTTACACTTCTTTTTTATACTAAAAATGTTCACAAGAAACAAAAAGTTTGATCGAATTAAACTCGATATTTTTAGAGATACTCAAATGTCTGTTTTTCAAAGGCTTCCGAACTTTAATTATATATATATTACTGTTGCATTTTGTTACGATGAATGCATAAGGAGTCGTTTTTTTGAATTTTATTTACCAGAATATAACATAATAATGCAAAAGAAAATTAATATGTTGATAATCGTTTTTTCGAATACTTATCGTAGAAACGAAGAATCTGTAATAAAAAGAATGATTGTTGTTTAAAACATTCAAAATATTTCAAGCTTTCATTCCTTTATCTTCTACTATGTCAACGATTATTTTTTCTTCCATTTTTCAATTGTATATAAAAAATATTCAATGCATCAGTTGTTAAATCTTTAGTTTGTTAAGACATAAAATTTACGAATAACACTGTATGCATGTTTATATAATAGTTAAATATAACAGAAATGAGAACAAAAAACGAATATATTTATATATACACCAGATAGTTATAAAAATCATTTCGAGATTTTTGAAAATGTTTATATCTGACTTAGAATAAAAGGATTGCTTGTAGTTTATTCAGACGTAACCATAACGATCATGATAATCGGCATGAGCTTCACGAATTTTCTTTCGTTCACTTTCCAATAATTTTGCTTGTAGAGGTACAACAACAACTGTTGTTGTTGCGTCCTTTCCATCGACATCCATTTTCTTTTCACTATCATCATCACCATCTGCACGTGATGCTTCAATAACACGTTGAGCTGGCCACATTTTTGATCTAAAATGATTTTTTTAAAGTCTGAATTCATTTTTGAAAATAAAAAGTATTAACATACACTTGATCAGGTCCAACAGCTTGACCAGGTCTTAATGAATAAATTTCTCTTGCTATATGTTCAGCGTTCGTGCTTTCAAGACCGATTAAACGTGCAAGATGTTTTACTTGTTCAACTGGTTCACTATGTATACTCTCATAACGAAAATCACCTTTAGCAATTGAACGCCAATATTCAAATGAAGTCATATATGCTCTGAGTCTTGACAAAATAACTCCAAGATCATGTTTCATCCAACCTAAGTAGAAATAATTATTTATTTTTTGAAAACAATGTGTTTTTTTTACCAATTGTTAAACAATCATCAATAACATCACGTAAATCTCGATGAGAAACGAATACCATATAACCATGTCCAGAGAGATCAAGACTTTCTGCCCAATCTGAATCAGGTATACGCATTGTTCGTACAACTAATGGTCGACCACCTGCTTCAATTAAACGTGTTTCGATATCATTTTTTGTTATATGATTTAAACGATAACTATCTGCTGGACCAGATGGACTTTCTTGATGTATAAGAAGTAAACGAACAGCATTAAATAACCATGATGCTCCTTTACATAAGAAAAATAAAAATGTTGAGAAATTAATAGATTTTAAATTATACCTGATCGTTCAGGTCCAGCAATGATATAAACCTTTTAAACAAAAACATAGATATAGAATTAAAGAAGACATATTTTTTGTTTCCACTCACTGGACCAAATCGTTTAGATTTTCTTGGATTTGGTTTTAATTCAAGTGATTCATGGTATCGTTTGACTACGAATTATAAATAAATAATGAATATTTAAAATATAAACTTGAGAAAACATACTCGCTTGCTTTTCTTCTTCTGTTTGATGACGATAGTTACATAATGCATGACAATATTTTCCTTGAAGATAATCAGGACAATCGAAAAGTTTCGGAAATGTTTCTTCCATTTAATTTCTTTATAGACAAATCAAAGCTTTCTTAAATATGCGTAGTTTATATGAAAAAGAGGAAAATTGATGTATGTATGTATACGCAGTGAGCCAGCGAAACATAATTTACTCGATTGGTTTAATATTTACTTGTTACAACACTTTTCATAGATGTCGGTCTCTTCTTTAAAAATTATTTATCTATTTTCTCTTTCTAAATCATTCGACTTAAGTGCTACCCACATCTTTACGACATCAGATACTATAAAAATCCCAAACACTTGTATTGTAGAACGCTCAAAAAGAATGATAACTGGAATCAGTCATTACAGGTTCATCTTATATGTTCAAGTTTCTAATAAAAAAACACATTTTGAAATAATAGCAGCCATCAATATATTCCTGATAAATCTATATAGAAATTAAAATTCGCTACAACATTTTGTATGAAAAAAAACACACACACGACTGAACTACATACATACAAATATAGAAAAGAAACAAACCAACAAAAAAAAGAGAAAACACATGGATATACTAGCTGTAAAAAATGGCTTAGAGCATAGATTGCTATTACCAAAAATTATTATATGAAAAAAACAAGTAGAAAAATTCACGTTTTTTTTTTGAGTTATAAATACTGTTTTGTGTGTATATAAACTAAACATTTGAAATATTTTCTGTTATGTTCGAATTGATGATTGTAAATGACGTCGATTAACAGGTACTTTTGTGTTTTTAACTAAAATACTACTTGTTAATTCTGCTTTTTTAGCTCTTTCATTAAAATTTTCATTTGTTTCACGTAAATATTCTCGAAGATCTTGTGATGATTTAGCCAATGATCGAGACTAATGTTTATTAGAATAAAATAAGAAAAAAATATCGAAACAAAAAAACAATTCTTACTAAATTCATTGTATCTTTTTTCTCTTTAACAAAATGTTTTGTACGTCGATCTTTTCGTACCATTTCATTCTGTAATTCGTAACGACGTTTTTGTAAATCTGCCATTTGTCTATGAAGAATAATAACTATAGAATAAAATCAAGAATATTTCTTTACATACTGTTCATAATTTTTTGCTTGTAATGTTTCATAAAGTTGTCGTGAATGATGAAGTTTATTAATTTTACGACGAATTTCATTTTGTCGACGTTCATCAGCCATTGATTGATCCTAGGTAAATATAATCAATATTTTACAGTTAATATATATTATAATTTACTGAAAAATCATGTAATAATGATTGATAACGTTCAACTTGTTTTTCAGCATCTGCTCGACGTGCATTTTCTCTTGCCTTTTGAATTTTTAATTCATGATCATAACTAAATAGTATATATAGATGATGTATGAAATATAATTTTCTTGTCATAGGACATATAATGTACATACTGTCCTAGTAAAACTTCATATTGTTTCTTTTCAAAAGCGGCAGTTTCAGGATCATTTGCAACTGCTGAATGTGTTGCACGTCGTTCTATCATTTGTTTAACATTTTCAAGACCATTCCTAAATATAAAAATATTTAGATGAAATCTAATAAAAAAATTAGTTCTAACATATATCGATCATTTTTATGTTGTTTTGATCCACTATCGGATGTACTCATACGTTGAAGACTTTTATTCTAAAAATAAATAATTAGTTTTTTTTGTGAATGATTTAATAAACTAACCAATCGTTGAACATCATCAACAAAATTAGCTGATGTTGATGCACGTGGATCATATTGATCTTCATGATTATCATCTTGATAGTATGAAGATGATAATGGTGGCGGCCATCGAGCACTTGAAGATTTAAGAATAGAATTTGATACAGTTGGACGAACGGATGATGTTGGTCTTGGTGGTAATTGAGCATTTGCATCATATTCAGAAAATCGTATAGCTGTATTCGATTCTGAACGCATTGGAACACTGCTGATTGTTGTTGGTTGTTCGAGACCATGAATAAGAGAACTCGATGGATTAAATTTTGTTTCTGCATATGTTCTATATAGAAAGATATTGTATATAGATAAAAATCAATTTCTTTTGTATATATATCTTACCGTCGTATTGAGCCATCATTTACAGAAGATGGTTCTTAAGAAATAAAATTATAGAATTCATTTTTTTATAAAAAAAAATCTTACGAGGATCAACCATTTTTGTTGATGGTGCATATACGAGAGCTTCTTCTCGAATAATTTTCTCACGTTGCTCTCGACAACGTTGTAGATTTGCTAGAATATATTTTCAAATTTTTATTTTTCAAAAAACAATTCTTTCAAACCTAATCGATCAACTTCCATTTGAGATCGTACATCAGCTAAAGTTGAAAGTCGTACTTTTTCTGAGCCAATATCATCTTGAACATCAGCTAACCGTTTTGGAAGTAATATAACAGGCTACATTTATAAATTCATATTTTATAATTCATTATTCAAAGAAAATACTTTTTCATACCTTGATATTAAGACGAGCACAAGCTTCAAGTGAACGCGGACTTGTTAATACATATTTTGAATCGGCGTTATCAATATTATCAAAATTATATAAATCAATTTTTAATTGACCTCGATTTTGTATTGAACTACTGACTGGTCGTCTACGTCCATTACGTTGATATGTTGATGATGATAGAACTGGTGTACCAGTTGTTGGACGTGTTAGATTTAAACAACCGGATGTATCAAAAAATCGAGCAGCATCATTACCACTCATCTCTTAGTTACTTTAACTTTGATTTGTCTTTTTTCTTTTTTTTTTCAACAATGGTAGCCATAACACTGTTCGTTAACTAAGCAATGCCTCTATAATAAATACGTTCTTTTCATATTTAAAAAGACAAATGTGTACAAAAGATTAAAGAAAAAAGAAAAAAAATAATAGAAAAAAGTTTGAAGTGAAAAATGAATATTTTCACATGAAAAAACTAATCTGAAATAGAGTGTAGGAGATAATTGATTCCATCTTTATCTAACAAGTATAGACGAACGAACTCAATGACCGTTCTGTTACTTTTTTTGGCAACCATAAATATATATATAATTTTATATATTTTCTTTAGCATTCTGTTCTGCATTTTAATAGAAAATAAGTCAATTATGTTCTTTTTTATTCTTGATTTAGTATGAAATTACATAAAAGTAACTGTATTTATTTCTCGATTATATATAAATAATCAATAATATATCTGATGTGAGTCATTGTCAGTGAGAGAAAAGTGTTAATGATGTGAATAAAAACAAGCATACATTTTCTATTAATCAATATATATATATATATAAAGGTGTTTCTAGACGATAGTATTTTTTATTTATTCTAACTTATTCATTGTGAAAAATATCAAATGGCTGAACGTTTAATAGGATTTATTAAAGAAAAAAGTAGTGCAATCATAACAACTGTCCAAGAACATGTTTCATCAGTGACAGACACAACAGGAACACTTGCAAAACAAAAATTATTACAAACATTAATTTCATCAGGTGTTGTACAAAGTGAACATATTCGACATGCACTTCAAATTGGTATGTAAACTCGACGTGTGTGTCAGAAGATAATAATTTCTATCTGATTTATCATACTAGGTATTGGTCATTTTCTTGATTGTCAGATTGCTAAAACTGCCCATACATCTGAATATATTCAACGAGAGAAATTCCCAGCTGGTGGTACTCAAGTAACAAGACCACATTCTTTACCTGATTTTGATATTGAAGCATATGGACTTGATATATTTTGTACTTTAATGGATATTTATGGTATTGATCCATTGACATTAAAGGAACATGTATGTGAAGGTGAACTTAAAGAAATAGTAAATCCATCGAATTCCGGTTCACTTCTTTATCTTACATCGGATTCAACATTTCTTATAAAAACTGTACGTGATTATGATGCAAAATTTATTGAACAGAAATTTTTAAATGAATATTTAAATTATGTTAAACGTACACCTGGTACATTTATTTCTAAATTATTTGGTAGTTTTGGTTATATACCATATTTATCTGAACAAACTAAAATAACAGTTGATTCATTTACATTACGTTTTGCAATATTTCAAAATTTTATTCCAACAAAAATTGAAATACATGAAAAATATGATTTAAAAGGTTCATCTTATGGACGTGATGCAAATGCACAAGAAAAAATGAAAACATCAGCAACATTTAAAGATAATGATTTTCGTGAAATACATCCAAAGGGTTTGAAATTACCTAAAAGTGTATATTATCATTTAAAAGAAGTTCTTACACGTGATGTAGAATTTTTAGAAAAACTGAATATTATGGATTATTCATTACTTTTAAGTAATATTTAAAAACAACTATATATATTTTCTTTAATTTGTTTTTTTTCAATAGCTGTTCATAATATGGATAATCAAGTAAAACCAATACGTGTTACACCACTTGAATCATTATTGGGTAATGTTCGTGATACATTTCTGATTGGTATGACACAAGACATTGATCAAGGCGATAAGAAAAATAAAGATGAAAAACCAAAATTAGTATTAAAATTTAAAAAACCAATTGAAACATTAGGTCTTGGGTTTAAAGAAGTATCAACATATGATACAGAGAATTCCAAAGAATTTGGGTAAGTTTAAATAACGAATACAGCTTTAGCAAACACATTTTTTCTGTTGACAAAATTTATGTTATCGGTAAACGGACAAAACGTCACAGGCGTATGGCTCAGTGAGGGTGCATTGTATATCCACATGCATACACTGTCCGGGAACCGGAACGATGAGCACAAAAGTACTTAAGCACACAAACAGCTGAGTGTGGGTGAGGGCGCTGGCCCGGAAAAGATGACATCGATAGATTCCTATATCCATGTCGATTCATATTTGCCTTGACTTTCTTCGTTTTCGTCGATCTTATGGACGTAAACACTTATGTGCTTCAAGTTCCTGTGCTCATCGTTCACCGACCCCATCTAACGAATTTCTTTTTTGTCAAATGATAACACTTCGTTCATTGAAAAATAATTGATATTTATTTATAGTGGTATTCCCGCAGTTAATGAAAAAGGTGAACGTCTTCTTCTATTTTTTGGTATTATCGATTTATTACAAACGTAAGTTAAACTTTTCTTCTTTTTTTGTTTAATTTCATTTTAAAAAATTTAGATTTGATATCTGTAAAGTTATGCAACGATCATATCAAACAGTTGAAAATCGAGAAGCTGTTGATGATCGTTCTATAGTTGAAGCTGATTTTTATGCCAAACGATTTAAAGAATTTCTTTTTGAAAGTGTTTTTCAGCCAGCTGACGATGAACTCAAAACACATCCTATTTCAATGAATGTTTTCTCTCTTCCATCGAGTTCTCAAAAACAATCTGATCAGAAGTCCAATCAAGCTTCTGTACTTAATGCTTTTCCAGATGTACATCGTCTTTAATTATTGTTGTGCATTTAGTCTGCAGTGAAAAAAAAATTTTCAAAACATTTATTATATTACTTTTTATATCTAATCCTGCGTATCGAATATAAATATACATATATATATAAGTGATATTTATGATCACATCGATCTTATATTATTGAAGTAAACGAGCAAGAAAAAAAAACGCCAAATATGAAAAAAAACACACTGTCGAATATTTTTTTTGTACAAAGACCAGAAGCAATATGAGTTTTACTCATAAAATACATTCAGATAAATAACAACGACTTGAAAAGAAAAGATGGCTCAACAAAAATGGCACAAATACGGTTTTTTTCTGTTCTGTTACGTTTCTTTTTTAAAATATTAATATGGCTCATCACTTATTTTTTGATATTATAAATATTACATATGTAGAGATACGAGTAAGAAAAAAAAGACACAAACATTGTCACTTATATTCACAACAGGGATTTGAAAAAAAAGAAAAACACAACAATATTTATCAGCTCAGGAAAACGAAAATACTTCAATTTGTTATTGCACGTAATTAAAAATTGTCTTGGTTTTTTTTTGTAAACGAAATATTCGGTTTTTATATGACAAAGAAACAGAATGATAATTTTATACTGATTAGAAATCCCTGTTTGTTACAACGAGAGGAATGCAAATAAAAATAATGATAATATATATATATATATCGAGGATTTATCAATTAAAAAGTGGATTTGATACTTGATGTCCATGATGTTGAAGTGGTGTTGATGGAGATCGAACTAATGTTCGTTTACTTGGCATTTTTGATAAAGATTTACATAACATTGCAAAATCCGGTCGATCATCTGGCACAAATGACCAACATTGATTGATAATATCCTATGATATACAGGTATTTATTATTAAAATTTGAAATATGATATCGTCAATACTCTCCATCTGAGCATAATCGTCTTTTAAAAAACTGAAGATTCATTTTTTTAATTTTAACTTATTGAAATCCATTAGGATCCACTTTCTCTTTTCTTGAAGAAAACGTCATTAACCCTAGGAGTCCCAAGACTTTTTTTGCGTTTTAAGGTCATCCTATACTCACCTCACATCCTGTTTTTGAAAGATACAAAACAATAAAATATCTTCATTGTATGAAAATTTGACGGAGACTGGGTCAGAAATGATCCGTTAAAAAAGCTAATAGTATAAGCTAGATCCTATGTTCTTTAAATTACCATACTACTTAAAAAAATCTTAGATTCCTAGGAATGATTTTATTCTGAGTATTCAGATAATAAATATATGATTATTACTTACTTTAGCATTTTTACTAATATGTACACTACTCAATGGTTGTTTAAGTGAATTTCCTGCTCTCCATATAATATATTCCGATGGTTGTTTTGCATATGGAAATTCTCGAAATAAAAGTTCATACCAAACCGTTCTAAAAATACAAATATTTCTATGATCATTAAAAGAAAATAATATTTATTTACCCAAATGCATAAACATCTGTTTGTGGTGTATGTTGTAGTAAAGTTTGTTCATCACGTGGATCAAGTTTACGTATTAATTCCGGTGCTAAATAACTAAGCCATCCACGTGGAACTATTATAGCTGGTTGATTATTATATCGATAACATTTACTTAATGGTAATAAACCATAATCAGTTAAAACAATACGATTATTTTGTACGAATATATTTGTTGTACGTAATGACATATGATTTATAGATTTTTCATGTAAATAACTCATTGCTTGAGCTATTTGTGCAGCATAATGTACAGCTGAATTCAATGAAATTGAATCATTACGTATATGAATCATTTCATATAATGTTGAACCACGAATCCAACTAATAATTAAATTCAATGTTTGTTCTATATAAATAAGAAAAAAGATTTTTACCTTGAAGCAATAGCAAAATTCGGACTTTCGACTAGATAAAAATAGAAATGATTAAAAATGAATTTATGATATAATGAATACATACTGCAAACACCTGTATATAAATTTAAATGTTCATGTCGAACTTTTCGCAAGCGAAATATCTATTAAATAAAAATAAGAATACTCAAACTGATATAGAAAAAGAAAATCTAATAATTACTTGATTTTTAAATTGATTTAAAAATTCTGTTTCACTTAATTTCGGATCAGGTTTTATAATTCTTACAGCAAGTTCACCATGCCAATGAGCTCTGAATAAAGAAAATGATTCGTTATATTTAGAAAAAATTAATTTTTCTTACTTCATTAATGAACCAGATGATCGTCGTACTTCTTCGATTATTTTTATATTATTAAATACAATTACCCAATCTTGGATTGAAGTTGAAAGCTAAATAAAATATTTTTATAATTATCAAAAATATATATGAAAGATTGAATAACTTACATTCATACTTCGTTTATCTGGATCAACTTCAATTTCATCATCAAATGATATTGCAAGTCGAGATTTAAAATCTTCTCGATCAGCATGTGTTGAATTACTCTATAAAAATCAATTTTTTTTCTATTAAACATAATCAAAATCTATATCTACTTGTGATAATTGTCGTACAAGTTTACTTTGTGTTGTCATTAATGAATCTGTCAAATTTGATCCAGTATCTGTTTGCATTGTTGAACTAAATATTTATTAAGATATATAAAACCTTATATTCTTGTTTTAACATACGTAGTATCACTATCAGATTGAGACTCTTGTATTTCTAAAAATATATACAATGTTTTTAAATCAATAAAAAAAATTATGATAATAATACAAGAACAAAGCTTCCACAAACGACATATATAAATAGTAAATTTCATTCATAACACCATTTAAAAATAAGGTTTTTTTTGTTATGACCTACCTGATGAACTTTTAGTATTTGTCTCTATGACAACCCAACTATCTGGATCATTTTGAGCTAAAGTATAAAAGAAAATAAGAATAGATGGTACGTTTTTTTCTTTGGATTATTTTAATTGAGTATTAAAATAATACCAAGTATTAAATAATAATCCCCAAAAAAGTGATATTAATTTTTCTTACTCACACACACTCGTCTTCAGTCTTACACAATACTCAAGTGCATTTGTAGCTATAAAGCAATGCAATATATATATATCTGTTTTAAATCATGTAGATATTATTATTAGAATCATTGAATTCAGTAATAGTATTAGTTAAATAAAAAAAAACAAGAAACTTACTGCAATAAATTGATTCACTAACACATATCGATGGATTACCATTTGGTAGTGAATGATTAAAATAATAGCCAGGCATTGACGGATGTGGTGCGGGTGAACCAGGGGCTGACATTGGAGTCGATGATGCTGGACTTACACTATCAGATGCTAGAATAATAATGAAAAATGACATTTTTGTTTTAGAACAGAATAGAAAAATAATTTACGAGTAAAATGATATTTTCGTGTCAATGGACTAGAATTGGCTAAAAGATACATAAAGAGAAAATAAATACATGAAATTTTATTATCATAAAAAATTATTTACCAAGAGCATTTTGGATATCAGTATTATTAATTACACGTCTTAATTTTCCTTCACTAAAACCACAGCTAGGTGGAGCATTTGGAACACATTCTTTGTGACATTTGTATCTTTGAAAAAAATAATAAATATTTATATATGTTAATTTAAAATTTCAATGTAATAAACACGGGCAATTATCTTTAGTCAAGGGATCAATCATGCGTTTCTAACATCATGCTAAATTCTTTTTTTTGTGTGGTTGCAAGTTGCATTTTTAGCATCTTACTTGCAATGAAGACAAGATTTTCCTCGAAATACCTGTCTCCTACAGACATCACAAAAGGAAAATTTGAATACACGTGTTCTATCAAACCTAGAAGAATAATATATAAATGAACTTGATTTTTTCTCCTTCTCTAATTATTTTTAAACAAGAAATGCGCAAAGCAGAGAAAAATATAATATATACGAAGTCTTAGGATATGTATTTGTACTAATAATTTTCATATATATCTTACTTGCAAACATTGCATTTGGTACCGAGAAAGAAGATCTTTTTTGAACATACATTACACGTCGATAGTTTCATTAGACTACTCCACCTGAGAATGAGATAGAGAAAAAACAAAATATTGTTGTTGCTTTTTTGTTGTTAATCAGAAACAATCACATTTTACGTTATGAACACAATAGTAATAGTGTGAATCACCAAGGTTAAATAACAACATTAAATTAATTATTAAAGTGATAATAAAATGTGAATATATAACGAAGAATTAAGCAAAAGCGTGAATATAAGCATAACACAAAACTATATTCATTTTTTTTCTGTAATACGAACTTGTGTTGAATTTTATGTGCCATTCGATGTCGGAGAATAGGAGATTGAGTAATATGCATCGGAGTTTCTATCGGAAATGAATTTATTAGTTCTAGAAAAAATTTTATTTTAAATTTTTACCTGGAGATTTTGGATCATTTTCACCATCACTATTATATACTGAACCCATTGGCGAACCTGACATAGTCGGCGAACGAATGGTTGGAGATTTCGGTGTTGCGGTACCTATTCAAATTTCAAAATATATATTATTACTTAAATTCAAGAAAAAATAGTTGTTAATAAATGTATTATTAATTTGTAAGCAATTAGAATTGAATGTGTAGCTGAAATTATTATGCTAACTACCTTTAAAAGCAAGCTTATATGAATTTAATTGTGGCAAAATTATTTACATTATTTTACGCATGATCAATTGATGAGAAAGATGAAGTATTTCATTTTTAAGGCTATTTTTAACAGTCTATGCGAAGAAAAAATGAAGATTGTTCAAATTTCTTAATTTACTATGAAAAGACTTGAAATTCAGATAACCCATCTGCAAAAATTCTAATTTTCTTTAGTAATAAAAATATATTCATACCCGATGCTAGTCGACTCTCTGTATCTGAACCATAAGAACTTCGTCGAGATATTGTGTTACCATCTGGTAATTGTAGATCTATATTACGTTGTGGATTAATGCTAATTAAAACGAAAAAGCAATTAGGATATTCTTTTTTTTTATAGTAGTCTTTTTTTGTATTTACTTAGCAAATACTGATGGATCAACAAGACTTTTTTTACTTGGATGTCCACATTTTCTTTTATCATTAACACATAAATGATTAGAACGAGATGGTGGTGGTGTATGAATTGCTAAAATTCATAAACATTTTTTTTTCTTTGACAAATTTTTTTCTCACAATTATTCCGTCGAGGACTTGGTGATGATATTGTTGCTGTTATATTGTTGTTATTTGTTACAGCACCAAATTCAGTTGAAAGTGATGAAGATACAGATGTTGATCTTACTGAATCTGTACTAACTGATGGTACTGAAAGAACTTTATAATTGAGAACAAGTTCATATTGAATTATGAATAATAATTAAAGATTGTACCTGTATCTGACAAACGATGTTGACGAACGGAATGAGGAGTAGTCATTGTAGGAGATGGTGTTTCAATATGCCAATAAAAACGTCCATTATCATTTGTACCACCATGAGCAAAATAATCTGAAGAAAAAATATTTTTAATTCAAGAAATTAATTGACAAAAATAATATATATACCAAGACAATCTTTTAATGCACTAAAAGCATTACGAAAATCTTTTCGTTCGGCTTCTGTTGTTTCAGCATCATATAAAAGTTTTTCACGTGCAGTAGCTTTTCCATTTAATAAATCATCAAATGTTGTACGTTGTACAATATACTAAAATAGAATATATATATATATTTCTAATTTACAAGAAAAGTATAGATATACTTCAATTGATGCTTTATTAATATTCATAACAGATAAAAATCGATCAAGTTTAGGATATTCACTATGAAATCCATCATTTTGAGTATTTGCTTTCTCTACTTGTAATACCATTAATTGACGAGCAAAAAAACCGATCACACGACTCTATTATAGATATAAATATTATTTATATAGGGAGAAAGAATAGATATTAACTTACTTCATTATTACGTATTAATTCGTATTTGAGCGATAAATCAGACATGGTTTCACTATTAAATATAGTTAATTGATCAATAGCATGTGTAAGAGCATCGTCCAAATGACGTAAATTTTGTGATACTGTTCGATTATATTCAATTGTTGTAATAGGAGTAGTAGGAACAGGCGGTTTATCGTCGCCATTCTCATTCCCAGGTACTTCATCTGAACTCATTTTTATTTAATCTTAATATGACAAAAAAAAATGATTGAATTTCCAATCAAACATTTTATTTTTATTGTTTTAATTTACAGAGAAGAAAAAAAAAATAAATCAAACGGAATGAAGACAAGTGGAAACAGAAATGAGTCGAGTAACAGATGTAAACAGAACATAATAATCAACAACATAAAAATGATTGGTTACCAGAACTAACTAACCGAAATCTTATCTGTTGGAACTATGTAGTAGCGTACTCTATGTAGTAATATATTCTTTTCTTCCATTGATACTCTATGGGAAAGTTCTCATGTTTATTACGCTCTAACACTAGGATTCTTTCTCTAAATTAATATATAGAGAAACTAAATAGAATAGATTACATCAAGAACAATTCTTTTCTGAAAGATTAAAAAGCGTATAATACATGTTGACAGCTGATATTTATATTTTTGGTTTAGTATTACTTGTCGAATAGATGAAAGTTAATAATAATTACTCAATTGATTTACAATAGAATTAGTAGATCGCAATGAGAGAAGAAGGATTTACTGTCGAAAACGATAGAGAACATACTTTAAAAAAAATCAAAATATTAATCTAATGCTATTGAAAGTTATTATAACGGTTGTCATCTCATATTTTAATCAAAATAGAACATAGATTAACGAATTTCAAAGACCATTCTTATAGTTATTATCATATAAAAAATAAAGAAAAATTTATAATAAAAAAAGTTGCATTCTTCGTATCAAGTGACGTCTAACACAGTGGCAGATTTAGGGGCGGGGGCGATCGCCCCTCCTCCCCTTCCGAACTTTTTTTTGATTTTATACAGCAAAAACGAACGAAAAAATAGGTTGACACTACTTCGGTTGGACTCAAAAAATAGCTTCTAGCCAAAATTTTAGATCCACCACTGGTCTAACAGCTGATATAAGATTTACAAAATATATTCATCATTACTTGCATCATCTTATAACTAATTCTAGAACATTAATAAAAATAAAAAGAATTTTTATGGCGCTTTTATTAATTGATGTAGTTTTAATGTCACAGAAACATCTACAGACAGTATGGACTGGTACTCAGATAAAACTCTCACGATTAGTTACATCTGAAATATCTGCTTCAAAAGGTTTTGATAGTAAACGACAAGCTAATAATTATGTACGTGAATTATTTATTCAATATAATGATATAATGAGAAAACTTGATGAAATTTATGAAACATTAATTCATCCACAAAAACGTTTGATTATACGTATTTTACTTGATGGTATTGTTGGACGATTAGTTGAATTAAAACGGGAAATGATTAAATTTGATAATTGTGAATATACATATTTCGAAGATTTAGCACTTGATCACAATAAAACATTAGTAGAAATTTGTAAAAAATAAAGATATTAATAAGAGATTTCTTATTATAGGATGATTTATGTATTAAAATTCCTCGTTATTTTTCTCAAGATCGTTTTAAAGCTGTTGAACAACGAAATCATACTATAGAAATGATTCTAAATCGATTAGATCACTCAAAAACTAATCTATCAATAAGAACTTCTTCGAAATCTTTATTAATAACAAAAACTAATCAAACAAATGTAATTACACTTGCTCATGCTGTACGTATACTTCAAGCATATGAACGTGCTCGACAAGGTCGTGTACATGCATATTTTATGCATCGAATGAAAAACGAAGTGAAGATTACAGAAACAAAATTAATTAATGATAATCATCTTAATGATAGTTGTCTTATTATTCAAACTATTTGGAGGCAAAAATATTCAGAGAAATTATTTTATGAAAAAAAGATAGAACAACAAAAATTACTAGGCATGGTAAAAATAATTATGTCGACATTTTCATTATTCATATTACAAGTTATTGAATAAAACAAATATTTTTCTATTTATAAAGAGGATAGAGGGCTATTATCTCTTTTCTTAGATTTTAGCCAGTTGATGTTCTATCGGTATGGAAAAATTGTTATAGATTACTAGAGGTGAATGTATCTGTTATCATCTGACTTCATGTCACAACACATCTTAAACAGTTTGTCATAAACAGTATCAATTATAGTTAGTTTATTCTTGGGTATAATAAGTTCTCCAAAATAAATATAAGTGTACCTGAACGGAGAATTGTCCCGTTATATAACACAAAATAGTATTAAGAGATATTTAGTTAAATTGTAAATGATCAGGAAATATTTTTTTGTATTAACATTCTTAATACTTCAAATTTAAGGTTCTTAACTTTTTTTGACTTGTTTGAAAGAGAAATAATACAATAATAGACATACCTATCTTTATTGATGTAGTGAAAGTCATGAAGTTTTTGCTCTATCTCTTTAGATCTTACCGCAAAGAAAAGTGTTGACGACTGACGATAGTTATGAACGAGATAAAAAGAGACGAGATTTACAACTACAACATCAACAACAATTAGATGAATCACCAGATTATATCAAACAGAAAATTCGTCAATATGAAGAAACTGAAGTTAAATCACGTATTGAACATGTTCTCATTCAATGGTTATTAGAATCACGACAACTTTATGGTCAATTTCCTATTTATCCATCAAATGGTTCTGACATGCTTTTTAAAGATATAACCCTAGCTGAAGTACAAGAATTTGTCAATAAGGTTTCGTGATATTCAAAAAAAAATATTTAGTAATGTATTATTTCTATTAGCAAGCTCAATTATTAAAAAATAGAAAAGCAAAACGAAAAGAACTTAAAAAACAAATTAAAAAACCAAATAAAAAGCAACCAAAACAAGTAATCTCCAATCAAATTAATTCTTTTTCATTATTTTTTTCTAGAAATCAAATCTAAATGAATTAGAATCATCAAAATTTATTCCTCTTATTAATAATCAAATGGGTATATACAAAGAATTATTTTATGAACGAGATGAATCTTATAATAAAGAACAACATTATGATATATTATTAAGTATCGATCATTTTCGACCTGACGTTGAAAATGAACTACGACATGATGTTGATAATATTCTTCGTAATGAATTAATCTATCTTAAATTAGCAATTGATAATGTTAATGATAAACAAATCAAAAAATCGAAAAAGAAAAAAAAGAAGAAAAAACGAAATAAAAAAGTTAAAGATATTATTGCTAATAGGTAAAAACTATTAATCGAGTTAAGATAGATCAATTCATATTATAGAACAAATGATTCAATTTTCGAAGAACTTATTGAAACCGGTATTATTATACCTACGAAATTAGTTCGTCAACAAGATTTTATTGGTGATTATCAATATAATGCTGAAACAATTCGTTACAATGAAAAAGAACCAATGCCATCATTACTTGATTGTCAACAACTTGTCATTCTACAGATTATTTTTCCTCTCTGTAATTAAACAAAATTCGCACATGTAAAATTTCTAATTTCTACAAAAGATAGGTTCACAAAATATTCATATGAATTTATCATCACATAAAGCAGTGCTTCTAGCTGGACCCCATGGTAGTGGTAAACAACTACTTGTACACATTGCATGCAATGAATTAGGTGGTCTTCTACTTGATCTATCACCATCAAATCTTGCCAAATCTTTTAATACGAGTAATAAAAACAGGAAGTTGTACCATTAACACATATTCTTAAAATAATTATTACTCTAAACTTATTTTTAAGAATGTACTTTCGTAGTATGTTAGGTAAAGGTGAGACATTTCCTGTAGTATAATACATCACCCACAAGTTATAACGCCTGAATTAATATTTTATGAGAAGAAAATATTTTTACAACAATGTCAACATAATTTTTCTTTCTTTTATTTATTAGTTGATGGTCTCAAAATACTTTTTGCAATGATTAAACGGGTTTGTTACATTTTGTTTGTCTCAGTTATTTGATATGAGTATTTTCATTTTTATCCTATAGCTTGTATTAACGATGTCTCCAATTCTTTGTATGATACGTGATACGGAATTACTCTTTTCAAAAAAACTTACACTACAAGAAAAAGAATATGAACCAAAACGATTCAAACGTATTATGCATAAATTTATTAGAAAGATAAAACCTGGTGAACGAATTATGTTTATTGGTTTGTCATCACAACCATATCGTGCACGAATAAAACAATTATTAAAAGTTTATGAACATATTATTCTATTTACAAAACCAAACTATGGATCTCGACGTAGTAAGAAAAATATTTTATCATAAGATTGATTTTGAATATTTTTTTTCCAGAAATTTTTTATGAGATTTTACTTGAAAAAAATCATATGAATGTTAATGATGTGGAATTGAGTATTCTAGCATCGGTATCAAAAGGTTATACAGCTGGACAAATTCTTGAAACAATATATAAAGTGATTAAAATTAAACATGAAGATAAATATTCGAATAATGTTTGTACAGCGAATGATTTTATTTCTATACTTGGTTTAAAAACTCCAGTTTTTATCGATGAGGAAAATAAAATAAAAGTAATCAATTAAATATTTAATATCGATTTCATTTTCTCTAAAAATATCTATAGAACTGGTATGCTAAGACACCAAATGGTATTAAACGTCTCAATGAAATAACTCAGACATCTGTAAAATCGACTAAAACTTCATTGAAGACAAAAAAAGGAAATTAAAGCTCAGTTCTAACTGAAAACTTCTTGATATATATTTTTGTTTTCTTACGTTCACTTGTACTGCATGTATATATACAAAAAAATATATAATAAAAAATACATTTTTGTTTTGCATTCGTTAAAAATCTGCAAATAAATCTAGTTCTCTATCCGATGCAAATGCTGCTGATCGCCAATCTTCTTTATATTGATCGAAACATGACGTATCACCTGGATGTTCAAGTGTAGGTACAATGGGTGGTTTTAATTTACGTGCATAAACATCATCCCATTTAATTATTGAAAAAACTGGTTGATCTTTTACTTCACGTGATCCATGTTTACCAGAACCAAGACGTTTCTCGGGATTTTGTATTAATAATTTTTTAATAAATGCTTTGGTTGATTCTTCTATGATACGTGGCCATGATATTCGACCAGCTAATACACGAGTAGGAATTTCACTTTCATTTTGATTAGGATTGAATGGCGTTGCTAATAATTAATAAATAAATAAATATTAAATTACAACACAATTTTTTCTCTTACATCCACTGAGCATTTCAAATAATAGTATACCCAAACTCCACCAATCTGTACTTTTATTATGTCCTGTACCTTTAAATAATTCTGGACTTAAATAATCTGGTGTACCACATGTAGTAAATGTTTTATTTAAAATTTTCTTTGCAAAACCTACACAATAGAATAAAAAATGATAATTGAATTATTAATTTTTTTCTTTTTCTTTACCGAAATCAACAAGTTTAACATGACCTTCTGCATCGAGTAAAATATTTTCTGGTTTTAAATCGCCTATTTTAAGAATAAAAATAGAAAAAAAAATGTTCTTTTCAAACAATTTAATAAACGTACGATAAACAATTTGTAATGAATGGAGATATTCAAATGCTAATGTTATTTCACTGACATAAAATAATGATGATTTTAAATCAAATGTACCTCGTTTTCTCATATAAGTAAATAATTCACCGCCGGGTATATAATCAAGAAGCATGTATAAAAATTGTTCAGAATGATGTGTCCAATGTAAACGAATGATAAATGGATGTTTAATACCGGATAAAATCTCTTTTTCATTTTTAACATGTTCAACCTGAAATTAAAAGAAAATCAATAGATTACAGATTTCAAAAGAAGATAGAATTTACTTGACGTGATTGTACAACATGAGTAATAGAGAATATTTTTAATGCATAATAAATAGATGTTTCACGATTTCGAGCAACAAGTACTCGTCCGTAGGAGCCTGTCCCAACCTAAAATAAATTAGACATATTAATACGCTTTGATTTTCTAATGATTTATGACAAGTCCTTAAGTTCAATTAGTCATGTGAGTAAAATAAAAATTATTTCTGGAAATAGATTTTTCCTCCAAATAGGCAATATTGTCAATTTAAATAATTAGATAAACGACTGGAATTAATCTATCTAGATAAGCCAAATACTATACTTTTGTCACGTGAAAATAATAGTCTTAAAAAACGTTGCAGGTTCAATAATCTTACAGTACAATTGTCACAAATAAAGAGTTGAATCGTCTCATTTTTTCAATTATATCATATACCCTATTATTCATAATTACTGATGAAATTCTATCAAAATATTCTAAATATAGCTATGAATGATAAAAATATCTTTAGTCTTATTTTCTATATTCGCCTAAAGATATACTAATCGAGGTAGAATCTATTTCAATAATTCATACTATACGATAACAGATGTTTTCGTTAGTAAGATCTATTGTATTGAATACTAGAAAGAGTAATGTCAGATTAATTATTGATGGGCATATTTGAACGAAGCAATTAATCAGAAAATGAATATGATCATTTTACCAAGTGAACAATATTTATGATTGAATCAAAAATGTAGATTTCATTTATTCCTATACATTATTAATTCTAAATTCTATTAGAAGAAATTCACGTACAATAAGCGAGTCATGATTCTGACATAATCATAATTTTTCTATGAGAAAAAGAAAAAGAAAATATTTCAAAAATAAATTCTAGAACTTATTCATGTAGAAATCATCTTGATGTCAAAAGCATAATTCCTATGTGAAAGAGTGGAAAGTGCATGATAAAATGTCTTATTTCCTGTTATATTATTTGTTTATATATTCAAATAAAGACTAGTGAGAAAATAGAAGAAAAATAAATGTAATTGTTTTTTTTTATTATTTATCTTACTGTCTTAAGAATTTCTAAATGATCAAGTGCTTGTTGTCGTTCTTCACGTTCTTCCAAAGTTATACTACTAAGTTTTTTAGCAATTAAAATAGTGTCATTTTCATTAGTCGCATGGTTGCTTAGTGTTGGTGATTCGGTTGTATCACTTGATGCACTTGATGATAAAACATGACGTGGAGATTTTGATGTCATCTTTCGACGAAGTTTAAACTAAATAAATAAAAAATGATATTATTTAAATTATCTAAAATCTAAACGGTTGTTTTCTCGGTTGATTGTCTTTCATAAGTTTTCTTTTTTTTATGTCATGCATGTTATTTTCTTTTACACGCATCTCAAGAAATTATAGAATTTGTCTCGCATCTATGGCGGTAACAGTAACAGCAAGTATGGAATCGAAATTTCCCTTTCCTCTTTTTTCTATTGCACATCATCAGCGTCAGTGTCGTCGTAAGAAAAATTGCACTAAAGGTGAGACAGCTTGTCGCTATCGTCAATATGAGTGTATATGCTAAAAAAAGGAAAAACTGAACGTTTCTCTTAGGAATACTACTGCATGGGATTTGATAAAGATCACAACAGCGACAGATGATGCTATAAAAAAAAAGAAAATAAAGAGAGAGATAAAGAAGGAAAAAAAACGAAGCCAAGGATTTAAGCTCTATTGTCAACATTAGTGAGAATCATCTTTGTATGATTAGTAATGACAACACTTCAATAAAATCTATTTATTTCTATATATATTTTTGTTTTATTAATGAATTTTGTTATTATTCGTGCTGAATAAAAACAATAATTTTTTATCTCATTAATACATGTCTCCTGTGTATACTTTATGCTAGTTATAAGGTTTCTACTTTAAATATTTCAAATATATATAATAAAATAATTCAATACAGAACAATGTCATGATTTTTTATACTCACAAACAATATACTACAAAATCTAATCTTAACTTATTCGTAGAATAATATATTTAAGTAAAAGAAAATTCTTCGCCTAATAAAACAGATGTGACATTTAAACAACGACATATACTGTCTTTTTTCTGCAATAGGAACTTTCAAATAAAATTCTCTAGATATCATTATAATGACTATTCATACAGATTCTATATGATGTAAATTATTTTCTTGATGCTAATATTTATAATGACAAGACTCACTAGAATTACCGTCACTAACGACCGATTTTAATAAAGGCTATAACTATATGCATGACTTTTATTTTTTTTTCGCTCTTATTTTATGTTTTTTATATTATTCACCATATGCTAAAGTCATTATCCATTGAGAGAACGAAGTAAGCTAGAATGTGGGTGAGTGGAAGAAAAAAGATTAAAAATTACTTTTATTTATTTGTTGTCGACTAAGAATTTTTGAATAAAGAAAAACAAGAATATTTAAATTTATATTGCATTTGTTTTTTACTTATTCAAATTAGATCTCAATACAAATCTCATTCATAATATGTATATATATATGCAATATTACCGATTTTCAAACAATATGTCTTATAGGAAACATATAGATAAACAAAATACAGTCAGAGTGTCAGTTTTAATCGTAAAAAATCAAATATAAAAATATCTACCTTGGTGCATATACTCATTTTGTAGACAATTCGGGATGTTCTGGTGGCGGCTATTACTTGGTTGAAGCGATCTATTGTGTTTCTGCGCTTCTATCGCGTTTGATTTGTGGAACGGGGGTGGAAAAGAATGCTATATCGATAATTGACAGGAAGAGAAATGCATGATAAAAAATGCCAAACTGTCGGAATCGACTTCTTATGAAACACCTAACGAATTTTGTCTTTTTTGACGTATTTAAGACAATAATGTAATTAATGAGATACATCAGTGTATTTAGTCATTTTTTATTCGAATGAGTAAACAACAAAAAATTTATTCTTATTTTTTTCTCTCTCTATTATATGCAAATCAGAGATGCAATCTGCTATAATCATTATGTAAATAAGTTATAGTCCAAAGTTTAAGCGATTCAAGATGCTATTCTATTTTTAAAATATACTAAAAAGACATTTTATAAAATATAAACAGTCTATTTATAAATGAATAGATACTTCAAATTAGTAAAGAAAAAACAAAGATCTTTATTTCAATTTCTATGCTTACATACTCGAAAGATATTGAACATGATTGAGTCTAAAATAAGAAGAAACTAATATACAAAATTATACTTAAATAAAAACTTTCTCTATACCTTGTTTTATATTTCAAAAAAAAGAAATATATCATGTAATGATTGTACTTTATTCATTAGTTATAAATAAGTATGAATATTTATGATCACAGTATCAATCGAATATCCACTTCACTGTATTATTATTTATGCATCATATATTATGGTTTCTTTTATAGTATTAAAAAAACATTTAGAAAACATAATGTACTATGTTTATCAAAGGTAAAAAAGTTCGATTTTTTTGTTGACAAAAAAAGAAAAAACGACTAGTCAGATAAAAACATTTCTTCCAAACTAAACTGCAATAATCAATGATTTATATAAGAAGAATTAAATGTAAATTGTATATTAATTTTATTTATATTCATATCGATCATTATAATAGTAATGAATATGTATTATATGCAAACAAGATATTATATTAATCATTCGGAATTTGTCTCTATTCTTATAGTTAATAACTTTCAGCATGATTTTATCGATAAACTGATTGTTATGGAAAATACTTTTTCTTTTTAGTAAGAAAAATTCTAAATGTCGGTTAACTTATTATAAGACTATTTATATAATATATGTTTTAAGGAGAAAAATGATGTATGGTATACACATATCAATTAGCAATATAACTAAAGCACAATATGACCTTTTTCTTTATATATAAATTGATGTAAGGATATATTTATAATGATTGGTTGAAGTAAACGACATTTTTTTCGGGGGGAATATGGTAAGAGTTCTCGATCGTGAATACATGTGGATTTATTTCAAACTGTTTTCGTTATATGGAAATATTTACTCTCGAGAGTTGATCTAATATAAATGCCACTAAAATATCAACTTGAACGAAATTTTTGTATTTATTTTCTAAATCATAATAAATGAGAATTTATTTGCCTATCATACAAATTGTCATGCATGTAATTCACTCATAGATGTTTTTTATGTAAAGGACAAATAATAAAGAATAGAAAGAAGAAGTCAACAGAACATTGCACATGTGTGTGGTCGTATTAGAAAAAAAGAAGAAGTATTCATTGATCGGCATATTCATCCGAGTGATTTCCGTTTTGCCAAATATTAAAATTTTCATAATTCGAAAATGTTTACTAATAGAATTGCAATATCACATGATTTATAAAAACAATTCTATTTACAAAAGAATGGTATGTCTGCAATACTACACCTATTTAAAGAAGATTATTTTATATCAGTTGCTGACGTGTAGTTGGTTTGATACAAGTCTATTGACATAAGAAATATAGTAAGGACGTTTGCCAAAAATTATTACAAAAAAACAAACTTGCATCATTTTCTTGTTTTTTTAACTTAGATTTATTAATGGTTAATGATTATTTCGATTTACTTAATGAAAATTCGAAAAAACGTAATTCAGTTATTGAATTATCAAATAAATTCCCTAATGATATTCAATGTCCTTCATCAATAAATAATTTAAATAATAAAAAAACAAATTGTGTACAATTGTATAAACCGATTTATATTGCTCGTCATTCAAAAATTGTCAATGATAAATTTTCTTATGATGAGGGTGATGAATTTGAATTAATTAATAAACTAAATGAAGATTATTTTCATGTTATTCATTTACGTACAAATACACAATGTACGTTACACCGAGCTTATATTTATCTAGATCTTGAAACACCATTACGTTTAGGTAGTGATGATCGAGGTGTTATACAAAGATGTTTACTTCAATATAATATACCTGGTGCATATCTTATACGTCGAAGTAAAAATGAATCAAATGCATTTGTTTTAAGTATATCACAGATATCAAATCAAAGAAATGCTGAAGATTGGCATTATTTAATATGTATTAATCCAAAGACTCGTTGTTTTTATTTTGCACAAGAATCTAAATTAGATCGTATATTATTTACTTCATTTCGAAAACTTATTCATCATGAAAAAGTTCTTGATGTTATACCATTAACAAAACGAATACCATTTCAAATTGAATTTGAAGAAGATCTTTGGCATATTCCTATACGTAATTTAACACTTGAATATCGTATTGGTATTGGTGAATTTGGGGAAGTTTGGCGTGCACTATGGCAAAATGGTAAGCGAAAAATACCAGTTGCAGTTAAAAAATTACATCGATTAAATGAAAATCAATCAACAATAAATAATTATATGCCTGAAATTGAAATCTTAAAAACATTAAGAAATAATTATATTGTTACCCTTTATGGTGTTGCACAAGATTTTCAAACAAATGAAATATTACTTATAACAGAATTAATGGAAAATGGTGATTTAAAAAATTGGTTAGAATTATGTCAAGATGTACCAAATGAAAAGACTATTATTTCTTATGCATATGATATATGTCGTGGTATGACATATCTTGAACAACAATCACATGTACATCGTGATCTTGCTTGTAGAAATCTTCTTTTAGGTGTTGGAAAACGTACAGTTAAGATAGCAGATTTTGGTTTATCAACATTTATTAATAAAAATGATTATACACAACATAGAGAAACTTATTCTCAACGATTACCTATACGTTGGACAGCACCCGAAGTACTTCATGATCAAAAATTTTATTCAATAAAATCTGATGTTTGGTCATTTGGTATTGTATTAATTGAAATATGGTTAAAAGGTGATGATCCTTATCCTGAAGAAAAAGAATTTTCTGCAATTCGATCACTTGTACAAAATGGATATATTCATAAAAAACCTTTGAAATGTTCAGATCGATTTTATAATCGTTTAATACTTCCATGTTTATCGTATAAACCAAATCAACGACCAAATTTTCAATCATTAGTCGAAATTTTACATCAATGGAATAAAGAAAAAATTGAACATGAACGTTTAAATTATTCAAATGTAGAATTTTTATCATAGTTAATAAAAATATTCATTATTTTGTTTTTTATCAAAATTTATGATTGACGGGACATGACAAATAATGTTTTTTCAAGTTTTAAACATTTACTTTCATGAATTGTCATATTAGATTACAATGTATATTTAGAAAACAGATTGATATTAATTCAAGATACATACACATGTTTTCATCATTATTTTCTCATTAATAAAAAATGTAAAACAACAAGAATAAAAAAGGATTCTAATATCTCATATAGTTTTTTTTGTTTCTATGTGCATGACTCGATTTTCTTTTCTTTTTATTATTTAGATGTTTCTATTTTCTAAGTATTCATCTTTTCTATCAGCTCATCATAATCCAAGGATAATAACACTACATTAAATTGCTTCGTTATTAAATGTCGTCATTCACATTGTTTATATATATATGGAAGAAAAATCTGAAAGAAACCTTGAATTATTCACGAGTACCATAATGTGTAATAAGGAAATACTTGAGACGTGTCGTTTGCTACTTTATCGAGAACGATTAACAGTCATGCATAGTATATAAGAAGGTGAACGTTCTGTTTCCTTTTTTTGCTATAATTTCCGATTTTTATATTTAGAATAAAGCACATAAGATCCTCATGAAATACTTATTTTATTTCGTCATACAATCGTATTTAAGATCGATCAGTATACAATTAAATAGATATAGATAATGTTCTTCTTCAATAGTAATAATAGAGATTTGACTAAGAAAATAGAAAAAAAAAAGAAGTTCTCTGACATATAATTCAAATATGTATATTTATTTATAACAATGAGTCAAATGTCATTAACATAAGTCTATATATTGTGAATAGAGATATGATTTGTTACTCATATTCTCTCTCTATATAAAAAAAAAAGGGATGACGACAACATCTATCATATGTGAAGTTAGTTAAAGAAATGCAACGAGAAAAAAATAATATAATGTTTAAGGGCAAAAGAGAAGAAGGAAAGTAGAAAAGAATACTCTAGTATTTGAAAGGGATTATATTCTTCAACTGCATACTGAGTATAGCTCATCATCTTTTCTATATAATTAACGTCATTTGCATGCTTTTATTGTATTTTTAGACATATTTATAGAAGATCTCGTGTTGAATATTATCTTCTCGTCTAGGTCAAAACAGGAAACATTGACGAAATTTATACTTGTGCTGCTGACGTTCAAATAAGAACACAATTATACGATCATGTTTTCTAATAGAAGCACATCATTAGTACCACCGAACACCGTTGACAACCAATACCTATATCCTGCATATAGTTATGACCAATTACTTGCTCCTCCTCCCTCATCATATTATGCACATTGCAAATCAGAACCTAATGTTGCCTTTTATTTCAACAATCAAGTACGTATTAATATTAAACAGACGTTCATTTATATTTTATATATATGTGCATATATAACTTTTAATGTCTGGAAACTAGAATTTCTATATAAAAGAAAGTCAAACAAAAAAATTAAGTAAATCTTTATACATCCGTAGAAACATAACAGTATGTTTGTTAGTTAATTTCTTTTTTAGATTATTAAAAGAGTAATCGTCTTGAATTTTTCTTTCTATCTAATAAAAAAGATATATATATACATATTTTAAGTTAATAGACATATTTTTGTCAATATCGATTAGTTAAAATATAAGATAAAAACTAATTTTTGTGACATTCTTTCGACTAAATCCACTTAATCGCATCGGAAATTAAAATACAAACTCATACAAAAGAAACATGTTGAAGAAAGAAAGAAAGAATAGAAAAGATTCATCTAGAAAATCTCGAACAACTTATACAAACATTTATTTCTATGAATGAATTACATTTTTCTATTAGTCATAGGTCGTTATTAATAAAATATAAGACATGATAAAACAAGATTTTCTATTTCTTTAGTCTATATGAATAAAGAGACAGAAAATTTAATGAATCTGATATTGTCATGTTGATAACTTGATTTAACGCATATGAATATGAATATACTCAATCATTTTAAACGTGCATATTTTATATATATATTACATTAGCATCGATGACATCTTCGTTTTCTTTTTTTATTGAATAAAATCCTCGTTAGACATTTCTCGCTTTATCACAATTATACTTTCTCATATGCATTTTTTTCTTATTGATAATGAAAAGAAGAGATCGAAAAAGATCAGAAATATATATATATTTCAAGTATCTTTGTTCATCGTATCATGTAACTGTTTTCTTTTTATTAGAGCCTAGTAGTAATGTCATAGTCTCTTGATTATACTTTATATATAAAGAAAAAACCTAAAATGATTGATTGGAAAAAAATTTATTGTCAAACAACAACATATTTGTCTATTCTGAATGCGATACAATATGCGCTTTATCACGGTACATTTGCATAACCATTCAACACATAGAATCGAGTGCAATCATTGCTATATATTTTTAATTAAAACAAGAAATGGACTAGAATAAAAATGTTAATACCATGAACATATGCCTCGCATATAATAGAGCTATTGCTGTTGCACCAGATCGCTAATCTACATAGATGACGATACCACAACGTGTATATAATTATGTATATGAATCAACTAGGGAGAGAAACCAATCTATCTTTATAAATTTTACTATTGTGACTATTATTACTTGCTTTACTGTAGATCAAAATAAAAAAAAAGAAAGAAACAGTTTCGTCTATTTGGCTCAAAAAGAACTGTAAGTTGCGAACTAAATATATATATGCGCATGTATGACAGTTTTCTATGCTGTCAAGAATGATGTCTTTTTTATTCTTTTGTTAACTATCGAACGTCTACTTATAACAACATGAAAACAAAATCTATGAGTGACATATACTTATGCCCGAATGGTAACATGTTTCACTTATAGTTAACTGCGCCTTTTTTTTGAGCACTAGTCTCTTAAGTTTTAGGAAAAAAAGATAAAAGCAATTGAGAATACTTTAAATATTACAACAAATGTTAAGAGTGAAGTAGTTCATATGTTCATATATATATATATATTCTTATTTGAATTTATGACGGAAACAGGAACATAGACGTCACACGAGATCAAAATGTGTCCGCCTCCATAAAATTGTCACTTATGTGCGCGCTCAACACTGTTACACTAACTACTATCATTTAAAGGAAAATGTTGTGAAATATAACAGAGAAAGAATTATCTATTCAAGAATGCGAGAAAAAAAAAGAAGAATAAAGAAAAAAATGATTAGGGCTATATATTCTTATTCTTTTCTTCTCCCACGTAAACTTTTCTTGCTTTTCTATCAGTTAATACAACATACAGCGGTCATGCTAGAATTCCACTCAATGGAGAAAAAAAGAATTTGCCAATATAAAAAAGAAAACAGGATATTATAATTGAACTCTTCTCTTTTAACTTCATTAGCTACGTCTTTTTTCTTTATTCATTCTGTAAGTAATACGCGGATCTATTTGAATAACAAGCGTTTACTATAATTATTTTAACAATAATTAAAACTTACAAAAAAAAGAAAATGGATAGACGACGATTATCTGTTTTTGCCAATTTTGTCGGCTATTCAGATCGTATGGGAGATGCTAATCAAATCAATGTAAGTACAGGATCAATAGAATGTCATAATAGTATATTGATAAAAAATAGTTTATTATAAAATATTAAAATCTTTATAGAAAAGAAATAGATTAGAACATTCATCTAGGAAACTTAAGATTTCATATGATTATTTCTATAGTTATCCGGAATGTTCGTGACTGATAACCGATGAGAATTATTTTAGATGAATAAATAGAAATAATTAAGATTATAAAAAAAGATAAAAGTTCTTTTTTTTTTCTATTAAAACAGAATATTAATAACTTTAATGAGAACAAAAAATGTCCGTGACAATCTCTGCTATCTTTACAGTATAGTTAATATGTATTCAAAAGAATTCTTATGCATTTTTTATCGTTAACTGCATCTATATTTAATACTATTAATTCTATCTTCGAGTCTCATTAGAAGAAAAATTTTATAATGATGAGAAGATCAAAGAGGAAAAACAAAAATGTAGGAAATAGGAAGGATATATATTCATTAGTTTTTTAGTAGAACATACATTTGCATGTTAAAACAACGTAAGAGATCAGTCGATTATGTCATTACTTTGAAGACTAGTACAAGTGCTAGAATTTTAGTTTTTTTTTTGATCTAATCGGTAAAATATACAGTGTCAACTTGATCTTAAAAATATATGAGCGATTAACATAAAAAACTGTTATTTTTCCCTTAGGAATTTTTAAACCCTTGTAGATAATATGATATTTATAAAAATGTCTATAGATATGCATATTATGTGGAATTATTATTAATTTTTGTTTTCTGTACTTGAAAAAAATGTCGTATAAATTTGAATTTTTAAATTATTTAGAGTGAACAACGACGTCTCTCAGACGGTCCATTTCCTCCGTCGCTTCGCCGTCCATTTCCCTATCAATATTATCATTACCCAGGTGAATTTGTTGGTAGTGATACGTGCATGTTAAAAAGAAAAAATTCGTCATTAAATATGCTTTTGGATTCGACAAGTTCAATGATGCGTACAGCATCATCAACATTTCAATGTCTTATTGGATCAGCTCGTCGTGCATCATATTGTGGTCAACCAGATCCAAGTGTACAACTTGCACCAAATGGTACTAGTGGTTCACTTTATTTACGTTCTGGAACAGCTAATTCAAATGAATCTTCATTGTCAAATGCATCATTTGATGATCAACGACGTGTAGTAACTATTTATGATGGTCGAATTCCATCAACACCCACAGCACCTACAATACCATTTGAACTTCTAACACCTATTGAAGCTATTACTAGAGCAGTCGATGATCCAGTTGAATCTTTTGTTCAAATTGTACTTGAAACACCAGATGATAAACCACCAATGATGCCACCTATATCAAGTTCATTAGCACGTATGAATTTATCATCTCGACGTCGTCATCGAAGTAGTTCTCCGAATTTAAAACCAACTAATCAACGAACAACACTTTCTTCGGAAACTAATGCTCTACCAAAATTAACTCAACATCAATCGATGCCAACAAGAGAATTCTCAAATTCAACTACAAGACAATGTCAAATACCAGATGTTATTGAACCAATGGATTTTTCTTTTCTTGAACCGGTGCTACGAGGTGAAAGTGCTGCTCCTCCTTTACAATCAAAGTCTTTTCAGAATAGTTCAACTCTTAAAGATTCATCTATTCATCCACGTACATCATCATATCCTCCCATTCCATTAAATCATATAATTACAAATGAACATGATTTAACATCATCGGAATCAATCTCAAGTGGTGATGAATACAATTATTATGTTCCACCTTATCCACGTTTAAAATTTACACCATCAATCGATTAAAACTAAAATTTCTTTTTCTTTTTTTCAATTTTGTTATAATCAATTTTGTTTTCTTTTAACAAATAAATTAGTTCAGATCTATTGACATAACAAGTTTTAGTCATTGCAATTAAAAAATAACACGATTGTAGATCATCATTTGATTATATTTTACCACGTAGAAGTCCGTTAATTAACTTATTATTTATTTAAATTTTTTCAAAAATTTCTAATAATAGAAAGAAAAAAGACAAGGTATATACAACAAAAAACAACCAGTATATGTGACTTTTCATCAATAACAATTTTAACGCTTTTACACGAGAAAAACAACAAATACTACAAGACATAAATTATTATTAAACATGCATCTATGAGACAAAAAACAAACGCACTCATAGCATATAGTTAATCTACTGAAAAAGATTTACAAAATGACTCCAAACAAAAAGAACATTGTTTTTTTTTCAAATAAATACAAATAAGGTAACAAGAGAGAGGACTAAAATTACATATTGTCAATAAGATCATCAAGATCATCCCAACTTAATTGACTTGGTGTATCACCAATCGAACTAGTACCATCATCAATCATTGCTAATTGTTCTAAAGCATCCAATATAGCACTACTTTGTGTTTGACTTTCATTTACATTGGAAATTTCAGTTGTAGTTCTTGCTTGTCTAACAGTAGATATCTCTATAATTTCTTCATTGACTTCTTCTGTAATAGTTTGAGTCATTGTCATTGATTCTTGTTGTTGACTTGTTGCTATTGCAGTCATTTGTTTATCTTTACGAATATTAGCTGCTGCTGTTGCTGCTATTGATTTAGTTTTTACATCAATAATAGGATCATCTTCAAAATCTGATCTTAACCATTCAGTCATATGTTTAAATAAATGTACACCACCTTCTTTTGAATTTATTGATTGTATTGGTATATCATATGGATCATTTAAATCATGATCATCAATAATTTCTTCTTTATTATTTTTATCATAATCCAATGCATATTGTTGATGAATTTGATAATGATTACGTAAACGTACAGCTATTGGAATATATTGTTTACAGATTGAACATATACGTGATGATAATTCAGTTTGTATTGATGGACAACAAGCATCAAATGGTAACAAATCATTTTTTGTACGATTAATAACAATACCATGAAATTGTATACGTTGAAAAAGATTACCATAGAATGGTGAAATTGGATTTATAGCAGCTGATGATGATGCAATTTCAGCCATTTTAACACCAGCTGATGAACGATCAAATGGTGCTGGTGCTGGAAGAAAACGATGAGGAAAAACTTGAATATAATTTGAACGCCATGGTGTACAACAAGATGCATCATTACAACGAATTATTTGAATTGTATATTGAGTTTGAAGAACATGAGTTGCACACCAATATCTAAAGAATAAAAGATTTAATAATATCGAAAGATATTTCAGATAACTTACTCATCAATATCATATTCAGTCTTGATTTTCATTGTCAACATTGAACGTGTTTGTTTAGCAATAATATCTTCTTCTCCAGCACAAACTCTACAAAAAAAAGAAACATTAAATTCTATTTTATTTATTTTTAAAAATAACATACTGATCAATAACACTATCTAAAGCTAATGTACTATCAGCCATTTGAAGTTGTTCATCAATAATAGGTAATGGATTAATATATTCAGCAACAACTGAATATTCATCAAGTACATTCATACTCCAAACTTCAGCTAAAACATTACCAGTTAATTTAAAATTTTCTTTTTCTAATTCTGCATGTTCAGTTAAACCATTATCATTTAAATGTGAACCAAAATGATCATTGGGTAAAATTAAACCAGCTAAATCATGTGACATTGGTGATAAACGTCTTTCAACAACATTAAGTATTGCTTGTCCTGGTGCTTGATTAACAATAATAAGTACATCTAAATTATGTTTTTTAAATTTATCAATAGCTGATGTAAGTGTTTTCAAATAACGCGTTTTATTATCTAATCCACTACTATCATAATTCATAATAACAATTGGTTTAACACGACCAGAATGATCACATGCAACTTTTTCAAATTCTTTCAATTGAACCAAATGATCAAAATCCATTGCATGACTTTCATGTGTTAAACGATCATGTTTAGCCGATCGAATAGATACATATGTTGGACCAAAATTTGATATTGCACCTGCTTCATCAATAACTGATGCAGCGTAAATACTAAAAATATATTATTTTAAATGCGAAAAATAATCAATGATAATATTTACCATGGTGTTAATTGATGCGGTGGAGCAATCGAATTTAATTGTGGTTCGATTGAACTTATTTTATAATCAAGATGCAATATAAGAGGTGTTTGCCCTTTAGCTGTTGCAGGTCGACCAATACTAATTTTAGCTTTAGTATCTTGTGTTAAATAGAAGACACAATCATTACCAAAAATACCAGCTAAATCTGTAATATGTCTTGTTGAAGCAGCCGTAAAATGACAATCTATAGTATTAAATAAGAATTTTCTTATTAATAAATCTAGAAAAATATTTACCTTCATGTTGAGATGGTAATTCAATTCCTTGCATTTTACGAAGACGAACAGGTACAGTAACAATATGTTTTTTTCCATCTTGCGATAGAGCACGTTGAGGCATAAGACTAAATATAAAATTCCTTTTTTTTTCTTTGATTTCTTTTTTTAATTGATCACCTACCGATAATAAAGTGATGATTTAGAAATTTCATATCCACGTTGTTTAATTGCATTTTTAAGATCATCTAATGATACACATGGTTTTTCTGTTTTTTTATCTGTTGCACCACCTACATGTGCAATTTCACCAATAATTTGTAAAAGATCAGGACAATCTGCTTCAATTTTCATTTGTGCTGTTGCTAATGTTGGTCGAAAAACTTTTGAAAGTTCAACAGCTGCAACAGGATTAGTAGCACATAATTTTTCAACTTCTCGTTTTTTCTTTTCACGAAAACGTGCTGATGCACGTTGTCGTGATTGAAGACGTTTAAGATCAGAAGAACGTTGTTGTTTTTGTTCAATTAATTTCTTTAATTTTTTCTGATTTTCAGCTGTTAATAAACCCATACTTTTAACTTGAATTAAATTGTCAATACGTTCAGATATTTCATTAAGATCACTTAAAATTGATTCTTGTGCTGGTGCTTTTATTTTTTCAGATTCAGGTGTTACAATTTTCTTTTTAGCAGCAAGTTTTTCAGCTGAACGCATAATCCATGATTGTTCATTTGTTGTTAATTCAGTTTCAAGATCATCGATTTCTATCAATGCCTTACGTTTATTTGATGTAGGTGTTACAGGTGAAGAAAAATTTAATTTTCTATTAGGATCATCATTTTGTTGATCATTATCGGGTGACAATGTTCGTTTTTTAGCAGATGTTTTTGATGCACTATCTTTCTTATTTGGTGTTTTTTTTGATGGTGTAAGTTCTGGTTGACCTGCTTTATTCCACATATCGAGATATTCAACAATCTTCTTTTTAACTACATTGTCATTCTTTTTAATTGCATTCCATTCTGTTTGTGCACTAAGATGTGATGTCTGGAATAAGAAAATAAGAAAGATTTCGAATTAAGTTACAGTTTTTTTTTCTAAAAACTTACGCATCGAGTCATTTCTGTATGAGCTTTCATATAAGCATCAACAAAATCTCGATATAAACAATATCGAGGACTTTTATTTGCCATTGATTCGAATGAAAATGGAGACGATAGTGATGACTGACCAGTAAGGGATCGAAATATGGAATGAACGCGAGTTAAGTGAATGAATGAATGAATCGAGAGAAAATAGTAGTGGTGATCAAGCGGTCACCACGAGTTCAGTATATTTGATGATCACGAGAATAGGGAAGAAAATATAGAAAAAGCGACGACGTGACCTACAGATAACCCCTTGATCGAGGTGGATACAGAGAGAGTGTGATCAGTAATTCACTTCATTGGTGGAAATGAATTTAATGTGTATAGAATGGGAAAAATAATATGATCACGCGGTTCTTAACCCCTATTCATCAGTATTAAAGATTGGATGCGACTACTTGCTATCATTGTTAGAATGACGATCGAAAATATAACATTGATTAAATAGATTTTCTATTTCTCAGTTTTGATTAAATTCTTTCACTGAAATGTGGGTTAATATATCACATATGATCAAACTTGTTTCTATTTGCATTATTGTACCATTAAACATTTTATACAAGCTATTTAAATCATCGTTTCGTATTATATTAGAATTCATTGAATGCAACATATATGTGTTTAAAATAATTCTGAATATGTAAAATTAGAAAAAAATGAAGTTCGTGTTTATTCTGTGTTTGCAGAGATGATGATAATGAAGGAAGCAACATAAGAAAAAGAAAACATAACAAATATAAAACGGATGGTCAGAAATTGAAATATGATTTAAGTTAGTTTTATCATCCGTTGAAACATAATTAACCAATTTGTGCTAAATAATCTTTGACTTCAGCAGGTGTTAAACGACGAAAGCCTTCTTTATCACAAATACCAATTTCAATATTGTCTTCTGTCATTTGTCCTTCAAATGATTCTTTAAGTGTTAAGATAGCAGTATGTACGGCATCTTCAAGTGCTAATTGATCCGAATATCTAAATATATTCGAAAACTATTTAAATAAGAGTAAAAAAAATGATTGAATAATACCGTTTTTCAAGAAATGTCTTTCCATTGATATAATTACGACCAATTGCTGTTGCTTTCCATGGAAAATAGGAACCCTAAAAAAATACGATCATTTGCAAGTTTTAAATATAATATTGATAAGAACAAACTCACTGATGGATCACATTGATAGAGAAATGGACGATCTTCATCATAATCATAACCACAGAGAAGTAACGAAACACCAAAAGGACGTACACCACTAAAAATTATCTTTAATTATTTTTTTTATTGATAAAACAAGACTAAAATTATACCCAGATTGTGTATATTCTTGCATAACATCAGCAATACGTTTAACTAATTGCGTTGGTGGTACATTTACTTCATACATAAGCATATATTCTTGCGCTAGTTTACGTGCTTTTTGTACGAGTAATCTATACGAAATAGATGAAATATATTACTACGAAAAAACTGAAAATATAAATAATATATACCTGTAATCAGGACCCATACCACTATAGACAAGACCCATATTTTTGCAAAGTGGTTCAACCTTATGAATTGTGCGATCATCATGTAATAATGATTTACTTTTTTTTTCTGTGGCCAACACAACTCCATTCGATGCTTTAATACCTACTGCTGGTGAACCAGCATTAACAGCATTGAGAGCGTATTCAATTTGAACGAGTTTGCCCGATGGACTAAATGTTGTCAATGAAAACCCGTAACGTTCGGACATTATACTATCTTATAATATACAAATCTGAAAAATTAAAAAGAATAAAATAAAGTTAAACATATTCATATCATCTATTTCTAAATAATTGTATTAATAAGAAAAGACTTATAAATTTAGTTTTAGATGCATTTGGTGAGATAAATTGAAATATTCCACACTACATCGATATAAGATAATAAAAATATTTTATAATAATAATTCTATATACAATCATACTGCCATTGATTTTTTACCTAATCAATCAAAATCTTGTGGAGATTATTTACTTGATTATATTAGACAATAAGAATGTTGTCTATGTGTATCGCTTTTTCTATATAATATATTATTTTGTTCATGTTCTGTACGGTCTTGTGTTTCTTTTGTGAATAAATAACAACGAAACTCCATATGTAAGTTTATCATTAATTATTTTGAATAGTTAAAATTTTATAAAAATAGATTTGAAGATCAATATCGTATAAATTTTATTTCATTATTATATTGACGAAGACCATTTAAAAATATACTATGTTGTGTTCACGTATGAGTGTTTGCTCCGTCATGATTTGTTAATAATGATTCGTTTAGATGATTATCGAGTGATAATAAAATCATTTTTTAAATTGAAAAATAAAGAGAAATTAATTTAAATATAAAAAGGGCTAACTAATTATCATCTAACAAATTTTCATATGCATCAAACGCTAAAAGCAAACGATAGATGGCGTCCACGGACATAGTTTTTCTCCGTAACAAAATAAAGTATTTTTAGTGAGTATCATGTCGTTAGAAAGTTTGATCTGTATGTGGTGCAAGAAATTCAGTAAATTAATAAAAATAATTATTTACAAATTATACTGAAGCGATAATTCGAAATCATTGATAGACAAATAGGATAAATGCAAAATAAAAGTACATATTTTCTATCAATGTATTATGTATCAACAGGTATTTCGAAAGTCCGACTGACAGAATGAACATGCATCATAGAAAAGTAAGATGATGATGAAATTTTGTCTACAGATACACTTTTTAACTTGGTTACAATGTATATATGAGCAAAGTTTCAAAGGCGTGTCATATCAAAAGTCCACCCCAACAGATCATAAATAAAGTTCCGCATCGTTACAATAATCAACAGAGTTTATTTAAAAATAATTTGAATCTATAGTTTCTTCGAATTTCATTTCATACGCATGGTATTCAAATTACTGCAAAATCACATGAATTATTGAAAATCTATCGACATTTCATTGTCAGTCGGACGTTTAGATTACGCTTCAGATATCACAAAAAATATGTTTTTGTAAAAGTTAATCTGTTATTGAAAATTCATTCAACCATGTCATTGATGCAGTACTTGAATCTATAAATCAAAAATGAAATATATATTAATATAGTTGGCTCTATTTTTTTCACTTACCATTATATTCAAGTCCAATAAAATCTTGATAAAATGGTTTGATAAGTTTCGAAAGAAAATATCGATGATTAACTTCTCCATCTTCATTCACTGGACAATCACGATTCGGTGTTTGCGAAATTTGAACATGTCCAACAAATGGAATCATTTCCTGTAAAGGAAAATCTTTCACATTATTTAGAATTAATAAATTCAAATTTAAATACTTTAACTCGTTCAGTTAGATTTCCATGTAATCGTTGTAAATGATATGAATCTAACATTATTTTTAAATTATCAGTTTTCGATGATTTAACAATATCAATAGCCATTGAATATGATTGTAAATAATAATTCAATCGTATTGAAAGCGGTTCAATTAAACACATAATACGATGAGGTTGAAAGAATTCAGCTGCTTGATACACAAGATCAATAATCTTGCATCTAAATATCAGATGACATATGAAAACATAACAATATTTCAAATGTCATAGCCTTTCTAATTCGATCACGCTTATACTGATATAAACTATTCATAGGTACATTTATTTTCGAGGATGAAATCTTACCGATCAGAATCATTGTTTGCATCAGTCATAACTAAATGAACTTTATTAACATTTAATGCTTTTGCATAGTCAAGTGTACGATTAAGAACTAATTGTTGATATTCAATAAATGATGGTATTTCATTCGTTTGATTAAAAAGTGGTAAACTATTAATTAATATCCATTTTAATGATTTATTATTCGATATTAACTCTTTCCATTCATTCACAGATATATCATATGGGTTTTGACATTCAATTGCATCAAATCGATAATCTTTTCTATATACAATAGATTAACAAACTTAAAAGAATTTATATTAATATGATTACCGTTGTAGAACATGAATATACCGTTCAGTAAGTTTTGGTATATCATTAAATAATGTTGATATATTAGCACAAAAACGCATCTATTTTATATAAAAATCAAGATGAAATCATTTTATGAAGTTTTTTTGTTTTTATTTCCTAATTGGAAAAACAAATTATTCTATACAATCAAGTCATTAGAACAAAAAAAGAAACAATGACTTTGAGTACAATAAAGATACACAAATTAAATAGTTTTTTTTGTTATGTGTGTGATGAAACAATCGTTGATGCATGATCTAAAAAGAAAATTTCATAAAGAAAATAACGATTTTTTATTTTCGAATTACCAATAAATTCTTTAACACATTTTCTTTCTTCTTCATTCCGAAGTGATATTGGTCCAGCGATAGCTTCATTTTGAAGTAGGGGTAAAAATAATTGTACAAATGATGGTTCATAAGGAGGACCAATCATTTCAAGAACCTTTAGAAAATAAAAATAAGACGAAATTTCAAATAAGAATCTTTCGAATTTACTTCAAGAACAAAATGACGAATTAATGATACATCTGTATCTCGTTGTTCCCAACGTTTTTTCATATATTCTAATATTGGATGTACGAATGAACAACTAAGCATATGTACCATACGATCAAGGATAGTTTTTTTAAATTCCAGCTATATAGCAAAAATATATTAATCTATATATAAATTATTTAAATGATCTTACATGAACAAGTATATCAAGTTCAGCAAATGTTGCTTCAAAAAACCGAACTAATAATTCAAAAGCTTTTTGATGTAATAGAAAATGTAGACTGACAATCTATTAAATGATAATAGTAAAAAAGAATAAAAGAGATTTTTTCCGCATACTTCATCGATGATAATCAAGTGGACAGGTGTTGTACCTTGATCAAGTTTAAAATAACTTGGATCAAATATACGAAATTCAATCCAACGAAGTACACATGCAGCTACAATTGGAAATCTATAAACAGATAATTTATTGAGTTATTTATTTTTTGTTCATAAAACTGAGATTTTACCGAAGGCATTTATAGAGTTCATTTAAATCACTAATAAGATCAACAGTTGATTTTGAGCTAACACATATTTCATGTGCTTTTTCAAGTGCGATAGTTGTTTGTGATAATTCTTCTTTACTATTGGTTGTACTTTTTCGAGAACTCTACATAAACAGAAATAATAAAAACACGTTTGTTTTTTTTTGGTTCAAATAAAATTTACTTTTTTATTTGTTTCAGCAACACTACAGGCATAAGCAAGAAGGCCAATATATTTTGGTCGATGTTCAGGATTTAATGTTGAATCAGGATCAAATAATTGTGTTATTAATAATTCTAAATAGTCAATTTTACATAAAATGATTTGTATGAAAATACTTTTTTTCATACCAATAAAAGCTGGTTTTCGAATAAGATCAACAGGTGGTGCATCAGCTGATTGATAGATTTTATAAAGCTATTAAAAAAAATATTTTATAAATAAAAATAAATAATAATAATTTACGGAAGTAACATCAGCTGGATTGAGAGCCTTTTTAGATAACATGGTACAGAGTGGTTGATAAACTTTAGGAAATGCAGTTGTACCATCGAGTGTAAGTGTAATTTCCGTAACATTATGACCTCTAAATAAAATATTTATTTGTTTGATCAAAAATTTTCTTATTACTATTTTACTTTGCTTTTGCATGTAATTCAATTTCTTCGGCAATTCGTCGAATAATCATTGATTTAGCATCATTAGCAAGGGATGAAAGTACACTTTGTGCATATAAATATGTATGTTCACTATGACAAGCCAATTGCTAAATAAAATAATAGCAAAAAGTATATAATACCAATGTTGGTATTAAAATATACATACAACAAGTTCTTGAATATTTCGTTTCCATTCATCTGGTTCACTATCAATCGTACGTTGAATTGTTGTCATAAGTACTTTTGTAAATACTTCAACTTGTTGTGCAGCTACAGGTACACTTGTTATTTCATCTTCATGACCAGAATCAACCAAAAGCTATTTTTAAAAAAACATATTTATTGTAAATATTTTATTCCCCAAATTTTACTTTTATTGTAAAATTTAACATAAGACAATTAGGATATTCTTCAGCTAGTTTATAAATCATCGAACGCCAATTCATATGTTCAGTCATATCAGTTAACCATGATGGTACCTGAAATTAAATAAAACTCATTATGAATTTTTATTGAAATCGTAAAAATAAATATTTACTCCTCCTGCTTCAAAAATACTATCTGCTTTTTTCGGTTGAAAATGTTTTTCAATTAATGTTTGTAAATGTTGTACAATCATATTGACAACATCAGCTGGTTCAACGCCAGTTAAAATCAACCAATCAGCCATTAATGTAGCTGTTTGAGCAATAGCCATATAATTTTCTGATAATAATTCAATAACTTGATCGGGTGCACCACCATGTCGAAAATAACTAAAATAATCCTCATATATATATGCTTTTGAACTGTTTCAGATTTTATTCTTACTCTTTAATAGTATCAAAAACTTTTGATTCCATAATAAAATCCGTCGATGAAAACAATTGTACACATTGTTTCTGAACTTGTTCATCCTCATTTTCTGTTTCCATTTTATTTTTCACAGAATTAGTTTAATCTGAAAAAAGAAAAGCAAAGCCCGTGTAATAACAATTTTTCAAGTTTACTTAACAAAAAAGAAAAAAGAGGAAAAACAATTAACAATTAATGAAAACAACCAGTAAAAACAGTGTCAATTGGAATTGGTTCTTTTAAATAAACAATACAATGTCCCTCACCAAAGAATTTCATTACTGTTCGTTCATCATTACTTTCAGGTGTAGGAGTATTTCTATGAATACTATCACTTTCTTTTTTAATCATTTCAGTCATATCATGACCTGTTTGTGATGCACTTATATCTGGTGCAACACCACATGTTAAATGAGCACGAGAAAGAAAACCAAATGTTGGATGAAGAAATGATATTTGTTCAGATTCATTTGTTGGAATGATTTTATCAACTAAAAGTACATCATCGACTGATCTGACCATTGATGCATTTTCGTCATCATTAGTATTGAAATTATCAGTGGTGGTTATTTTCGATTTATTATTACGATGAAATGGACGTTGTTTTTTATTATTATTACTACTATTATTATCATAATTATTATTATTAGTATGGGATGGTGATTCTTTTTTGGGTGATTCATTATCATCTTGACCCCAAATTGACCAAACATTACGATTTGGAAAAAGAAGACGTGCACCTATACGATAACAGAAAAATTAAATACTAAATTAATATGATTGGTTTCAATTAATTACCTAAAGTACGTGGTGTAATAGTAAATCCAACAATATAACCTGGACATACTTTTCCAAGTAAATGTGAAACTAAACGATTGGCAGCATAATTTGTATATTCATTTCGACTTTGATCTGTATTTTTTCCAATGAATTTTACAGTACAATGAAGAATTTTCGGTTGAACACTCATATTTGATCGACTTAATAAACCATTCACCGATATATCTATGTGAAGAAGAAAACAATAGAATTTCTTTACTAATATACATATCATCTATAATTTTACTTTTATCTCGACTAATTCGCTCCAAATCTCGTTTTAATTGTGGAAATGTTTGTAACGCTTGTTGATAATAATCATAAGCTTCTTGAAGAACATATGTTGATTGTTCATGATTAAGAAATAAACCAAAATAGAATGGAGTAAGTGGATTAAATTGACGAAGACGTCCTTGTATTACATCTAATGGAACTTGATGTGTATTTCGTTCTAAGAAAACATAAAGATTATACATTGATTTCAATATCTATATTCATAACTAACCCATTAAAACATTTGGATCACGTTTCCAGTTTGTTCGTGGTTCAACAACAATCACAATATAACCATAATTAGATGCTTTCTGAAGATATGGTCTACATTCATCCATACGAATATTTGTATTATCAATAATTATTGCAAGAATATTTTTTCTAAAATAAAATTTAAATTAAGAAATAAAATATTAAAAAATATGAATATTTACTTGCAAGCATCTTCAGCTTGTTGTTGACAAACTTGATGTGCAACACCAATTTTATCTCGATTGAAATTATAAACACCATTACTATCAATAAAATAATTATCAGCCGAACAAACAATAAATGATTTGCAATAGATTCGTTTTAGGATATTTACTAATGTTGATTTTCCTAAAATATTATAAGATGAAGATATTGTTTCATGATGAATTTTATATACCTGAACCAGGAAGTCCACGCATTAGAAACATGACCTAGAATAGATTTTAGATATTTCATTTCTCATTTTTTCGATAGTTATAATAATACCTTTGTTCTCTGAAGATGAGCAATTGTTTCTTGACATGCTATAACTGGATGTGAGAGAGAATACATATGATCCAATTGTTGAACATCAAGTATTCGAAGTTGTGTTCCTTGTTTCTATAATAAAACGTAAATAATATTTGAATTTAGTCAATTATTAATAATCAAACAAAATTTACTTTTTTTGAAGAAACATTTTGCATTAAAACGGATGGAAAAATCCAATCAAACATCTAAAAATCCAACAAAAACAAATGTCAATGATCTATATATATATAAATCTAATAATCAACTGTAGTGCAGAAATAGATGCAATATCCTTGAAAAGCCATATAAAAAAGCAAGCAAACGAAAGACAAAAACTTCAATAAACTCCTATCACGCTTTTTCTTCATTACTATCATTCATTTCTTTTGAAATCTCATGAACAGCATCAATAAACCATTTAACATTGTCAGTTGACATATCTGGATAAATTCCATGACCTAAGTTAGCTATATATTTTTTTGTACCAAATACTTGAAGCATTTCTCGAACAAATTTTTCTAAATTTTCTTTTGATGAATACAATGCACATGGATCAAGATTTCCTTGAAGTACTATTTTTGAATTTTCATTTCGTAATGATTGTATACATGTAGATGTAATTGTCCAATCAAGACTAATAACATCAAATAAACCAGTTGCTGCTAAATCTTGAAGACCATAATGAGCATCTTTAGCAAAAACAATAAATGGTACAGATGGAAGTTGTCGTTTTGAAAGTTCTTCACGAACACCTTTAGCAATTTGACAAAGATATGTAAATGAAAAACGATTAAATAAATCAGGTGTTAAACAAGAACAATGTGATTCAAATAATTGAACAAGTTGTGCACCAGCTGCAATCTGTTCAACAAGATGATCAATAACAAAATTAGCAAGTAAATTAAGAAGATCATGTGATTCTTTTTCATAACTATATAACCAACGTTTTGCTTTTGACATTGTTGCACTTGCTTTACCTAAATAATAAAATAGTTTAGAATAATAAATTTTTTTTCATAGGATATTTACCTTCGATCATGTAGGACATAAGTGTCCATGGAGCACCACTAAATCCAATTAATGGGCATTGTCCATCAAGTGTACGTCTTGTTAAAGTAATAGCTTCATATACATATTTTAATTCTACGCTCGCTTTTCGTGTTCGATCAATTTGTTTAGTAATATCATCAGGTACTTTAAGTGGTTGAGGAAAACAAGGTCCTTCATTGGCTACCATATCTACTTGCATACCAAGTGCTTGTGGTATAACAAGAATATCACTAAAAATAATTGCAGCATCAAGATCAAATCGACGTACTGGTTGTAATGTAACTTCACAAGCAAGTGATGGTGTACGACATACTTCGAAAAATGAATGTTGAGAACTAATCGTTTTATATTCAGGTAAATAACGACCAGCTTGACGCATTATCCAAATGGGTACACGTTCAATTGATTCACCACGACATGCACGAAGAATGAGATCATTTTTCAATGGAGGAAAATCAGTTGATGACATTTGTTACTATTCACAAATCTAAAATATTACATGTAAAAAAATCAACTTTAGTTAAGTTTTTATATATAATATGTATGATTTGAATAGAATGTATTTTGTAACGGATATTACCTTTCACCTGACTTGTGAAATTAACAGTCATATTTTATCTCTGACTCATTTTCACATGAAATTGCGAAATTAAATTCGACCTAGTTCTGTGATAAGTTAATGAAAGTACTCTATTAAAATAGATAAACTTTTAACATAGTTTAATTGTAAATTTCACAGTAAAGAAGTCTTTAATAATTGATTGAACATAACCAGACGATTCATTTTCTGATAAAAAATAGAACATATTTTATAACTACAATTGTAAATATTTTTCAAAGTTTATATTTTATATAAAAACAATGAACATAGTCTCATATTTTTCATATTACAAATCGAATTTAATATATGCTTTTGTAACATATGGATCATACAGAACGCTACTATCAATGAAATATTCTTTTGACAAGTAGCGTTAACATTTGAACTGTGTTCTATTGACATCTATCCGTATATGTCTATGCAAATAGAGAATGATTGGTGAATGAAATGCACTCGTTCTTTCTTCCTTTCTATTATATTTTTCTTTCTTCTGTTTCTTCTTGTCCTCTCTGCGTTCGTTTTTTTTCTCTTTATTCTTTTTTGGCCTTTTTATTTTTCTTCTTCTTCTTCTTCGACTAGTTGCCGTCGTCGTCCGTCGTCGTCCTTGTTTCTCTACCTACACTTTTCTCTATTCTATTTCTTTCTTTCTCTCGTTCGAACATGTATACACTCAAATCGACGACAACGCCCTTTGCGATCACTTCTTTTCTGTCCTTTTCTATATGCTTAGCGCGCGCGGTAGAGAAGGGAAAGAAGAGAGGAGGAGAGAGAAAGGGTAAGCAAAGGAAAAAATCACTACTTCTTCCAACCGAACGGCATATAGTGCGAAAATGTATGCTGATAGTTTGTTTCTGTCTTTTGACAATGTTGTTCTCTATTTTCTTCTCTTTCTCCTCTGTTTTAAACGTTAGAGTAGTAGAAAAGAGAACACAAGACATGTTTCGTCCATCCTCTTTTTCTTTTCTTTCTTTTCTGTTTTTAGATAACTCATAATATATATATAAGATATATATATATTTTTCTCTTTTCGTTTAATTATAAATTTCTTTTTTTTATATGTTTTTTTGAGACTCTCCTAGTTGGCGGTCTCGTAATTCCGAAAAAAAAGAATTTAATGACAAAAAAGAACGAGCAGAATAATACCCAACCAGGTGGGGGTGGGAGTAGTTTAACTCCAATACCAACCACTACCACAACTACTACTACAACATCAAGTGGAATCGTTATTGTTCAACAGCAACCAGTTACTGAACAACAGCAACAACAACAACACTTTGTATTGCATACATCAAATAATGCAGCACCAATGATTATTACAACACCATTGGGTAGATAATAGAATTCGATTAAAGTTTTAAAACTAACTTTATTTTTTAATATAGCTGTCCCTTCTATGATTACTCAACAATTACCTACAACGACGAATGCCCAACAACCAACGGTAACAGCTGTAACTAATACTTCAACTGCACTTGTTGCACCTTCATCTGCTACAACTACTATTCCTAATACATCAATTCAAAATAAGACAACAAAATCTCCAGGACAAGATCGACTAGTTTGTAGTTTATGCAATAAAGTCTATCGATCATCAGCCGGTCTACGATATCATAAAAGAAAGCGACATCGAGGTAAAAGAAATTCAAAAATAAGAAAACGAGAAGATATTCTAGATTGAGATTTTATGTTTAGATGAAGGTATGCTTAAACCGACTCAATTACATCGTGTACGATGTCTAGAAAATGGATGTGCCTATCAAATGTTGGCGATATCTGATCTAAGAAATCATTTAGCAAATCATCATTTAAAACCAGAATATAAAACTACTGAAGAGAAAAAATTTAACTCATTTACAGGTAAGATTTTTAGAAGATAAAATATTTTCTTGGAATATTCCAAGTTATAAATTTGGTAGATCTATAAACAAATGTGATCTTTATTGATTAAAGAGAAAGTTTAGATTATTCCCTAAGCGAAACTTGATTTTCTTTCTTGCAATATCTTTTCTTATTTCAAAAGATAAAATCTATACATTGTTCATTATTTATAAAAATAGTTCAGATCTTTAATGGAACTATATCTGAAGGAAGACATTTTTAGTTATCGATTTCAAACATTTGATTAAATATTTTGATAAGGTTTCTGTTTGTACGAATTTTTGATTTTTCTTTTAGAATTTACTGAATGGAAAAGTACATTTGAACAGAGTAGTGGTTCAAAATATGTGAAAAATTGTGGTTCTAAAGGCAAATCCGAGAATCAAACAACTGAATATTATTATTGCAATCGAACAGGACCATGTAAATATTAATCATTTAATTCTTCATAGTAATTAAATAATTTAAAATATTAATCTAGATAAACAAACTCGACAAGGATGGCGTCGTAATTCAAAAGCTCTTGATTCACTTCGTTGCGGTATTCATTGTACATCATCTATGAAAGTTGATATCAGTCGTAATGATCAAATATCCGTACAGTATTATCCAGCACATTATGGTCATACTGCTGAACCACCGTTACAAGCTCCACCATCATCTAATTCCGTCAATACAGTTTTACCAACTACAAATGGTGAATTAGTTGAACAACCATCTGTCCAACAACAAACAATTCCGCCCATTCAAACAGTTGTGCAAGCGGCTGTTCAACAGCAAACACAAACAACAACCACTGATCATTGTGTTAGACTTCAACATCAACATCATGCGCAAACATCGAGTATTATTATCAATATTGCGCCTGTAAGCATTTGACTTAATTTCTTAAGATTATAAAATTTTTCATGATAATTTCATAAGAGTTTGAAAATTTGAAAGTGTAACGAAAAAGAAGAATTTGACTAGTTTTCATTTGTTAGAAATATATCATCAGATATACTGTACATGGAAAAACAAAATATCAATCTCGTTATTTGAATATTTTCTAAAATTAAGAGTAGTAAAAACTATATTTAACTTTAATCATCATCTTCGAACAAAATAACTTACACTATTATTTTATTTTTCCAGGTGAATACAACAATCATCAAATGCGTGTGATAAACACCTGTATGTGTATGTGTATTTTATAAATGCACAAAAAAGAATAATCTTCCTTTCTCTCTTATCTTCATCTAAATTATTCTAGCAAAACATCATCGAACAATTCAACGTCAAGATTCCAATAGATATACACATTATGTTTTTTAATTTTTATATTCATCGATTTAAAAAAGACAATTTTTTTGTATTTATTTCGATGAATAGTATAAAACAGTGAAAAAAAACGTAGTATTGATATATGAGAACCAGAGTGAGATGAAGAAAGGAAAAAATAAAAGTTTTGAGCATGCCTTCTTTTTTTTTTGTACAGTGGCTTCTTTTTTTTTTGCTCTATATACACACATCTAATATCCGGTCTCTCTCTCGATAAGATACACATACGCATGCGCACGTGTTTCCTCCACGCATTACATATGATGAATTAAGAACCTCGTCATTTTTCATTTTGTTTTCTTTTTTGTTTTTTTACTTGTTGATAAACTCTTTTTTTTTGGCCTATAGTTTTCTTTCTCTTTTTGTGTATCTCACTATTCTTTTTGTGGCCTATTGTTCTTTTCATATGCTTCTACGAAAAAACAAGAAACTAACTAGCAACACACTTGTCCGTGTTTTGCTTCATTTCGTTTTTTTGTAGAGATGCCTTTGTTTTTTTTTCTTCCAAGACATTTTGTTTGTTCGTTTTGTTCGTTTGTTTTTTTCCGTTCATTCATAACACATTTTTCTTTTTTTTTATTTCGAATACAACCTAAAAAGAGAAAAAGGAAACGTTTATTTGGTTAAGAATATTTATTAAAACAATCTCGAAACGAGATTGAATTGATATATATATATATTTATATATACCCATATGATGTCGAAAGATGAAATATGAAAATAAGCAACATGTGTTTGAATATTTTCTTTTTGTTTTTAGATTTTTCTTTCTTTTTTTTCCTCTTTCTTCTTTTGTGTTTTTTCTTTCCTTTCTGTTCGAAAATATGACAAGAAAAGGCTCGTCGGCAGCCTCATCGCCGTCAGCCGCTTTGAATAATGGTGTTGCTGGAACAGGTCGTTTTGTCTGTTCAATGTGTGCAAAAGTCTATCGATCTGGTGCTGGATTACGTTATCACAAACGAAAACGACATCGAGGTAGGTTAGTCTTATCTGTAAAGGAATTTCAGCATGATTTAATAAATTAAATAATTAACAGGAGAGAAACTGCGAATTTTTATCAGCTATTTAGAATTGACTCTAAATTACAATAGAATCTGAAGTTAATTCTATGTATAATCAAATATTCTAAGCCTTCAAAAAATAGTGAAACGCTATTTTAAAACAAATTACAGACAATCTGTTCTCATAGCATAGATTTAATCGTATCTCAAGGAAAAAGACTTAGGATCATTAATGTTTCGAACATCTTTATATTATCGTTAAAAGTAATCAAGAATCGCTTTCATGAACAGCATAATATAACAGATTAGGATGATTTGTTTTACATGGAGAGTAATTATCTGTCTCTAACTTGTTTATATCTTGAAAAAAGCATTTTTACAGACAAATGTTGGAATATCTATTGTGTCTGTTTTTTTCCGTCGGGGAAGGCATGGTCGAACCAACGGCACTTCATCGAGTCAAATGCCAAGAACCTGGCTGTACATATCAGATGTTAGCTATTTCTGATCTTCGGTATGTTTAAATTTTATTATAATAAATAAAATAATATTTCGAATTTATTTACATTTAGAAATCATCTATCTAATCATCATCAAAAACCTGAATACAAATGTACAGAAGAAAAAAAATTTACAAGTCTTGCAGGTAGAAAATATAAAATTTAATTTTTTCATCTAATAATTTTCATATTGAAAAGATTTTACTGAATGGAAATCTTCTTTTGAAAGTCGTACTGGTTCAAAATATGTTAAAAATTGTGGTGCAAAAGGAAAATCAGACAATCAAACAACTGAATATTATTATTGTAATCGTACAGGACCGTGTGAGTAAAATCGTTCTTTCAAAAAAGAAATTTTCTTTGAAAAATTGCAACAATTCTAGATAAAATAATAGTTGGTCAAGGTTTACGTCGTAGTAAAGCTCAGGGTTCATTACGCTGTGGTATACATTGTACATCATCGATGAAAGTTGAAATACAAAATGATGAACATATAACTGTTCAATATTATCCAGCTCATTATGGACATTCACATTTATCAGCAGCTGATGAATTACATTTATCCGAAAATAGTATGACTATGGGAGGAATTAATGGAAATTCATCATCAACTATAAATAATGGTCATCATCAACAGCAACAGCAGCAGCAGCAACAACATCAACAACAAGATAATGAACAAAGTGTATTAACACATTATCCATCACATAGTGGTGATTGTTCATCATCTTCATCACCTGGTTCATCATCAACAAGTCCATCAGGTGGTTCGAATTCTAATTCAAATCATCCACCATCATCTTCAATGATTTCATGTACAGATCGACAATCAATAACTACATCGAATACATTAATAAAAAACAGTAATAATATTTCTAATAATCATAATTCATTACAAAATCAAATGTCACATTGCATTATCATATCACCGTCATTTGTACTCGAAGAAAATGCATCAACACATTCCAATCATCATTCAACACCGGTGCTTATTGTTCAACAGCAACAACAACAACAGCAAATGAATCAATATTTACCACCATCATCAACTACAATTGTTGCTCCAACAACGAATTTAACAATTAAAAAAGAAAAATGTGTATCGGATATCATGCGTGAAGCATTTCAACTTTTATCTTATTGGCCATTAGATCATCATCATAGTCTAGTTACTACTGAGAATGAACAACAATTTTCTCATTCTCATGTTAATATGGATGAGCATCTTATGTTCTAACACTTTTCTTTTTTTGTTTATTTGTTTTCTTTTCTTTTCTTTCTTTTTCTCTCTCTCAATTGTGATCAATTAACACATCGTTTTTCTTGTTATTGAACACAAAAAAAAACAGTGCTTGTTCTCCGATCAACATTGAACAAAGTCTTTTCTTTGGACATACACATAAACATATCTACAATCATTTTTTTCATTTGATTTCCTTGTTTTTGCTCTCTGTAATCCATTCATTCCTTTACTATTACTTTGTTTTTTTTCTTGCGGGCATCTCTTTTCTCCGTACTTGTCATACATATTATATATATATACACACACACACTATACAGATAACTCTTATGATTATTTACATACAAATGAAAAGAGATAGATCTTGTTTGTTTTCTTTTTGTTATCTATCACTTCCATGCACGCAAACACATGGTTTCGTTTTTTTTCTTCTTGTTGAATCTTTACTACTATTAAGATAGATTCCAACTTTATTTAAACATGCATATATATCAGAGAGACTTTGAACACTTGATAATAGTTTTTGTTAAAACAAAAATATGATGAACTTTTATGTTAATTTAACTTAAGAATGGCATGAATAAAAGAAAATGATAAACATAATGTTCTTGTAAATATTTTTCTTGATCTATTAATCGGCCTGTGCCAAGAATATGAACGCTGTATGAAAGTTCATTTCAATCACGCCGAGACCAAACAGGTATTACGTTTATTTAACAAATTTGTACAAAAATATCAAATATTTACTTGGCATGCAAGTAATCAATAATCCAAAACAGAGAGTAGAAGCAGATCGACTCCATAACCTTATAAGAAAAGATCCATTTATTATGAATAAGATCCAAATACAGAGAGAACTTGTTTATATATATCCTGTTGCTATTGGCGATAATCGATATGCAGAACAACTTGTTGATGCTATTCAAATATCCTATACCAGTATATTAGCTCTCTTATGACTATACGTTTATCATCGTAAACATAAACAAAGCTAAAGGTTAAAATTCCATGTGTTATATACATCATGATAAGGCTGAAAAAGCTATAGATTTATACATTCAAATTGAGAAGGATGATCAACTAGTAAAAAACATATTTTCTTAAAATGGTAAATAAAATATCATTGTAACTAAATGAATTTCAAACTACACTTATATTTAGGAATGAAATGTGCATGTTCAAAACTACGTCATTTTACTCAAAGGGAAAGAAATTATCAATAGCATTCTTAAAAATAAAGTTATTTAATTCACCTAAAATGGAAAAATACATCTTCTATATACAATATAATGACAAATGTGTATAATAAATCGGATATACCAAAAGAAACATTAAAATTTTTCCATCAAATAGTCAATGAAGTTGATTATGTACATGATTCTATTCATTTTATAGTTGTTTTTAATGTATCTATGTTTAAATAATTATTTGAATGTGTATGATGTGCTCGTTGTTAAAATGATGCTATTGATATGTAAATAAATAATTATTATAATATAATTCATGTTAAAATTGTCATAGGGTTTGGTAAATGCGCAGATCTAATTTCAAAACGAACATTCGCATACGGTGACCTTGATAATGATATTTGAAACGAATCGATTAGACAACGCAACGATCGGAATCTGAGATACATGAGTTATGCACATTCACCGTTTCAATGTTTATTTTGTGTAATGAATTACGAAGACATGAAGGAATACATACTGACAAAGCAGAGATTCAGCTTTGATGGTATAGTGACTAATGAAAGAGTTAAGGTACCTTATGATGCTTGTTATTGATTCGAGGACAAATTATTTAGACTTATTTTCACATTCGTTGCCTACTGGTCGTCACCAAGATAACAGTTCATTTCATATTTCAGTTTAAAACAACTACAACGCCCAGCAACTAGTAGTAAGTTAGGAAAAGTTCGATTTCCTAACTTTGAAAGTGTTTCAGACCGAGCATAATTGTTAATATTCAACCAACAGTGTCCTGTGAATTTTCGACCAATCGACATGTATCAAAGATACATTATAATGCATCATCTTACAGATTAGCAGGTAACGATGGGCAATGTAACTGACAAAAACTAGCCGACTCGTATTCTCTTTCATGAAACATACCGGAGATTTCATATGTACATCTTCTAAATTCTTGATTGTATCAGATGAAATTAGATCTGAATTCGATCGTTTCTCTTAGACAATCGAAATAAAGAGTTTGAAAACAAAATCTTTGTTTAACCAAGAACATATAGCCACAAAAATAAATGTGAAATTTCTTTCAGTAAGAGCACCACCATTGTACAGAACAGGATGTGTGGGTGTGAGTAGAGAGAAGATAACCAGTCACACCCACACCCTGTTGTCTGTTGTTTGAGAGTCAAGAATAACTTTTATAACGAAAGATGCAGAAGAATCTCTCTTTCTCTCTTAGTTGATTACTATCACGCCTTTGGATTTTCTTGCTCTTTTGCGTATCAAATCTTACGAATAGTTCATGTTCGAAGTCTCCCTGTCTGTTTAAAGCTGAAGTTAATAAAATCTTTACCGTTATACAATAAAGAAAAGTTTAAGGCTGAATAAAGATTTTATTTCTATGTAGATAAATACAAAAGTGGATTTTATAACAAGAACAACGATAAAGAACTGCTTTACTACCTATAAAAGCCCGTTTTATAATATTAATAATATCGAGAATGATGTAAAAAAGACATACTCGTGCATAAACAGTTTTTAGGGTGTGGGTATGGGTGTCGGTATAGCAGAAGAAAGACCCACATCCTCACGAACACCGACATTCCCACTCTCAAAAGATTCAAAAATGTTTCGCACAAGCTTAGAGATAGATCAGCATGTTTCTTGCATAATGTGGTAAAATTTCGAACAAACAGATAAAAAGTATTAGAAAAGCTCATATTCTGTCTTGATATAGTTCATTATCAGATAGTTGTTCGTGTTACGAAAGCTTGTTACCATGGCTTCAGTGGTGCACCATTGCCGTCTTTGAAAGCATTTGCCAGCACTCGGATCCAATCCACTAAATACCAGATGCTTGAGGCGAAAGTACACAGACAACTATTGCGACCAACTGCCTCGCCGTTACGCGCGAAAGCATGAGATATTGCGACAAAAGATCCCAATGACAAAATGATTTTGAAAACACCAGCAGCGATATATCCTCCATTTCCTCTTGATAAAACGAACCAATCAACGCCCGAACTACCCAAGAAGAACGAAAAGAGAAAGGCTTCTAGTTTTGTTTTTTGTTTGTATGAACAGATGTCTGATTTTTTCCAAGTAATATATACTTTGTCGCATCGGCATACATAATTTTGACAAGAGCCGTGTTCACCACAATCGAGGGGAGTTGTGCACGATTGCCTAACCTCACGTAATTTTAGTAACTTATCAAGATCATTATGATGCGAAATGTTCACACTGCGAGCATATGTAACCGTGATGATTGTGATACAAGCGATCAGAAGGATCAGATTGAGTGAACTACTCATGTTGCGGAATGCATTAACGAAGAAAGTAAAAAGAATGTAATATCAAACTTCTTCGAGCGCTTTTATAGATCTGTTTTATGATGTGACTCTCCACGACGTCATCATTTCAATTTCCTAGGTTGTTATCTTTGTTTCCAACTTAGATCTCAAATGCAGTGAGGCAGTCCGATTATAAAAAAAAGAAAATCTTCAACGCCTTATTACGTTGAGGAGATGCGGATAGGAAGATTTGTGGGTGTGGGTTTGGGAATAGCTAGGTTTTGGTGAAGACTTTGATAAAGATTCATACGCACACTCACCTATACCCACACCCTCCCTCTCCCCATGGTTGTTCATATATAGATGTAAGTCCATTAACGATCTCCAAGATTTATTAACAAATATTCCATTCAATACAGATCCTCAGATATTTTAACTTGTTTGGTTAATAGATGCTTGCTTCTGCGTTGACTTTTCAATTCACTTCGTCTACTTTTACATCCAAATTGATCAGCTTTTGTAGGACATTTATAGTAACCGACAGAATAATAACCACACCGTTTTTCTATGTCATTGTTTGTAAGAATCAACACAATCTGATTAATTCTTGAGTCTGACTGTTGCTGTCCACGAATTTTGGGTCCGAAAGAACAATAATCACCCACATAAATTGTATGATAACCAGCGAAAGAACCACCACATGCATGTCTCAATGCCTGAAACCAATCGGGTGAATAATACTGATTTGAGTCATTTATAAAATAGATTAACATTACAGGACCATCATGTGCATCAATATTAATTAAATCTTCGAAATTATTTTTAATTTCCGATAATTTGCACCCATTTTGAAACATTAAATCGAATATATCTTGATTTACTTTGATAAAGTTTACATAAGGCTGATAAACAAAATCAGGTTTACGTGAGAAACTAGGATGGGGTGGTGGATTTTCTCGTAACCTGGATTTGTAGCCATCATATTCACAGAAATTGTAATTTCGACGAATAACAATTTTATTAGAAAAATCTGATGATTCAGCATATTTATTTAATAGATCTAACAGTTTCCAACGATTTCTTTTGTTTATAGACGGTCGTTCAGATGAATACTGTTGTGACCATATTTCAAAAGAGTTTTGACAAAATCGAATAGTCTTATTTGTTCCATACTTATTCTCACGTCTCATCGTTGGTTTGTTAAATTATTCTTAATGAATGTTTACATAGTATTTTGTTCTTTCTAACTATTGTGCAATACTACTGTATAGCAAATTATGTCGCAATTACAATGCATGATTATTTTTGTATAGAAAGACAAAGAAAAAATGTCTTATTATGTGTGTAGTCACCGTTTTAAGGAATCTAACAAATTTATTTGTGATTTCACAAAAACAAATTCTGATTAACTACGGTTAAAAAAAATCTAATTTTCAACGTTTTGATTTGGCCACCTTGGTTATAATTCAATTTAGATTTTGTTTTTTTACCAAAGTTCAAATCCATTTATTAACCCAAGATCCAATTCCAAATGGTAGAATATTATTCAAATGATATTCTCTACATGACGTGTCCATTTCAGGTAGAGTTCTAGACTTACGAATGTTTTGATTGTAAGCTGAGAATCCTTGGGCGAGAAATGCTTGTGAAGAATATGGTATTCGAGTTTTGATGTAAGTAGCATAGGTCTCGCAATTACTAGTTAGTAGATCATAATCACCCCAGTCTTGATAATCGCACATTTGTTTTGCCAGAGTAAATGAGTCTGAAGCTGATAATAATTTTTCACTTTCCTTGTAAACTCGTTTATACATTTGTTTGACTGATTTTTGATGACCATTGGAGTCCCCAAGAAATTCATCGAATGTGCAGATAACTGGATACTTGTCGTTGTCACGACCAAAGTCAGTAACCTTTTTGTCACCGTCAATGACTCCTAAATAAACCCCATGATGATAATATGCGGCAGAGCCTGCATCTCGTTTGACAGGATATGAATGATTTCCAGGAATATAGATGTGATCATTCGGTCTGCAAATCATAAAAAGTGACCATTGGTTAGCGAGGGCCAAGTATATGAAGCTCGAATTTATACTTACTCCAAGTCCTTGGGATTAACAACCTCATCTTGAAAGGTAGATGCTACTTTGTAATCTGATCCAATAAATGTTTGAATATTTTTCAGTTTGTTTACACTCCATTTGCAAAATGAGTACTGGCCAAATAGTATATCACCAAATGACATTCTAATAAAATTATTCGGTTCTGCTTTGTTCTATTCGATTATGCACTATAACAACAAAAAAGAATGATACTAAGAAAAGAATAACAAGGACGTAACTCGGATATATAAAAGAATAATCACAATAACTTATATTAACAATAAAATCTATATCACAGATACAGCTCTGTATATATAGAGGTGAGTGCATATGTGGATGAGGATTTTATGGAGATATATCTGCACACCCTATGATATTCATGATCATGATAACGCGCTCTATCAAGTTCAATATAAAAACTCAAAATTAAGAAAAACTCTTTTCCAATCCCTGATGGTATTCCAGGCACGAAAATTTTCGAAGTTAGCGTCCAATGTTTTGATCCAAAGAAATATTTCATAGTAACATTCTTATAAACAAGCAAATGTTATTTGCCACGAATCACATAAAAAATGGGAGATTAATCAGCGTTCGTTGATCTAATAATTAAAAAAATCATATGCATGTCTTTCTTAAGAAAAATATACCTATACATTGTTCAAATGACTCAGCATTGTGTCTACAGGTAGCTGATAGCCGGTATCACATATTTTGTTCGAACATCCAGTTAGACTTTTGTAATATGGGTGCCACACATAGATTTTTGTGTGATCAATTGTATTTCCATACAGTTTACCTTAGAGGTAATCAAATTAGGATGAACACATAACTGTACTGAACGAATTAGGCCAAATGTCCTAATCATATCACAAAAGTAACGCAAGAAACGGACTGAGGATAAAAAGTTAAACTTAAAAACATTATGTCAAAAGATTGAGAATGGTTTAAAGAATCTAATGGCGTAGTTCTTTTTGTCGAAACAAAGAACTCTTTCTGATAAAAAAAACGTCTCTCGAGGACAAGACCACCGAATTCCTTGTATTGATCGATCTAGGACAAAGAATAGCTTGCGTGATCATATTAGACAAGTAACAAAATAGAAAAAAGTGAAAACTACTGGTTTTCGTGAACAAGATCACTCATTGGAGGCTAATTAATTTTTAAGAAAAAAAATAGACCGTAATATAGAGCTTTGATGCCTGTATCTCGAAAAAAAAGAATGAGCTCAAACGGATGTTACTGAATAAAGTTATAAATTGTTTTCGAAAATCCGTTGAAAGTCGTGATCAAGTTTGGGCGGAATGCACTATATGATCACGGGCCACAAAACTCACATAGCAGGTGAACAGCAATAATGAAAGAGTAAATGGTAGAAAAATAAGAACAAACTTTTTTCTTCTCGTCCTTATGTAGTTTCAAAAAAGAAGAAGTAATATTAGTGTAAGAATGAGATGTTTTTTGAATTTTGAAAAGAGTTTCTTTATATGATATTACCTTTCTCTGCTGGTGTAGCGGTAGTCGAGTTACTTTAATTGTAACTGATGATATACTCAGCCTTATCTTGCAATAAAATAAAGAAAAAAACCCATAAACTCACTTTATCTTTTCTTTTCATCACATGTATATTTGAAAATATGATTTTAGTGTTGGTTTTTTCCAAGATAAAGTTACAATATTGCGATTTCACCATAAGAGAGAAACATTTTAAAGTGAATTAAGAGGTAGAAGGATTTATTTAGAAAATAAAATTTAATCATTTTTCGGCATGTGTACATGAATTAATCCTCTAGGGGTGGCGGTATATATACCACATTGAGTATATCTCAAAAATGGGATATCACAGAGCTCCGTGGGCTATGGATCTAATTTCATCCCATCCTGCATACCTCTGCGATACCTGGGTGTGGGTAAGTATAAGGATTAGTATGTGAGTGGGTGTGTCAGGATGAGAGCATGAAATCGAGATAATGCTCAAGTCTAGATCCACATCACATCCACACCCTAAAATCTTAAAATAAAACAGAATGAATTACATTCTACAAAATAACAATATCTTTAAGGAAATATTTTTTTCTTTCTATAAATAGTCATTTTATTTAACAATATTTTATTTTATTTCTCCGAACTATAATCGAGATAAAAAATATCAATAAAGAATTGATTCAAATAAACTATTCATAACAATGCTATTAAAAAATATATTTAATGTAATATGAATATTATTCAATCATTTATAATCATCCTTCCTCTTTTCATACATTCATTCAATTGAAACATTGTGCAGTAGACTTCGATTCACTACTTTCTAAAACAAACGAAACATTTTATCCATAGAATAACATTTCGTGTGATTTTCTATATCTTCGAAATTCTTTTGATTCATCTGAGTAACAACAATGAAAGTAATGAATGAGAATATTGTTTTCATCATTTTATGTCATAAAGAGTTCATAATTCAGAATGAGATAAATGGCACTCGCAATATAATTCAGATTACCGTTGATTACTTCTCAATATATGATTGATGGTATGTAATAACAATAATTCATCCTTTCTCTTTCTCTTAACAATAATCAACAAAATTATTGAATCGAATTCAAACAGGAAAACACCTGTACTATGATATTGATATTCTGTAAATGATGCTTAAAATGAAAATATTCATGGGCTTTTCCCAATTGAAATTTATATGAATCTTTCTACTAATCTTCACATAATCATACAAATTTCATTTGTAAGCACAAGATTCTTAAAATAATTGAGATTTTGAATAGTTTTATTATTAGTTATAATAAAATAAAATAAACTAAAGCTTTCAGCACTTCAAGTGCCATCGTCAGTAGAATGCAGTAAAGTAACATTATAATTACAATTGTGTATCACTGAATTTAATCAAGTAATAAATACACAAATAATAATGTACGATGATATTGTCTGTATAACTATAAATAAAGATAATGATGACAATAATGTAACAGATCTTGATAGAATTAATAAAATAATTGAGATTTTGAATGGTTTTATTGTTAGTTATTATAAAATAAACTAAAGCTTTCAGCACTTCAAGTGCTATCGTTTATTTTATCAAGATCTGTTACATTATTGTCATCATTATCTTTATTTATAGTTATACAGACAATATCATCGTACATTATTATTTGTGTATTTATTACTTGATTAAATTCAGTGATACACAATTGTAATTATAATGTTACTTTACTGCATTCTACTGACGATGGCACTTGAAGTGCTGAAAGCTTTAGTTTATTTTATTTTATTATAACTAATAATAAAACTATTCAAAATCTCAATTATTTTATTAATTCTATCAAGATCTGTTACATTATTGTCATCACAAGATTCTTTTTTTAAGTCTAGTAAAAGTTGATAATGTAAATATATATATATATGCAACGCATTTTATTGAGTTGTTTAAATGATTCAAAAGAACAGAAAACAAATACTTGCTATTGATTACACGTAAGTGGAATAATAAATTATTAGCGTCTTAATACGTGCAAAGTTTTGAAATTGTATTGAAACGAAGTCCTTTTGGGCATGATTTTCTTTCGATGCGTAATGCTACAAATAGGAAACAAAATGAATAAATTATATAAAACTTCAAATTATGTTTAGATTCTTACATCCAGATATCATTTTACATTCAAAATATTTTCCTTGCTCATGCATGTCAGTATCAGGAAAACTACCAGGAGTGGAACAAGTAAAATATTCTATAACAAACAAGAATGAGTTCTGATGTGTTAAAAATCAATCTGAATACATACTAGTCTCGCATTTAGGACCACTATAACCTGGCGCACATTGACAATAAGCAAAACGTGTTGAACCAATAATATTTTCTCTACAAGCTCCTCCATTTAAACATAAGCTTGCCGAACAAAAACCCAAAGTACCTATTGTAAAATTATAATTTGATAGTAAGATAGCGAAAAACTATTTACCTTTTAATTCACAATAATCTCCCCAGGTACCATATCGACAAAGACAAACACTTTGGTTTGGTCCATTTGGATTTTGAATAGCACAAACACCGTTATTTTTACATCGAACTTTTTCACATAAATTATAATCTGAACAATAAATAGCAGAAAACAATAGAGATGACCAAGATGATTATTATATTAGTAAAAATAAAGAATATTACCGCTTTTATCTTGACAGATTGCTCCGCTATAACCAGATGGACAATGACAAATACCACCGGTAAAAACACCACCATTCAGGCATGCTGATGAAGTTGAAGGATATGTAGTTGACGAGCCTGTCAATGGAACTGTTGTGTCTAGACGAAGAAAAAACAAACGGTAATTAGAATTAGTATTTGTAGAAAAGAAGTTTGTATCTATTACTGACCACAATCTGCATCTGTTGTTAGTGCTAAATCTCCTGTGGTTGTATCTATACAAGCACATGCATACGATGTCCCACTGTCATTACTTTCAAGACATTGAATCAACTTTCCATTGTTATTTCTGCACACATTGTTTGCAGGATTTGCTCGGTTACAAAGACCTATAAAATATAAGTAAGTTTCTTTTGATGTTTCTTTTATTGCATTATTTTCATACGACAAGGTTGATTAATCTCGTATGCACTACCAGGACATGTACATAAAGCACTACCACCCCCCAAATCGTAACAACGATAACCATTTGTCTCATTGAAATAATTACCTAAGTTGCATACATTATTATTGCAACCTAAAAAAATATACGATCAAAGATTTGTCTATACATATATATATATCATTTGTTTTTACCTTGTGCTGATGCATATGAAAAGATGAGACAAATAACAATAATAATAATAGATATCTTCATTTTTGTACGAGTTTTGAAAATGTGAATGATTTTTAGGCTCAGCACGAGTGTTTTTATATAGAAATATGTACAAATCACTTCCTGCTTTTTAAATAACATATATATCCAATGTAAATTGTTTTTGAGTAGGTATCAAATTTCTAGAATGCTACTTATTTTTTCCCATACACATTGGTAAATAATATTTAGTAACTTAAAACTCACAGCAAATAACATACAAAATATACTTCCTATAAATGTTTCATCTATAATTAGACTCTTACGGGACAGTACCCACTATTTTGCATGTGTAAATGATACTTAGTTATAAACGTCATATTTCATCTAGATATTTTAACACTTAAATAAATATGAGAAGAGAATCAGGCTGAATAAAAATATTATGAATTTAATTGAATTTCATCTGCTTGTCACGACTACTATAATGCAGATATGTTGTCTTATTTGATTCGCACACTGCTTGCATCAATTAATACATAGATAAAAGCGGTAATATATTGAAATTGTAGCTGTATTAATAGAAATTTAACTCTATTTTGACCTTAGATTATAGGTAAGACAATTTTTATATTTCACAAACTTTATTTACATTTGAATGTTTAAGTCAACTGCAATTTTGTAAAGTGTGATCCAAAAGTCTTGATACTTGACGGAAATTTTTTTATATCTCTTCTATTATAAACAAGAAAATGTTCAAAGTGTGGCATATAATATCTTCCTACTAGATAACTCTCATCGTAAGTTTCCATAACGATATCATAAACTATAAGGTAGATACATAACCTAGAATCGTGAGAAGTTTTTGTGCCGCATGACTCGAAACTGTTACATTATAGAAGATGGTAATAAAAAAACCTTTTTAACACAATAAAAGTATTCACTCATATTTTGCATAATTTGAAAGTATATGTTACAATTTATATACATAATAATATTTCACAATAACCTATCAGACTTCCAATAAAATACGACTACGAGTACATACGGATCAGTATCGTATCTTAAATGTTCTTTATACGTAGGCTAATATGATGGTTATCTCGATTTTTAGAAAAATAATAACATATTATCAATAGATGAGTAATGAATTGGAATACTTCAGACAAAGAAAAATCATGTTTCTCTGTTATAAGTAAATTTTAGAATAGGTTCACAATATTAGTTTATATTTGTATTGCAGAAATGGATATCATACGAAAGTAACCTCTATTAAAATAGTTTCGTCATCTGCCAAGTAACAAACGATTCATTAATTTACTAAATAATAATTTTGTTGTTATTTTTAAGAGCTTTAAAATAAATATGAAATCAAATACATATAAAAAATTATAGATTAATGAATTAAATGTAAAAATTAACTAAGTTAACTATATATCCATAAAATATGCACTATCACATATGATCATGTTCATATGACAGGCAGAATAGAATACACAGGGTAAAAATGCATTGAGAGTATGACATCAGCAGAAAGAGAACAGAAATGCATCGTCATCGTTGCAATAGAACAAGAAACGTGTATATATACATACACGTACAAACGATAGTTTATATATTCATACGTATTCTTTTTCAACAAAGTAACAATGTCGTCTACTACACACAAAAATGTTATTCTCGTTGGTGGTGCAGGTGACTTAGGCAAATATATTCTCACTGCTCTACTTGCTGATTCATCCTTTAATGTTACGGTTCTTACTCGAATTGACTCCAAGTCTACATTTCCATCGAATGCAAAAGTAGTTAAAGTCGATTATAAAGACAAAAATGAAATTAAAAAAGCATTAACTGGCCAAGATGTCGTAGTTTCTGCCGCTGGTGGTAGTGCCATGTCTGAAAAATTAGATCTAACATTGATTGAAGCATCTGTCGAAGCTGGTGTTAAATGGTATATTCCATCAGAATTTACTGCTGATACAAATCATCCACGTTTTTCATCGCTTCCTTTCATAGGTGCAAAACTTGAAGCTATTGAATTATTAAAAAAAAACCAATCACGTATAGCACACACATTAATTAGTACTGGTGGTTTTCTTGATTGGGGTTTTGACAATGGCTTTCTTGGCTTTGATGTTTCCAATCATGCAGTTACTCTTTATGATGAAGGCAAAAATTATATTTCTGGTACAACTCTTCCATCAATTGGTAAAGCTGTTGTCGCTATTATTCATCATCCAGAATTAACTTTGAACAAACGTATTTATATTGCTGATGCAGTATTTACGCAACAACAAGCTTTAGCTCTTTTTGAAAAATATTCTGGTACAAAATGGACAGTGAAACGTATAACTACCGAAGATGCACTTAAACAAGGTGCAGACTACTTTGCAAAAGGTGATATAATGAAAGGTGTTCAAGCATATATTATGAGTGCGATATACTGTCAACAAGGTGCAAGTGATTTTCGAGGCAAAACAAGTAACGACGCTTTAGGTGTAAAAACTGTTTCTCTGGAACAAGCGGTGAAAGAAGCAGTTGAACGAAGTAAAGCTGATGCTACTCATTAAACTATCTTTTATTGTATTCTAATTTACTTATGAATAAATTTCATTAGAATTTTTATTGTATAAAAATTGAATTTTACAAAGGAAATAAATCTTTAGTAAACATACAGTTGTATCTTCAAGAATATTTTCCTTCGGAAATTATTGTTGTTTGCAACAATTTCAATATATGTAGTATTCAGACAAGATTTAACGCAAAAAATGATTTGAATACTGCATTTTACATTAGAAAAAATAATTTATGAGCGTATTAATTCATTGATTTTGAATTGTAATAGTTTATAGAAGAAACTGAAAATATAATGTTGTTTTATTTAATATTCAGAATATTGTAAGAAATAAACAACAATTATTTTAAAGTTTTCCTTAACGATGAAAATTAATAGCAAGAAATGAGTATTTTCGGAGATATACAGTTGAAAATTACGCAGACAAAATTGGTTAGAACAACTATGAAGATCCAATGAAAAGTAATATGTACTGCTGCTGCTGTTTATGTCAATCAATCATCGAACATTCTTTAAAATAAAAAGAATTCACCAACTATAATTAGTCAACACACACGCATAAAAAATTTTACTCGTTCTCGTTCTTTTCTTTTTCTATTCATTTTTTTCTAAAGTGCTATTACAAAAATTCGATTGTATGTTTGCACAGCAACAACAGACATTCGAAACACTATTTTGAAAAGTGAAAAAGCAAATTCATTATCATTATATCAACGTGTGTATGTGTATATAAATACGATGCAACTATTAGAAACAAAAGTGCTCAATGCTATTCATCAAGCACGATATGAACAACTTGAATTATATATTCGTCATAAATATAATTTAAATGTATCAACAGAGGATGGTCGTAATGGTTTATTTTTTGCACTTGACATTTCTGATGCTCGTCAACGTCGACGAATGATAAAATTTTGTTTAGATCATGGTATTAATCCATTACAAAAAGAACATATTAATGGTTATACACCATTACAGGAAGCTATTGCTCGACAACAAGTTGATTCTGTTCAACTTTTACTTGCTAATATTAGTGGCGAAATTGATTGGCATGCATTTGATGCTCGTGGTCGTACAATTCTTCATCAAGCAGTTGAATCAAATAATATAGCTATACTTGAATCTCTTATAAATTTAATGAATCATTATGGTGTTTTAGTTGATATACCAGATAAAAATGGTTTAACACCATATTTATTAGCTACAAAACTTCATTTACGTGACATGGCACAAATACTTGTAAACAAAGGACATGCTAGTCAACGTCAATGTGATTTAACAACACATCGTACTGCAAATGATTGGGAAATTGTTGGTATTGAAGCACATTCTTCACTCGTACGTGATAAACTTCAACAAGAAATTAATAATGCTATGAATGAAGGTAAAATAAATAAAGTTAAACAATTAAAACATATTTATGATACACAATTATTATCACCTCCAAATCAATTAATTCGTTCTAATTCTTTCATACCAATCTTACCTATGTCAAGTTCAAATGATAAATCAAGAATGTCTATTAATGAAATGATTGATCGATTCCCAGGAGGTGTTGTACCTGACACATATATAACTAGTATAAAAGAGCCACAAAATTTTCGTTCGAAACATGGTTTACAGACATCACAATCGTTTTCAACTGCACTTCCATCTATATCTACTACTCGACGATATCGACCACCGTTAACAGTCAATGCATTACTAGACTTATTTCAGGTAATTTAATAAATAATACGATTCTGATTATATCTTCTTTTTTTAATAAAAAAATATATATCTACCATATTTATTTGAATTATAAAATTGTCTCCCTCATTTTCACTCAATCTCTGTTTTTTATTTTCTTTTCAGTTTAAAAGTAGGATAAAAAGAATAACAAATACATATACACATGTTTTTCTTTATTTTTTCTTTCTAAATTTTTCTTTCGCATAGGTAGCTGCCGAACAATTTGCACCATCATATCGTTCACCAATGAGAAATAATCCCGAAAAATCATTTGATCAATATGCACGTCGAAATGATTCAAAAAATCCACATCGTAGTACATTAGCTACACTTAAAACTGATACAAATGCATCATCTACAGCAAACCGACGACTTTCAAATAATGCTATTACAAATAAACGAGTTGCGTAAATTATATATTTGTGAGAAAAAAAATATTTTATTAAAAAATAATATTATCCAAAGAACTGATACCACCTAAGGTGGGTTTGTCGAGGTTGTTCAAGAATATTTTGCCAATCAGATTCATATCGTGTATGTTCACCAAGAAGAATTGTACCACAAGAGATTATTGATTCTTTATTTGAATGTAACATACGAATAACGAGTTCAAAATGTACATATACTGATTGAATATCATTTTGTGGAATATTTTGCATAATACTCTCATTTATTTCATATATATTATTATTTTTTGTTACTGATCCATCGATAATAAAAGGTGAAAATTTCTTTTGAAAAAATCGACGACCACGATGAAAAAATACTGCGGTTAAGTGAGCATCTATTAAAGATAATAAAAATAGAATGAGAGTGATCATATTTTCCTTGTATATTTCTTACCGATTTTTTCATCTGTCTCTATTTTACAAAGATAACGTAATTTGTTAACTTTAATTGTCAATCTTTCTGCAGTTGGTAAGTGACTAATACCAAGATATATCTCACCAAATGTAATCTAAAAACAAGAAATATAAATTTTTCTAAATAAATTTTTCTTTTATACTTGAGGAAGATCTTTAAATTCAATGATTTGTTGATATTCATTTAACATAGATGGAGTCAAACAAAGTACTGATTCAAACATTAAATCTTGAATACCAGATCGATCGACACAAAAAAATAAAAATCGAAGTGATGTTGATGTTATATTATCTTTACTCAGTTCAAATTGTAAATGTTCATCACATAATAGTTTGTCATCTGATATTCGAACTAATTTCCTAAAAGATATAAACAATCCATGTTATATTTATCAATCAAAATTTATTTATTAGACTTTGTTGTCTTTTCTTGCTGTTTTTTCCATGTAATGAATTGTACACTTGACCAATGTTTTTTATGTATGTCTTGAAATTTTTTCAATATCTTATTATTTATTAATTGTACGTGAATAAAAAATTCGGCGTGTTCATCAAATGCTGGATGTAATGCAATCTGTTCAACATTTGTTAAATGAATCATTAGTAGATTTTTTATAGTATCAAAATGAAGTTTAGTATGAACTTGAGTAAATGGAGGTGATAGATGATTATTAACCATTGTTCTCGTTGATGTTGCATCATCATTCGAAAGAGATGAGCGTGTCGATTGTGATAGAAAACGTTTTCTATTAATTGACGATAGACGATCAACATCACTATCTGATATTGAGCAGGGAATTGATCTTCTTTCCAATTCCGAAGGCCGAATTTTACTTAAGTTATTAAAAGTAGTACTATTGTCTGTTAGAACAATTGATTCATAACTTGGTGGTGATGATGTATATACAAATGTATCTTCTTTGGGTGCTGTAGGGATCGAAACACTTTGTTTTTTATCTTGATAAAATTTATATTATATATTAATATCATTTTATTACTATATGTATAATAAATACTTACTAAAGTTTGCTTTCGAAGAATATCGTCGTCGTAAAGATGATCGTGAATAAATAAAACAAAGTAAAGTACAACCGACAAATGATACAAATATTGCAGCAACAAATACGATTAAAATTCGATCATATAATGAAAATGTTCGATGCCAAGGCAATGCACGAGTCAATTTATCAAGATAATCTTCGTCATTCACATTAGTATTCATTCTTACACCGATATTGCTTCACATTTTCTATTTGATTCTTGATTATATACTTTTTTAATACTTCGCATATATGTGAAAATGAGACAGCTGTGTTATATATAAATATAAAAAAATATTTTCGATGAAAAGCAGAAAGAACAATATTGTCGATTTTGTTTTAGTACCATACGAATCATTTCTCTTTCTTTTTTTCTCTTTTACTTCACGAATAAATACAAAGATCAGTAATAGAATACATCATGTGCCACAAATGTATATTGATTTAAGGCTGAGTAATGTGTGTCCTCGATTTATATCGATACACAAATAAAAGAATATACAATATATTTTTTCTTTTCAGATATATTAGAAATTCAAGGAGAAAAAAAAGGATTTTGTTTATCAAATGTTTGACATTGATTCATTATTCGATATATATGGTAAATCGGTTTTTAAATAAATATTAAGGCTTGATGAAGAAAAAACAAATAAACATACACGTACAAGTTTTATATACATATATAGAGCTTGTATTAATAAGAATGAAAAAGAAAAGACAATGAATAATGCAACTAAGTGTTTTTTTTTCTCATGACATCACCGAGAGTCATTCGGTTATATATGAATTTATGCCAATATGTATATTAAGATTCGCGTAATTTTGCTAATCGTTGACTAAGTTCATCCTAGAAAAAAAATATTCAAAAATAAAAATCAATAAACTCAAAATTAAGTTTTACTTGTTCTTTAAGAGCAACAGATGTGCCTACTGCAGGTGCTGTTGGAATATTAAGATTAAGTTCAATTCCAGCTTCATCAGCCATTTCTTGCATAAGATTAGCAACTTGATCTACCGGTTGTTGTACACTTGTAGCATTTTGCATAGCATCATCCATAACTTTTGTTTTGACTTCTAAATCTTCAAAATTTTTCTCTAAACTATCCATTAATTTTGATGTTTCAGTTAATGGCATATTTGCAGTTACTTTTGACATTAATGTAACTGTTTGTTTAAGACTTGCTGCCATCTAAGAATATATATATATAGATTTTATCTAAATTTATATAAAATAATTTAATGAAAATTTACTTGTCGTTGTGCTGCTGAATTTGCAACACGTGCTTGTACACCATCAACACGAGCAGCCATTCGTTTACAATTCAATGATTCACTATGATGTCGAATAGCATTTTCAGCATGAATTTTAGCTGCTTCAATATTGCCTTTCATTAAAGCTTTTTTAACTTTATCGCGTTCAGCTTTTTCTTGTTTATCATGTGTAATTGATTGCCGTTCAAGCATTTTTGTTTGCATTTTGAATTGAAAAGCTAATTTGTCTGTGAAAATAAAAAAACATTAAGAATCTATATTGTAAAACTAAAGAAAATGAACTGTTACATACCCGACATGATAATATCCTTTTTTTATTGATTTCAAATGAAGAATTGCTTTGAGAAAAGAAATTGATCTGAAATTTAAAAAGAAACAATAATTAGATTAAATAAAATAGTGTTCTTAATGTTAACTAATATTAGATAAAAGTAACTTATTAAAAATACTCTGTCATCTGCTTTAGAACTCTAACTAAAACGGATTCAAAATGGTATTTATCTATAAAAGCAACACATTCTCTGATCTGCCAAATACTTAACGAAGACCGATACATTCGATTTATTACCAAAACAGTACTTAAAAATTCTTAAGAATAAATAAAGAAAACTCGTAAATATAGCTTAAGCATTGTTGTTCTTCAAAATGTATAACATTTACAAATCTAAATCATGTTAATAAGAAAAAATCTTTCATCACGATGGATAAGAATATTAATAATGAATATCACTGACTTACAAGCAATCGTAAATATATTCTAGAAATGACCGTTATAATACAATGTATGTGTCAGATAGTATAATGACTCATAAGTATGATATATGTAGTTATGATTCATAGAGAGTATTCTTTATTTCTTCAACCCTTACTAATTTTTATCAGTCAAAACAATAAAATGAATGAAGATTTCATTCAATAAAGAAATAATGAATGATATTATTTCTTATAGATGTCACTAGTTTACGCGTATCTGTAATTCATGCAACCACCACAACCACCCAGAGAATCACATTATCTAAATTTTTGCAAATTTTCCGGTGAAATTTTCTGTGGAAACATTTAAAACTATAAAACAGCCAGAAGAAAAACAAGCTCAAAAGATAAAATTTTTTTCTACGCCAAATATGTTTTTCAGTGTATATTTTTGTGCTGATTTCGAATATGCTATTAAGTTTTTGATTAAGGCAATTAATAATATTGAAAACAATCAGATACGACCTTTTCTAAAATAAAGTCTATCGAAAAAGACTAGAAAAGTGTTGAAAAAACTTTATTAGAAAGAATTCAAAATAACAAACTCTTTTCTGATATGAACCGACACATTCGAATGTACTCTTTCAAATGAGACTACTTTTGAATTGATCTATCACGTTGATATGATTAAGTGACCCTACATGTTTGGACATGCTTTCTAAAAATGGTATATAGTAGGGTGCAATAAAAGTTTGAGAAAAACGAACTTTCAATACCGCCAAAAGATAGCTCATCATCGATAGTATTTGTGCTAAAAAGATCTCTTTTCTAACTTTTAACATTGTTGAGAAAATGAAAATTTAATGGGAAGAATCATCCTAAAATATTTTCAGCTTTTTAACTTGTTTTTCTGGCTCTTTTATGGTTTCAAATGTTTCCACAGAAAATTTCACTGGAAAAACTTGATGTGGGCACCTCACTTTATTTTGCAAAAATGTAGATTATGTGGTTCTGTGGGTGGTTGTGTTGAAGTGGTTAATTTTGTGGACTTTGTTGACGGTGTATTTTCTCTAAGTCCCTATTAAAGTGGGTGAGTGTGGGTGGTTGTGGTGGTTGCATGAATGACAGACACCCTTGACCTGGTGATAAGAATGATACAAATATCATAAATTATTCATCTAGCTAAAATTAATAATAACCAAATCAAATTACTTAAATTCATTCTGCTGACGGAGAGAATCGAAAAAAAGCTTCTATCATTTACTTTATATGACTATAATTTACTGACAAACGATATTGACTGGTTATTAACAATGCAATTAGATATTTACTTTTTAAAATCATATGTAATCTATTATGGCGGTAAATCGAACAGTATTTTAAAGCATATGAAACAAAATCGTACTTTCATACTCTTCGATATATATATTAAATCTTGAAAAATGAATTCAAGCAGTGATTACTTGAAATTAAAAAATTAGAAGTACAAGTATGTAACTACTCACCTTATTCTCTTTTGATTGATATGTCATATAATTTTATAAAGCGCATTTCTCACGAAGAAAAAAAATAATTGCAATATAATTTCCGAAATAAGTTTAATGTTCAAGTTTAATAGTATTTAATATTTTACATCTGATCCAATAATAGAGACAATAATTTAATTTTAAAGAATCAGAGTTTATAATAAATAAATACAAAAACAAATAGTTTTATTAAAATACCGAATTAGTTGTTTTTAGATATGACAACAGTTTACTATGCATCTGGATCTAGTTGACTAAATACACGTCCACCTTTTCGACTTGGTTCTATGTTAGATAACTTCAGTTGTGTCTTGACTGGCATATTATATTCAGTTGATAGATCTATTTCAGATTCATTCATTTCAGAATTCATGGACTCATCACTATTATTGTGTTGCAAAAATGATTCATCCTTATTTTGTCGATTTCCATAAAAATGAAATATCAAAAATGATACGAGTCCAACGACGCACAGTAAAATAATAGTTGATAATACTAAAAATGATTTACCCGAAGGTTTAGAGGTTTTGTTGGAAGAATGTTGATTATTGAGAGATGTTATTGGCAATCGCGATTTGTTTGATGGTTTTCCTAAAATTGTTGCAGAAGTAGCCATGGATAGGTCTGTTATTATTCCAAGTGATGTAGTGGTATCTATGAATTTAGGAAATGTTGTATCTTTATTTAAAAGTGTTATGAATGACTTTGTTGTTATTTCAAGTTCTCAGGTAGTATCTTAGGGTTTAAAAAATGTTGTACCTGTATCTGAAAGTATGATTGATGATGTTGTTATTATTTGATGTTTTGTAGTCATCGTCAATGTACTAGTCACAATAGCTGTTGTTGTTGTTGTTGAAGTTGTACTGGTCATAGGAGCTGTTGTTGTTGAAGTTGACGTGGTAGTAGTTGTACTGGTCACAGAGGCTGTTGTTGTTGTTGAAGTTGACGTAGTAGCAGTTGTACTGGTTGTTGTCTATTGAAAATGATGTCAAATATCAGCTTATACAACTTCGGTTTCGATACTAAGAAAATAATCTTTTACTGTCTAATAATTGGATAATAACATCTCAAATTCGAACCTATACAGATGATAGTACCTTCACGTTATACGAACTTTATAAAAAAAATATTTGTAAATAAATAATCATAATTTTTAACCTTTCAAATGATAATTAATCTGACTTTTTCTAATCGATACATTTCCTACTAATTTCAAATGTATTTGTTCTAAACAGAAAATTTGTATACAATTTTCGTATTTAAAAACAGTACAAATTTTATATGTATTTTCTCTTTCTAGTAGATCTTGCAATCGTTGTATAACTCAGACTTCAAATAAAGAAATCTAATACGAATATTTAGTCTCGAAACGTTTTTATCAATCTTGTGTTTCTTTTCAAGGTACTTGAGAACTGAAAGAATTAAACAATTATTAGTATTTAATAAATATTCAAAAAAAAAGTAGAACATTCAGCAATTTACCGATGTGCTAGTTGTTTTTAATGAGCGAAGATTAATATAGTATCCACCTTGAGCTGTCCAGTTACTTACATAATAAAATTCATCAGCCCTGAAAGAATCTAGTTGTGTCCAGTTAACGTGCGTTAGTAATAGTTTTGACGTTGATTGAGGATCATAATAACAATGAATAGATGCTTTTCCAGCACTACCAGTTACGCATTTACTATTGTTAACCGTTTCAGAAATATTCATTTCAATACGACACATAATTGGTTGTGTATCAAATGTTAAGTATAAAGTATACAAAAAATTGGATGACCAGCTTAAGTTTTTGTAGTGAATTATAACTTTTGATGACGTTGACTCAAGGCTAGGTTGGAAGGAATCAGTATCGTTATCAACATTTACCGTGCCACAGAATTGTTGAATATCTTCCGGTATTGATTTATTGTTGGTACTTGGTGACAGTAAAGGCGTGATATCAGAAGATATCCTAGTTTGTTTTGTTAGCTCGTCACAAAACAGAGATGTTAAAGATTTGTAAACTTTTAAAACCGTGTTGTTTGGAAAACGATTAGTCTGATTATTGCATGATACATTCGATGAAAGAAGTTTTAGCCAGTCATTTACAACAATATATTCATATGAAGAACAGCGTAGATATGATTTCCCTTCTAATACAAAATCTAAGGTATTTAATGCACCAAAACAACAACAGTAGATAAACATAATAGACGGCAACAGAAATTGAAAATAATTACAAATCATTTTTTAACTTAAGAATTAACAAACTAAACATACATATACATCAACAGAATAAATTTGATTACTATTAGCAACAGTTAAGATAGAGCCAAAGTTGTGAATGAAAATAATGAACTGATCTTATTTTCTATCAGAATCATTATGTTAATATGTTAGTACAATCGAAATAATCAGTAGTATTCTAGATTTATTAGATAGATCTTACATAGATTAGTCTTTTGTAGTACAAGCATAGAAATATCATATCATATCAAATTATTTGTAAGCTAAAATAGTATTAATTTAATAACTCTCACTGATCAATTAAGATAAATAATAACAAGAACAATATATATATTTAAGTATCTATTAAATACTTATTCAACAAACTTAACAAAAAACGAACTATAGATTTGATTAAATCATTTATTTTAAGCTCATATTAGATATTATATGAATCTCCAATTATTGAAAAAATGCGAAGTTAGTTATATTCATTGTATGGAAAACATTTTCTATACAAAACTAAAGACTTAATCTGAATATATTTATAATCGATGTTTACATGGAAAAGACTTGAGCGAAATATCAATCTCTAGGATTTTTTTACTATCTAATCCGTTTAAGTCAATAAAAGTAATTATTTCTGAACAGATAGAACATAGCTGAATGTTCTATAAATATTTTGTTGGCAATCAGATTAGTTTGTAAGCAAAAAAAATTATGTTTAATAGAAAAATCATAAATATATCATTTCATTTAAGTGTGGACTATTCTCTTTCTCGTAGAGAAGAGTCCAGTAAGAATAAATCGTTTGCTTGCTTGTCTGTCCGCAGGGTCAAAAAAACATTGAAAACCGATTTTCTGGAAAAGACATTTCCATAGGTATTTCGTTGCGGGGAGTTCGAATCTGAGGTCTATTGGGTGACCATGATTAGGGGTGGGTGAAAGGTCAAAAAAACATTGAAAAGCAGTTTTCTGGAAAAGACATTTCTGGAGGTATCTCGATGCGGAGAGTTCGAATCTGAGGACTATTGAGTGACCGTGTGGAGGGGGCAGAGATAAAAGTTCAAAGGTCAAAAAAACATCGAAAATAAATTTTTTACTTTTTTAATTTGTTTTTCCAGTACATGTGAAGAAAATGGATTTCTACGAGAAAGAGCAAAGCGAGTCCTCGGACGAGCGTTACTTGTTATGCTAGAATAGTTAGTGTTAATCAAACTTCGTATCATTTGGTGAATAAAAGTAAAACAGTGCTATTTTTTTTAAGTTTCAAATGATTATAGTGTATATTACTTAATAAAACTGTTTTATCAAGTCGTAGACTGTAAAATTTAAGTATTGCATCAGTAAATATAAAAGATTTGGTCATTGTACTAAATAAAATAGTATTATTCTCAGTCGATCACCTCTAGATTATTATCAACCTAAGCTTGTGATCAACGATAAATTATAATTGTATAGACATGATGATACTACTAGAATGATATATAGTGATAGTGTTCCCTACAACCACCCACACTCACACGAACACCCTTCTTTTTCTTTATTTTTGATCATCTATAACAATAAATTAAATGGTAAGTATTTAGTTACACAAGGACGACAGACAGGAGTGAGGTAGGGAAGGAGTGGGTGATGGTAACAGAAAGTTGCTGCCTATTCAGATTATACGGACCGAAAAGGATTCGTATTTTAACAGCATACACCTTCAAAGATTCCATTATTGCACCATTTACCGACCGTTTTCATGGACTTAGATACTCTCATGTATAAAACAGCAAAAAGAACGTCACGTTTCAGGCATGAAACGGTATAGATACGGTTCATCATTATTCACCGGATACGACCTGAAACGGCGCCGTTTCGGTACCAACAAGACTACATATACAAGTCTGGGTATACGGATTACGGTGTTAAGCGGCGGGAAACGACATTCGTTCACAGCCGTTTTCTAGCCGTTTCCTGCCTTAAACGACGCCGGAAACAGCGTTCGAAATCATCAACCTGGGATATATAGGTGATTAAATTACGAAACTTCAGAAAAGAAATAAGCTTTAAAGAATCCCACAGTGACAAATGCTTGTACATCGAAACACAAGCTAATGACAAGGACCCAAAAGAAAAACAAAAATATGTGAAATATTATGCACGGGAAAATCTTGATTACAAGAGACGTCTCTTCATGATCGACAATGAACTGGAAAAATTTCAGTGAAGGATTTCAATAAATAAAAATTTTTGCTCTTTCTATTCGATCAATTTTTTGTATTAAAATATGTCTGATTTTTTTTTCTTCATTTTGTCTGTTTATTCTGTTTTTTTCTCATATTTATTATTACCAAGAAATTAAATATTCCTGATGTTATTTATTCACTGATGAATATTAATGAACGATTTGTTCAATCTATATTTGATCCTCTTTATATTGATAATCTTAATATTACGCATATGACTATGAAGTCATTTTATCATCGTAATTTTTCAGTATCTAAACAAGTTCTTTTATGTATGTGTCATTTTAACATTGATTTCTTGGAAAACTAAACGAGTGATTAACATTAAAAAATTCTAAAATCGTAAATAATATTATTTTGAATTATATTAAAACGAATATATATATATATATATATATTTCAACTTTTTCAATTTTTATTCATTGTTTAAGAACTACATTCTTACCATTATATTTATTTCTTTAATAGAATCATCAAAGATTTGTTTTATTATTGCTATACATCCTCTATCTAACTTCATTCTTTTCCATAATATCAAATAACTGTCTACGAAAATGCTGAGAAGTCTATCCAGTGTGATATGCACAGGTTGATCAAGGAGCGAATTACTGTATATGTTCATAAAATTCAGTAGGGCAATATCAAATCTTCAATGAAACATCAGAAATAAAAATCATGTATAGATTCTTTTCAATATTCAGTTAACAAGATAATTTGATCGACAAAAAAATGATAGAGACTATGTTTATTAAAGAAAACAAAACTAGACTATCAACGATTACAGATTTAGCACGATTTCATTCGTTTTTATCGATAGATTATTTCTGTTTAAGAACAGACTATCGAAACATCACCTTAGTGACAATCATTTTCATAGATGTCGTTATTGTACTCATTTTGTTCTACTTGATTGGAGACGATAAACAGCTTACCAAAATTTTTTTGCTATGTCATAAATCATTCAGTCATTTATACATTTAGTCAACCATTCATTCACGTTTGTTATCGTCATTGTGATTATAATACTGTATTAATATGTCAGCCGCTGCTCGTGCATCAAAAAAATGGATTTGGGTAGGTAGTGGTTTAGCAGTTGCTGGTGCTAGTTATTTGCTCTATTTTGGACCTGGTCGAAAACTTGTGCTTGAAACTAAACAACCAGCTAGTGCATCGAAAGCAAGTTCAGCACCCGATGCACTTGATCCAAATGCATTCCGTTCAATAAAATTAACAGATATTAAAAAATATAATCATAATACTAATGTATTTACGTTTGCATTCGATGATCCAAAAGCAAAATTTAATGGAAAAACAGCTTCATGTGTTATGCTTAGAACAGACGTTAATGGAAAAGATGTTGTTCGACCATATACACCTATGTCACGTCCCAATACAATTGGTCAATTAGAATTTCTTATTAAAGAGTATCCACAAGGTGTTATGAGTAAACATGTTCATGCAATGAAAAAGGGTGATAGAATTGAAATTAAAGGACCTAGTAAATACTAACACACTTTATATTAGTTTTTTGAAAATATATCTTTTTATTTTAGTGCAAAAATATCCATATGAAGCTAATAAGTTTGAAAAACTTGGTTTAATTGCTGGTGGTACTGGTATTACACCAATGGTAGAATTTAATATTTTTTCGTTTTATTTTTAAAATAATAATTTATTATTTAAAGATTCAAATGATTGAAGAAGTCATTTCCAATCCAGATGATAAAACAAAAGTTACACTTTTATTTGCCAATACAACGATAAGTGATATTTTATTAAAAGAAGATTTGGATAAATTAGCTGCTAAACATCCAGATCGTTTGAAAGTTTATTATACAGTTGATAAAATTGAGGATAAAGAAACAAAATCATGGAAAGGCGATTTTGGGTATGTGAATATTGAATAACTATCGAAATCATGTTTTATATATTTAGATATGTTACATCTGATATGTTGAAAAAAGTATTACCTATGCCATCTAAAAAGGATGATGAAAGTCTTTTGGTTATGGTTTGTGGTCCACCTGGATTTATGAAATTAATTAGTGGAGACAAAACAAAAGACTATAAACAGGTATTTATTATTATTTAATAAAAATTCTTAATATAAATATTTTGTTTTTATTCTAGGGTGATCTTAGTGGTCTTCTCAAAGGTCTTGGCTTTACAGAGAAGAATGTCTTCAAATTTTAATTAATTTTATTGTCTTTCATTATTTGTCTTCACATTTCTAAAACTATTTCATATTTTTAAATTAAATAAACTTATATTAGATGACAAGATTAATTCACTTGTATTCGTATGTGTTTCACTTCGTGATTATATTTTTATCTACTAACAATAAATATAACAAAAAACAACAGGAAAAGCAGCAGCTGTACATGAATAACTGAGAATATGTCAAGCGTTAAATAAATTTGTCATCATAAGTAACTACAATTTTTCATATCATATTCAAATAATACAAAGACAAGAGCATATGTCGAAGAATTCGTTTTTTCGAAAACGTATTAAACTAGCAATTGATGTCGATGATGATGATGGACGACGAGATGTATGTGGTCGAAAACGAGTTGATGTTATTGATTGTTTATTCGATTCATCATCTGATGAAAATGATGATACAAATATTCTTAATCAAAATACAAATATACTTTGGTTAACCTTTGCTGAAATATGCCATATTCGTTCTGTTCTTACTGAAACAACCCTCAGTACACTTATGTTTAATCAAGATAAACAATATTCAAAAATTATTCATGGAAATTTATGTTTTCGATGTCGAAAACAGATTTATTCATTATTTTTCCTCTCATCTTTTCTTTATTCTACAAATTCTTCTCTTTGTTATATATGTCAACAGAGAATATGTAAAAAATGTTCGTTATCAAATTTTTTACCACCTTTATCAACACATTTATTTCCTGTTCAAATAAATACTTTAATGAAATTATCATCAAATTCTATTGAAAATGAAATGAGTTACAAAACAAAAATCAATCCACGAATAAAATCAATCTGTTATGATTGTTCACAGGTAATGTTTGAAAAAAATATTGTTATAGAAAATAACCTTGACCTTGTAAAATGTTCTTGTCTACAATTTTATCAAATTTTAGATATTTAACGAACCTACAAAATTTTCACGATACTCAATCAAAATATCAACTCCCGATGTACATCAATCATTTTTTTCTCGAATTTGGTCATTCAATTTCAATATAACACGATATTTATAAAATAATTATATTTTATTTTTTTGTATTTTTATTTTATATATAACAATAAATCATTTAGAATATATAGAATTTAATGTGAAAATACAATGACAAGCAAAAAGAATGTTCATAGAGCAATATATACTTGGTCAAATTATTTTTGACTGGTGTATTTTCTAAATAAAAAATAACGATGAGAAATAGCTTCTCTTTTTTGAAAAAATGAAACTTACGTTACGGCTTTAGTGCCTTCTGAAACAGCATGTTTAGCAAGTTCACCAGGTAATAAAAGTCGAACAGCAGTTTGAATTTCACGAGATGAAATTGTTTGACGTTTATTATATTGTGCCAATCGTGACGCTTCAGCCGCAATACGTTCTAGAAAATAAAAGACAATTAGTCATATTTTTTCCCATTTTTAAAGACTTACCAAAAATATCATTAACAAAACTATTCATAATCGACATTGCTTTACTTGAAATACCTGTATCAGGATGAACCTAATCAAAATAAATATTAAATTTTAACAATATATTATTTTATGCTGAAACAATATATATACCTGTTTTAAAACTTTGTAGATATAAATTGAATATGTTTCCTTGCCTATATAAAATTACATTTTATTTTTTTTATACAAATTATAAAATTTCTAACTTACGTTTGCGTCTGTGAGCTTTTTTTTCGCCACCACCAGATTTACTAGTAACTTTCGATTGTTTACTAATTATTTTTTTTGAACCTTTACTTGGTGTTTTTGGTGTAGTTGGAGGAGCCATTCTATCGTTGTAGTATAAAATGAAATGCAAATGCAAGCAAACGATGCCCATTATATAGACACATCAGTTTGAATTTCATTGGTTGCAGAACGCAAAGAAAAGCTATCATACAAATGGTTATTGCCGTTGAGAAAATAAATTTCATTGATTGTCTATTATTTGATGCAATAACATGAATAGGATTGGTTGAAATCAACGAATCATAGAAGAAAAAGTTGCACGTTAGCGGAGCACTATATATACAGGAGAAAATACCAAGTTACATATTGTTCTTATTATTAATTTTATACACATACACCTTTTAAAAAAACAATGTCAGGCCGTGGTAAAGTAACAGGAAGTGGCAAAGCACGTGCTAAAGCTAAAACACGTTCATCAAAAGCTGGTCTTCAATTTCCAGTAGTATGTAGTCATTATAGCTTACTGATATTATATTTTCTTAATCATATATTTATTTCATATAGGGTCGTATTCATCGATTACTTCGTCGTGGAAATTTTGCTGAACGTGTTGGTGCAGGTGCTCCAGTCTATTTAGCTGCAGTAAGTAAAATCATTCAATGCAATTGATTGAAATCAGTATTAAATATTCATATTCATTAGGTTCTTGAATATCTTTCTGCTGAAATTTTGGAATTAGCTGGTAATGCAGCTCGAGATAATAAAAAGACTCGTATTATTCCGCGTCATCTTCAATTAGCTATTCGAAATGATGAAGAACTTAATAAATTATTAGCAGGTGTAACTATTGCACAAGGTGGTGTATTACCCAATATTCAACAAGTAAATAAATCTTAGAGGAATTATTTTCAAACTAGATTTGTTTTTATAGATGTTATTACCAAAGAAATCAGAAGGTGGTAATGCAACAACATCACAAGGTGAAACAAGCACATCATCAAAAAAGACAACGACTAAATCAAGTGGAGAAAAGAAATCAACAGGTGTTAATAATGCTAAAAGTTCATAGACATCTTAGTCAAGATTATAATGAATGACTTTAAAGAATTTGTTTTTATACAAAACATTTTTCTTTATACTTTCAACTATTTTTGCCCTTTGTTTGTTTTTGATTTTTTTTGTATATAAATACAGAGATATATATAGTCCTATATGCAAAGTTTTATACGAAAGATGACATGTTATCAAAACATATCTTGATAATTGCCTAAACTATTCGTATACTTTTTTATCACACGATATCGAAGTGGTGCTAGACAATTGTTGTACTTAAGTTGTCCTATTGAATCGTATATCAGTTTGTACGCATAACATATAACCTCAAAAACAAGAATGTTTAGTCATGATTGTCAAAGTTGTCTGATGTCATTGAGCAATACGTACTCTAAAGTGTATCAAAAAATTTTTAGTTTCACTAACACGTACGTTTAATCATATTTATTAATTATAAACGTAAGTTTCATTAACAAATGATGAAGAATGATGTGAATTCTCTATCTAATCCATGTCACTAACATATCTCATATATTGAAGCAGTTTGTTATAAATTTAGATCAGCTTCAACTAACGAAGACCATGATAACATATACCTTTGTACATGACCTTTAAAATAAAAACAAAACCTTGTTTTCTCATAGTTTTATTTATACCAAACAATTGCATAAAAAAAATTAATTAAAAAAATTCCAGTTATCATGTTACATTGATGACTAAAGCAGTGTCCGATTAAAACAAAACATTGCTATTTCGGAAATCTTTTTCTCAGTTGAAGACAAGACCTACATGGAATGTACCTTTTAATATTAGAGATATTTGTCAAACAGAAAAGAACAACCATATTACTCTCAAGTTTTTGTTCATTTTCCACCATCGTGTCATGCTCGTACAAGCTGATATATACAGATGCATATTTTGGACTATAAAAAATTGTGTGAAGAGGATGAAGGACGAGTAAGCACATAGTGACATGAAATATGAAATATTGAATAGGTAAAATAGATCTTTGTCGATATAAAACAAAAATATTGAGTTGCAGATAGAATAAATGGTATTAATTTAGAATTATAAGACGAGTAATGTAAAATAGTTAGTTGAGCTAGAAATTATAAGATTGAATCCGATACGTACTCATGAAAGTAGTTTTAGCGACGTATGGATATTATTAATATCTTGATTGAAGAAACAAGGTGTAAAAACTTTCATTTATATAATTAATCATAAAAATGCCATTCTCTGATCGAAAGAAGGAAGTATTTGTAATGTCACTAAGTAAATTTATCTTCGAAAACATTTTAAAGACAAAATTGATTTGAATTTTATATAGAATAGTTAGATTTACAAATCCTTGTCAGATTAATTTAAAAAAATAATATGTTATTCTATTATTTTAAAAGTAAATATTTAGTACAAGTAAAAGAAAATAAAAGAATGAATAATGACAAATAGATGTTGCTCTACTTTTTCGGCATGTTTCTAAATCTTTATCACATCCATCAACAGCACACATACATATTGTTTCATCTTGTTGACATTGTGTAAAATAGATACTTTTTGATGTCCATGTATATGATTTACAAAATGTGGATTTATATTTCATTAAATGTGCCGAATAAATTGAAGGTGGTAAAGTTTGTCGTGTTATTTGATTAGTTCGATCAACACTAATTACACATAAAATACCCTGATCAAATAAAAAGTCTTTACATTCATAATCATTTGACGAACATAGTGGTGTTAAAGAAGAATATTGCTGTGGTTTATAATCTTCATATGGTCGATAGCATTTGATTCGATTTGTTAATGAAACAATACTATTACTAAATGTTGGTGGTTTTTGATCCCAATAGGGTTTAGTACGTTGGACACATTCTGAATAATTTAAATTGCATGCATTTGTAATACACATACATGCTCGATATGAACCACGTAGTTTATTATATGGTGAAGCAACACAAAAATCATCGTAACCATTGAGTGTACCTTGTGGAAAATTATTGCATTCTCGAACAAGGTTTTCATGATAGGCTTCAATTTGATTGACTTGTAAACATGCATAAGTTACACCTAATGGACCAGAACCAGTTAATGAAAGTGTTGTTCTAATTTCATAATTGCGTGAAATAACAAGACATACTTCACAATTAAATAATAAATTTGATGATGATGAACCATTTTGACATGTTATATTACGAGTAGAAACACGATCTCGTGTTGAAAGAAGAAGAGCTGATGATGTTCTTAAATACATTAGAATAAAGACGAAAAACATTGTATTTAATATAATCCTTATACAGAATAGTGTATTAAACGAATGATGTCTGTCAATAATTTGAAGAAGAATAAAAAGAGAGAGTAAAATAACTAAACAGTCAATATGTGCTTTTAATGTTTTACTTGGACAATTGAAATGAGATTGACTTTATTTCAGGGTGTACGAGTCATACAGATTAAATAAAGAATTCATGAAGATCGTTATAAAAAGTTTTTCTACTAACAATAAGTCAGCGTAACAGTGGATTTATTAGATTGAAATAGCTATTTTTGTTTTCTAATATTACTATTCACTATGCTCGAAAAAATTTCATGAGAAGTATCCTGAATATTCTATATATATTTGATCTCTTTTCTTTGATTATTATTTATGATTATTGCGTTTATCAATTTTTAATATTCATTATTTTATTTCATAATAATTTTAGTCGGATTTATTCTTTGAAATCATAATGGCGCCACTTGATTATTATTTAAGGAGGAATTGCCTTGGATTTTGTGTGGCAGCATGTCTGCTTTTTTTAACATGTGAGCATGCGACACAAAGAAATGTCGTTTTTTTTCTTTTCTTCATCCGAACGATTAAGAAAGACTTCAATCATAATTTTGTCAAACTAGAAGACAAAAAGAGTAGTCATGGCTGACAAGAAAAAGAAGAAAGGAGGAGGTGGTAAAAAGAAGAAGAAAGCAGGCGAAAATGTCTACGAAGCTTTACTTGAATACAAGTTTGTCTAGTTTATTAAAACTAAATATCTTTTTCAATTTATATTATTTTTTAAAGAATAACAGTCATAGATAAAGAACTTGAAGAATGGCGTTTTCGTGTATATAAAATTGAAGAAGAAAACGAAGCATTATTAGGACGAGATGCACATCTACGAGATGAATGCGCAGCATCAATGAAACATCTTGTCACTAATGCTTTACAATTTGATAAAGAGAATATTACTTATCCAAAAGTTGATAGAGAAGAAGTAAATATTATAGTTTTTTTGATTATAAAATAATAATTTTTCTCTTTATCTTCAGGTTCATGCAGCTGTCCATGAAAAAATGAATGCAGCTGCAGAACAAGAAGCTGAATTGAGAAGTAAATATTTTTTATTTAAAATAATATGTTAATTTTGTTCTTTTTTTTATCTCAAAAAGAAATTCATGATGAAATGTTTCATGTTGAAATTGAAATATTTAAAGTTCGAAGTCAAATAAAACAATTGACAAAATATCGTGATGTAACACAACTTGAAGAACAACGAGCTATTCAATCACTTGAACAGGAACTTGCTTATATGATCGATAATTATGATGTTCTTTCAAGTAATTTTTTTTTATTAATATTCAATATAGAAATTATATGTAACAAAATTTTTTCTTTGTAGAATATTTAGAAGAAAGTAAAAATGATGAACAAACAGCATTAACACAAATGGCACAAAATAAAATTAATCAAAAAACTCGAACAGCTACTGAACGTGTTGCATTAGGTCTTGATCAATTTACAAAAAAAATGTTAAGTGAAAATCAATATATGACTCATGAAGTAATTTGAAAAAATTCTTTTCAATTATTGTAATATGCTTTTTTATTTATTTAAATTATAAGATCAGTCTTCAGGAACGAAGAGCTAGTGAATTGGAAGAACAAGTTCGTGCATTAGAACAAACAAATGTTATTATTAGTGAAAAACTTGCTGCAGCTCATGTAGCCGATACAACTACTTTTAAGTATGATCGATATATTAAGATTTTTTTTGAAAACTTCTTTGTTTTTATTTCATATAGAAATACATTTGTAACAGATTTATTCACAGATGATATTTCAACAGATATTGGAAATAATTGTATACTCGCTGTTGATTTAGGTCAATTGACGATACGTAGTGATACTGGTGATAAAACTTTTGAAGAATTACTAAGTAAGTTTGATTAAATAACAGATTTAATTCATAAAATTTTTATAATCTAGATGAATTAGATAAGAATACACCACGATTATCAACTATTGATGATAATTCCGTAAGTAGATAGACCAAAATTGTTGGTAAATTATTATAAAGAATTCATTTTTACAGACACTTGCTTCACCTTCAGCTAATCTACATGTTGAAGGTACTCATATGCAAGTTCGTTCACCTCCAAAACTCGATGAAGAAGAAGAAAAATACTTAGATTTTCGAGGACATACATGGATTGATCCACCACGTCTCAAACAAGCACTTCGTAAAGCGTGAATAAAATAGACAAATCTATTCTTCTATTTGTTTTTTATTAAAAGAAAAGAAAGCATTGTATACACTCAATGAGAAAAAAAAACAAAAAGGAGAAAGAGAAAAAAAACGAAGTTGTTATAAAACAGATGAAGCTATGGGTGGTGTTGTATGTCTAGAATTTGTTCCATAAGATGTTGCAAATGAACTACTATTTGTTAATGCACATAATTGATAAAAATCTGGATTATGTGATGGAACAACTAAATCTGGTGAAGGTGATAATAATGGTTGTTCACTCGTTGGTGATGAATATATCGTTGCTTGATCGATATCATCTTCTTGTAATAACCATGGATATTCATAGATTTGTTGAAGTAATCTTTGACGTTCAACTGCTAATTGTTGATCATATTCTTCACTATCTAAATCAAATAAATTTGTTTCATCTTCTTCATTATCATCAAAAGTCATTCGTATCTATAAAACAAAAAAACGAAATCAAAATATATTTCTCTTTTATTAATTTCTTTTTTAATACCATTCTTTCAATATGAGATAATTTTGCTTGTGATTGTTTTGATGTTAATAAGAATTGTTTTTGTCTTTCATCAACAAATCTTCGTTGTTCAGCACAATCATGTGACCATACATGTAATTCAGATTCTGAACCATATGTATTTAGTAAATTAAGTTCAATTGAATGTTCATTAATTGTATTTGTATGATATACATGAAATTGTATTTCATTTTCAGCAATACAACATAGTTTTTGCTGTAGATCTGAATCCGATAAAACACGACGAAGAAAAATTAAACGATTTATTAAACCAGGAAACATTAGACGTTTTTGTGGTTTCATTGTTTCAATTTGATTTTTTATTGTTGAATTAAGTATTAAAGAATGTTCATTGGAATTAATATCTTGATCAAGAAAATTATCTTCAATATATTCTGACATATTAAATAATGGATTCACATCTGAACATGTTGAATCAGTTGAATCAGGAAGATCATCTAATATTATAGGTAATGAATGTTTATTTAGAATTTTTTCAAATGTTTCTGAACGAGAAAATGTCGAAGACGAGGACGACGATGATGATGAGGAGGATGATGCAGATGGTACTATAGTTTGTTCTTTCACTAGAGAATTCGCAGCATCATCAAGACTATCAAGTGAAATATCTTTAATTGGAAGAATTGTTGATGATGGTGCTGGTAATGATGTTGATAATGTTGTTGATGCAAGAGGAATGATTATACCATTTGAACAACGATTACGTACAAATGGACAAATAATTGATGAGCCATCAGATAACTCTCGACTAAATTCTTCAAGTTTATCAGTTTTAACTAAATATAAGATAGAAATTACAAAAAAATCTTTCTTTTAACTAATCTTTTTCGATCATACCTTCTTTCACCGGTTTTCTTGAACATCGTTTATTTGATGTATCAAGCCAATTTTTCACAAGTCCAGTACTTCGTTGTCGTTCATCAGTTTCATTTTTCTTTAAATCATTTAATACTGTTTCATCTTTGACATCAGTTGATGACCATGTTGAATAACCTTCATCTTGAACAATAGTTATTAATTTATTTCTTTGTTGATTTTCTTCAATACTTGATTCACTTGATGTTGAATTCATTTGTTCAATTGGACAAATTGGTTTTTCTTCAATTGATTTAACTAATTTCTTTGATGGTATAACTGTTTCTAGTGCACTTTTTTTTTACAGTAGGAGGTGTTGTTCGTGTCCGTTTATTTACTAATGATGGAATAGAAGTATTCGTCGTAGTACTAGTAGTAGTATTAACTGTTGTGATTGAACGAGAACGACATTTTGCTGAAGAAGTTTGTACAATAGATGATTTTGAAGTCATCGGCGGACGAATAGTCTTTTTTGTCGTTGTATTAGTAATTGATGCAACAGCTCGAGTTGATATAACAGTTAAGTCCTTTTTTGTCTTTGTTGTAACAGATGTTGGAACATTAGATTTTTTTACAGGTGTTGCTTGTTTTGTTAACGATGTCGCTGTTCGAATTGGTAATTTTGAAGCTTTTTTTAGAGATAAAGAACGATTATTATCATTTGATGATTGAGTTTTTAGATTTGACGGATTAGTTAAGCTTGTTGTATGCCGATTATTTGAACAACGCGATGGAAGTCGTGAAGGTCGGACAACAGTTGTCGTTGTTGTTGTAGCAGCTACTGATCGTGTTAGTGAACAACGTTGAACATTTGAATTTAGATTACGTTCATTAACTGTCATTGTTTTTATGTTAGACGAAGCTGAAGATAATTCTTTCTGCGGTATCTTTGTAACTATAAATGTTTCTGAACGATGAAGAGCTTTTTTATGATGTTGTTGCTCTACTTCTTCTTCTCCTTCTTCTTTTTTATCGTCTTTTTTTATCGATTGTAATTCTATAAAATATAATTAACATATTATATGATGAAACTTTATTTATAAAAGAATTTAACCTTTTGATTCATTTGAAATTGGAAGTATGGGTGATTGAACGTTTGTATTTTTATTGTACAATGGCTATAAAATAAATAAATAAATATTTTTTTCGATATTCTTTTCAAAATAATAAATAAAAAGAAAGTAGACAATTATTTCTGTTTCCGTTAACGATGAATTTAACCCGAAGCTATAGAGAGTATCTATTAAAATAGTATTTGTTCGAAACGATGAAGTTGCATAATAAATAATGTCAGACAAAAAACGGACGGATGTCATTTATGTTAATAAAACATTTTTACTAGAAGTTTAGATCAAAATAGAGGCTACGATTAACTTACGAGATCGAGTGTCCAACTGCCCGATGTTGAAAATGAACAATGAGTAGTTGTTGATGAACAGGAAGATGATGAAGATGTTGAAGGTGATAATGATGATCGATTTTGATATAAATGTCGAATAAATTCAGCTGTAGTTTTAGGAGATGTGGATACGAATTGATAATTAGAAATAAGTTCGCACGAATGATTTAAATTTTCCCAAGATAAACTTCTTAAATGTTTTATTCGATGTTCAATCTAATAAGAAAGAAATATTTAGAAGCAGAAGAAGAAGAAAAAAACGATGAAACTTCAAAAAAAATCTTTATGTCATATATGATTATTATTGTTATTACTTGATGTGAACGTTCGTCTTGAATTGCACTTGCAGTTAATGTTGATAGTCGTTCGATAACATGATATATTGATGCACATTCTTTACGAATATTCTAAATAAATAAATATTTCTTTGCAATCAATAGATAAGATCATCAAATCATCATAGTTGCTCTTTTGTATTCATTTTTCTACTTTTGTATAGATGCATCATTTGTGTGTGTATGTATGTGTGTGTGTGTGTGTGTGAAATGAATGAAAGAGTTGCGTCATAAATGTATATGTTCACTCGCCCCTCCTCACTTAAATATAATATTAGATGCGTGTGTCACTCCCGTATGTGTGCTTTGAGCTGTGCCTACTATATAAAGTCCATCGTCATCAAGAATGAAGGTCATTAGAAGAGGTGAACTGATAATAAGAAAAAAATGAGAGAAATCCCCTTAAGGAAATGTAACATTGAATTTGACCATCAGCTATATTGTAATATGCTTGATTATTTATTCAAAGAAAGATGCTATGACCTGTCTATATACAGACGGTAATCTGAGTCGTATGTTGACCCATTGACATAGTATAGTTTATGGAAGGAAATCGACTGACAAGAAAAGATAGATAGGATAGGCAGACAGACATTTTGAGTGGAATGATCACTGAACCATCTCGAAGAATACCATCTGGAAGTGCGTCGTTCGTATTGTGTTAATGAAATTTGACATTACCTTAATTTCTTTTTTCTTTTCAATTTATTCTATTATGAACTTAGAACTGTCAATATTGAACTACCTTTCATCGATTAGTGAAATTCAAGGAAGCGTAAAGTTCGTTTACTTACAATGAAAGTCTCTGACGTTGTTGTTGTCGGTCGACTAACCATTTTCATAAGAGAAATGAAAATGTTCAAATGAAGAAGGAGCAATGTCCGGTGATTTCTTCTTTGACTATGTCACATCTGCTTTCACTGTTCATCCGTTCTCTCTTCAACAAAAATAGTAACTACTATCCATGATTGCTGACCGCACAGTACGAACCATCATCAACAACAAGAAAGAAGAAAAGAAAAGAGAAGAAAGACAGAGAGAGAGAGAGGAATAATTGTTTCAGGACATATGCTGCTATAGTCTACTTTTACAGCTACGATTGAGAGATGGGAAATCACCAAAAGGCGGATTATGAAATCAAAGTTTTTTCTATAATTAGCCGCAGATTTCTTTCTTTTATTTTTAGTTAACAAAGAATGCTTTGATAGGTTTCATGCTAACCTTTCCTGCGGATAAATAAAAAGAAAGAGACTGACATAAGTCTAAATCATTATCATTCTTTCTGTTTTATCTTACCTCATGCATCATTGCTGTTCGTAGAACCATTGTTGTTAATTGTTCTAAAAATCGTTCATATTCTTGACGTTGACATTGATTTTCTATAAATAATCGTCCATTTTCTTGTTCAAGTTGGCGAATATGTTCTTCGAGAAAACGTGTTTGCTGAGTGTCGACACTTGTTGTACACTATTATCAATTGATTGATAGAGAGAGAGAGAAAAAAAAAGAAGTTATAGAAGAATACAGATGCAATGTATTTTTATTATATATATTATTTACCAAAGCCTCAAGCTGATCAATACGTTTGTGCAATTCGACATTCTCATTCTTGAGAAGTGACACACGTTCGTCAAACTCACGGATCTTCGTCTGGTAAATATAAACAGATTAATAAGCAACAGACAAAAAAAGATTGCAATTTACTTCTTGTAACGATGGATCCTGGAGTTTGTTCTTCCATTTGAGTAATATACTCATATTTGCCGATCACTAGACACATTGGCCATGACTAAAATAAAATGTTCTATTCTAGGACATACATATATACTGCCACAGATGTGTATAAAAGGAAGCAGAAAGAGAGGAAAAAAATGAGCGGACAAGTATAAACGAAATTCTCTCTCTCTCTCCTTCATACTTGAATGTCAATCGGCTCGACAATGTACATACAAGTGCATATAGTTCAATGAACAAATGAGAAGAAGAAGAAAAAAAAGAAAGAAACGAAAAATTTCGATTGCAGCTGGTATTATATATTCAAATTGGACTATAGGACTACGTATAACTGCATATACATGTTGAAGGTTTAGTGTATATATAGTCTAGACAACAGTCATATACAGTCATCGTTGATGTATAGTTAGAAATAATAGTAAAGTCAAGAATAACAACATTTGAAACCTTATGAGAGTGACCAATCTCTAATCATTTCTCTTGAAAGCTATAAAGACATACGACAACGTCAATAGCTTGCTCTTCCGCACTATTAATGCCATTGTGTTATTATTCGTAACTACTGCTGCAACCACTTCAGTCTTTCTTTACTTTTTTTCCTGTCATTGCCATCGTCTACCTCGTCATCTTGTAATTGGAATTGCGCAATAAAGTTAAAAAAGAAAATCGAGAAAAGTGAAAGAACAGAATGTCAAGTAAAAGAAAAAAAAGTAGTGGCGATTATATTAAATATGAAGACTTGAGGCGATCTGTCAGGGATAGTCCAGAAAGACGAAACTTTTGCATGTCAAGAGATAACAATAGAAGCATCTAAATGACTGACCGCAAACATACATACTAAATAAAAATAGCCACTTTCTTTGTTCTAATCTTCTTTTCTTCTTCGTGTCCACATTGTTGACATATCATCGCTAGACGAACAACACATATATAATGACAAAAGAAGATGATGATGAAGAAGAAGAAAGTGGTCCGGCTTTATATATATCTCTCTCATTATATAATTGATGTTTGCCATATATACTAACCCACGTTTATCTCTCCATTCATCATAACAACGAGCAAAAGAAGAGCTCATTTCATATCATAGATGAAGGAAGAGGATTTAGATACTATATAATAGTCGTCTATCTAATAATTTATAAACTACTATCACTTACCTACTCTCTCATCTGCACATTTTCTATTATGGTAGTGCTTTTGTTATTCCTTTTTATATATATATAGACAGTGGTGATGACGACGACGACAATATTGTGTGTATGTGTATTTGTCTGTATGTTCCAATAGTAAAAAAAATGTAGCTCCTGATCGGGTTCTATCTATGTCTCTATCTTCTCTTTGTATACCGTTTATTGGGAAGAGACAAACGTCTATCTGTCGTAGAACAGACAAACATTCCTGTTTCTACTTTTTTTTTCTTCCCTTTCTCTCTATCATTTACTATTCTTCCGAAAGAACAAGGACTGCGAAATAAAATGTGTATATGTGTGTATGCGACGCAATACTAACCAGTAGTGCATGTTTCTTTTGCCAAAAACATTGTCTCTAATTAGTGCAGTTTGTCTCACATATTGTCTTGTACTTTTTTGTGCATGTAGATCAATAGGGTGTTGACTTATTGTTCGTTCTAGGCAACAATGTAAATAATAATCTCACACTAGTTAATGATGATGGTGGTGGTGTTATCGAATATGAATAGAACCTACCTTCTTTTTTTATCGATAAGATGTGCACTTATATACAGCTTAATACTCTCGTTCAATTTCTTTCTTGTCAAAGTGAATATCGATTACAATTGTGCAAAGTTTTCTTTCTCCTCTACGTTGTGTAATATATAAATCATCTGAAAAAATAGGAAGAAAAAGTGTTATTACACTTAGAGAAAGAACGATACAAGATTCTTCGTGTTCTGATAGAAAAAAAAGAAAGTTACTCAGTTGCTAATTGATTCAAGGTTATTCATCGACAATTGATAATGGGAAAAAAAGGAAAAAAATTTAGCCTTTACCATCTATCAATTCATTTATCTTTATCTATCAATTCTTTGCACGAATGCTCATAACTTGACCTCGTCCTGGTGGAAATGGATAGGCAAGGTCACTCCAGTACTACCCGTCGTCCATGGACATATGTCAAGCAAGCTCAATAGTACATAACCGTCAGCCAACTGTACATTTTACTAATCATTCTGTTGAACAGAGCGGCATGGAAAAGAATAAGAACAGACGTATAGTGGACACGCAGAGACGCACTCTCAGTTCTTATGAAAAGGATGAGAATTGACGCGTTTTAGATAGAATAGAAAAAGAAAGAAAGAACGAACCAACGAACGATAGAAAGAGGAATAAAAAAAGGAAAAAGAAATTGACACTTATGTCGATGAACAGATTAGATTGGGAAGTTAGCAGATTGATGTTTTATTATTCTGATGAGATAAATATGTCTCGATAGTATTATCATATGGAATATCTTACTTAAATATGATAAAAACGACAAGGTGTTTATTCAATAAAAAAAAATATGTGTGGCTATTTGATAATGAATATAATAGAATATTTATCACCTATTTATTCATTTAAACTATAGCGAATATTCACCTTGACTATAGACAATAGTACCCTTTGAATGTATGATCAAATCTAGTAATAAAATTTTTATAGTATACATACCACTCGTCATGTTATTCGGATCTTTGACAATGAGAGTGTGTAAATAGAACTAGTGAACAAAGAAAAGCGAAAGAGTATGTACGTAGGCGAAGGACGAACAAAGGTCAATTATATATATGAATATATATGTATGTATGTGTTCAACAACTGTACGATTATAATATAGGAGAATATGAATGAAAGGAGAAAAAGATTAGTTGAGCTAATCAGGTGTCGAACACTGGGTGGATATATAGTAGACAAAAAGTCGTTGAACTAATCATGCATCTTTTTCTATTCGTTAGTAAAGCTTCAATATTATTATTGAAAGAACAATTACTTTTATCCCTTTCGTGATATATATGCAAAAAAGAACTTTTACTTAAAGAGAATTATCTATAGGTTAATGCCTACTACAGTAATTTATTGACGAGAGACGATTTGCATTCATGCATAGAACAAAAGACAGTTGTTGATAGTTGAGAGATAACTATTGTCAATCAATTCTCTATGTTAAGATTATATTAGTAAAAGAAAGTAGTATGACATTTATAATAATTTATATATACAATAGAAATAATCTGTTGTTCTTCTCCTTATTATTTATTAGATCATATCAAGTCAAAAAAAATATATTGTATTTAATCTAAACTAATGTCATACATTCATTTTGATGACAATTTTATTAATATTTATTTTTCAAGTATTAGATTTAGAATTGAACTAAATATATATATTTCTCTTGTCTATAAATTTGCTTTCAATAAAAATCATGACAAATGGGTTAATTGTATTGAGTGTGTGCTTCAAAGTGCTTAGTAAATATAACACATGTGTTCATGTCAATAGTTTCATTTGACGAATATGACAGCTAACGACCAAGTATTCATAATAATAAAAAAAGAAAGAAATGGAGACCGAAGAAAACTGGCCAGTTGATAAAAGAAAAAATATTTCATCATATGACAAGTATGTGTATGAGATTAGATTGTCGTCTTTCAATGTCATCATAAGATCTCATTACTAATATAGAACAGCGCGATTTATTCATCAAATGTCAATGTATACAAGAGATTCGTTTCATATGACATTTTGCTATGTTAATTTATTAATGGAGATCATCATCATCAGAATTGCTATCTTGATTTATTACTAATTCGATTTATATAAGATTATCTAATAGTTAAAATTCAACGTTTTACATAATATTCTATAGAGAAAATTATGATGAATACCTAAGTAGGATCTATAACATAATATAAACATATTAGAAATCTAATGATACAGTAATTGAAAGAAATAATTTATTGCATTTCTTTGTAATGTATTGGCAAGGATCTATGTAAATAATTATCAATAAGGCTATAATAACAAACGTTCTTTTCATGGATAATTTAACTTCAAAGTATAATGTTATACAAAAAAAAGCGATGCAATTTAAAGCTTAAAATTCATATATATACTTTATTGATAAGCGGAAGAAGTGTTTCAGCAATGAATAATTGTACTTGCTTATTGATTATATTAAATAAGTTGATAATCAAATATATTATGTAGGCTCAAGAATCACTTGAAAATTAGAATTATAAATTCAAGAAAGGAGAGATAACATCTATCTGTTTTATTTGATTATTTATTTTAATTATAATTAGGGAAAAAATATATTTGGCATCTAATTGATTCTATTTAAAATAGCCTTCGAATGATTTTTTGAAGCTTGATGCTCCTTTTGCCATTTTATTTGCACCATTGGAACCTTGTCTACCGGCTTTTTGAGCAAATTCGTTAGTTTTCGCAGTTAATGTATTTCCTGCATTTTGCACACCATTTGTAGCTATAATAAAATGTAAGTATTTCGATAATATTTTTCTACGTGTAACTCACCTTTGCCAACAGTCTTCTTTGTTTCATTATAAGCATTATCAGCAGCGTTTTTAGCTGATTTTGTCGCATTTTTAGCACCTACAGAATATCAATCAAATACATCAAAATTGCTCAAAAAGAATTACCATCAGCTAAAGCTTTTCCTGTATTTTCAGCCATATCTTTAGCTTTGTCGGTAGCATCATTTACTGCAGTTTTCGTTTTTTTGGTTGCTAGAAAAGAAAAAGAATAAAATCGCTTTAATTATATATTAATATATTATTATTATTATGGTTATAGTAAACAAAACAAAATTATAAATAACGCCGCTGTTGTAGAAAAAGTATTACGTCGAAGATGTACTGTACAGAGCTTTTTGCCTACCTCTACCAATATCATCCTTGACATTTTCAACACCTTCATTGAGTTTAGCCTTGGCTGTACTAGTATTATCAACAAAAGTATCCTTCGCTTGATTTGCTTTGTATTTGATTTCATCACCAGCTAAACATATGATAGAATTTCTAGTTAATTAAATTTACATCAAAACTAGAAGAAGATGTATTGCTTTCAATATTTCAAAGATACTTATAATAGGAATTAAACTTATGTATACCTTATGAAATAATAAAACTACTCTAACAGACATGAATTCACTTACTTTTATCGAGAGCATTTTTTGCATTTTTTCCAGAATTATTAATTTCGTTTGCACCTATTTTAAATGAAGTCATTTAATAAACATAATATATATATATATATACCTTGCTCTAAAGCTTTACTAGCTTTGCTTTCAACTTGTTTTATTTGTCGTTTTGCATCAATGCTAGCATCTTTTATTTCTTTTCCAACTACAATTAATATTTATTTGTAAATTTAAACTTTTTTTTTCGTTGCATACTCTTATCAGTTTCTACCGATAGTTCACGGTTGATATCACTCTTAAGTAATCAAATTAATATAATATGAAACAATAAAATCAAATCAAATATATTTACTGTTTTTGATCGTTTTGGTGGCATACTAATTAAAAATGTAAAATCAAAATATGTTACCAATATTATGTATTCGATTACCTTCTATTCTTAAAATAATTTCTTTTCGAATATCGTAGAAAACTTTAAACAAATACAAACACAAACAGAAAAAAATAAATGAAAATGAACGTTGCCAAGCAAGATATAAAACTAATAAATCGAACAGCGCCAATAATTATACTTTTAGATCTTTTTCTATTAGTCATGATTCTTTATTTTAATGACATTTATAATTCTCTAGTAGACTTTCATAGAAATATTTTAACAAATATTGATACATGAAGTATCTCTAAAGTTCTTGTTGACACTTATTCGTTTTAATTATCAAGGAATTCTTTGAATGGAATTTAACTATGTTTTTTTTCAACATTTTAAACGCCTTTCATAGATCTTGCTGCTCCTTTGAATCACTTAGCTAAAGTATAATTAATTTAAATATTAAGTGTATCGTAAAAAAATCATATAGATTTCGACATCATGAAAAGAAGACGAAGAAATCTTCTTATTTAGTTTGATTATTATGTTAATCATTTACCAGAATAATATAGCTTATTACATAAATGGCGACTAGGAAATTATATCATATAATTAAGCAAATATTTAAAAATCACTTTTAAATTGCATATTGTTTTTAATTTGTAATTCTAATTAAATTATTGCTTGATACGAAATATTCAGGGAGTAATTTAGTTCGATCTTTCAAGAAAAAATATATGTTTTATCATTTATACATGTGGTTTTATATGTAAAAATGAAATAAAATAAATTTTACTATAACGTTATCGTTTCTTATGATAAATATTGATTATTTAAAAAAATATAAAATACAAAGGATTTGAAATAATGTATTATATAAGTTTATTTTAATCACTTAGATCATAAAAGAAAATAGTTAATTCTACAGACTCTACTAATTCTATAAACTTTATCAGAAGCTGAATAATCATTGAAACTACAACTCAGCTAGCTAATTTAATACTCACCTCCCGGTTGTGAACTAAACAGCAAAATTTAGTGTTTTAAATTAATTTAGATCATCTAGAACAAGACTTAATTCGATAGTAGGACTAATCTTATCTTGATTTCGATTAACTCTTCAGGGTATAGATCGTATGTATACTATCTTTTGAGCCGGATTTGTCCATTACATTTTTATTATTTACAGAGTTTTTCTGTGTACGCGCGCGCGAGTCACTACAAACTAGAACTACTTCGAAAACAAGTGAACGAAACATTCTTTTATTTATCAAATATTCTTTATAATTTCTTTTTTACAATTTCAATATTGTTCTTCACAGTTTTGATATGAGGATGAGTTGGAGGTAATGCACGCTGCCATATGTTCAGAGCTCGTTCATAATATGATAGTGCTTTTGCATAGTCTTTCATACTGTAATATACACCAGCAATGTTGTTGTCTGAAACAGCCAATGAAGGATGATTTGAAGGAAGAGTTTTTTGACAGATTTCGAGGTCTTTTTCGTAAAATAAAAGTGCTTTCGAGTACTCTCCCATATTGTCATACACATTACCGATGAGGCCGTATGAAATAGTCAAATCAGGATGATTTGAAGGAAGAGTTTTTTGATAGATTTCAAGTGCTTTTTCCTTGTATAAAAGTGCTTTCGAGTACTCTCCCATGTTGTCATATATACTACCGATGTTGTTGTGTGAAGTAGCCAAATGAGGATGATCTGAAGGGAGAGTTTGTTTTTAAATATCAAGTGATTGTTCGTAATATGAAAGTGCTTTCGGGTACTCTTCCATGTCGGCATATACACTACCAATGTTGTTGTATGAAGTAGCGAAATCAGGATGATTTGAAGAAAGAGTTTTTTTTGAATTTCAAATCCTTGTTCGCAATACCAAATAGCCTTTTCATAATCACCTTGCTTGCCTTTGACATATCCCACCTGATGGTAATAAGTCGCTTTGTCACCCACATCAGATGTCTGTTCGAGTAATACGCTATGAAGTTCTTCAGCTTTATTAAATTTGCCTATTTTTAGCAATAAGCTACCCAGTCTTTTCCATCCAGTATTATCACCAGCTTCTTCTCGTATCCGATCAGCAAGTAATCGTAGTTGTTGATCATCATCCGATGTTAATTGTAATTCAACTTGATAAATTTGATTCCAGTTATTCATTTGTTTAATTTCGCTTACTCGAAAAACAGTGTGCATTGAGAAGAGAATTTCTTCTTCTCCTTTAAAATAACTCATCTCTTTGATAGAGGCAAATGGTGTTGACCTAATACAAGGATCAATGGACATTATAAACAGAATGCCCACCATATCCGGATTGGTTGAAGCACATCGAGCAAATTCGAGAGACACTTCTTTATCTTTACTCGTGGACAAGAAACTGTTAAATGATATAAGTCCACCTTTTGTTTTTTGAAGTTTTTCAAAGTCTGATTTCAGAAGACCTTGACCTCGATAAACTATAAAAGGTTTTCGTCCATAACTGTTGACCTGATGTTCGTGTAACTGTTGTAATTGTTGATGCAGATGACATATAAAAAATCCCATAGTAATAATTGTATCAGCATCCAGTGTTCGAAGAGCATAATTGAGCATAGAATAGATATTGGATGGGGAAGTGTACCACCAAATAGATAATTGAGCATGGTATTCTTTCTCAAAACGGTTAATATTGATTGATGACAAGCTGTTATTATTTCGACAATAATGAGTAAACTGTTTGATGGCTTGTTTACCATGTTTCATATCAAGAAGAATATCCTTGAATATTTGGGTATACATAAAAGTTGGCTCCAACTGATTCAGATTATTTGTCGAAGCCATTTCATTTACCGTGATAAAACTCATGGGTATCGAGTCTTGATGGCATTGTTTTATATCCACTTGTAATACTTGACATAGATCATCGATGTTGGTATGAATGCTGTTGGTTTTGTCGCATTTTTTTGTCCATTCTTCATGCAGAGTTTTAGTATCATTGAAGATATAGACACTATGCAGTTGAGGAATATCATTGATGAGAAGCATTATTTGTTGAAACATAGCATCCCTGAGAACGAGAAAAGACATGATATCTTCTTGGACATCTGTAAGAAAGTCGATACATGCATCTCGTTCCGTAAAGACATTGATGTCACCAGTAATAGTTCGTATTTGTTGTAATGTATTTTCATAATCTTCGTTTATTTGAGCGATTCTGGTATCCACCCATAGGAGAACGTAGTTTTGAGTCATACGTTGTCGTGGTTGACGAACATAAGACGCTACTGCTTCATGAAGTGATTTTACACTCGGTTTTGAAGGTTTCGGGTCCATCATACGTATATATTAATAATCGGACGATAATTGAATATAGTTGAAGAGCTGTGGTGATGGTTAAACAGAGAAACGAACACTGCGATTTATTTGAGAATTAGATCTCTTTATTACAATGTATTTATGACATTATTACCTTGCTTTCTAAGTATATTACTATTGCCTATAATAAAACCCTGCTCTCCGTATCACTCAGCTTATATCGCACAGCAAGGTGAGTAGAAAGAAGAAAAATGAATTCATTTTTTCCAGCTTTCTTCACAGATAAGAGAGAATATCGTTACTAAAAAACACATATTTACTTTGCAAATAATGCACGTCAATAGGCTCACTGCCTTTTCCCTTGTTTTTAAATTGCATATTGAAATTAGACAAGCAGAAAAGTCAAATGATCGTGTTCTTGTCTATCCACGATCAATAAAATCTGTTCAAACTTCTACGGATATTAAACTCATTGTTCGATAAATTAACAATTTATTTAATATTAAAATTATAATATTAACTATTAGAAGTACCCGTCTCTGCGAGGAAAATTCAATTTATAAATGCCGGTTAGATATATTAATGATATCAGCATTGTTAAAACCTATGGTTTTTATCTCGCTTCGTTGTCGAATGAACGAGGAAAACAATTGGGCGCTGCATATTGTTGGATGAGACACTTACTGTAGTGCTACAACAATAAGGTTACTAAACAGAGCCGTAAACAGGCCTGCTTGCTGTGACCTGTGTAATTTTGAGAGTGCGGGTGAGTGTAGATAGACGTACGTAGGATATCTTAGCTCCCGATTCGAGTATTTCCTTTCCCGATT